TTATCAATAATGAAAAACATAACTTATAGATAAGTTGGCAAGAATGAATTATTGGTGTGATTGAATAGTAGAACTTGTTTTCTGTTAACAGGGAAGGACTAACATAGATCTCAATCAGGTCTTGGTTAACAGCAAGAAATATACAATGCAAGAAGGAAATCCATAAAATAGCAACTGTCAGCATTGGCTGAGTAAAAATTTATATGAAACATTAAACTTCAGTCATATTTTCCTTCAACCAATTCGCCAGTAAAACAATGCATCAATGACCATGAATAAAATTTATTATAGCACTCTAATGGAAGTAATACCATGCCAATCTTGGCAACTGATTGAATCTTTCTTCTTAAACAAGGGTAAACACTATAATCTTTGTGTAAAGAAGAAAAGTCAAACAAATACTTTTTTCTCCAATTATTAATCAGAATAAACAATGAGTGACTAGTTGCAATTGTTCATATCTTTATGATAACTATCATGCAAGGTAAAAACATATAATGCATGAAATATAGACTTGCACACACATTTCAACTCAAAAGATGCAACGCTTTGTCACTATCAAGAAGAATTTTAAACAAATACAAGTAAATAGATAATTCCAAAAGTTGGATCCACCTTAAGCAAAAAATTTGCTCCTGCTACAAGACAACCCATTTCATCTTCTTTGTCAAGACTAAGCCCAAGTCTTTCTTTGAAAAGCTCCGAATATTTGAATGCTCCACCACCAGTAGCCTTTGTCACAAAGTGAATGCATTAATGGAGTACTCCAATGGCATTAACACAGAACAAGCAGTAATGACTTACACAATTATGTATAATCACTGTTTTTTTAAATAAACTATTATAAACAATACCAGCAACATGTAACATAAATGGAAGCATCTTTGATGTTGTTATTATACAAATTACAAAGGGACGAGGGACTGAATAATTGTCAATTTATCAATAACAACTTCCAAATGTGATTAGTAGGACATAAAATATAACCCTCATGCTTGCAAGCTAAAATAAAATAACCAGTATATTGGAGATTTGCTATATCCCTACAACATGAAAAAAAAAAAAGCTTCTGAAAAATTAAAAGGAGTCAGAGAATCGAAGTTACCTTAATTATGGCATTCCGATCAGTCACAGTGTCGGAATAATGTGATTCCCCTGCCATAAACAAGAAAAGGTCCACAGTCAGAGGATCGAAGTTTTTAAAGTAGTTGAATTAACACACAGGAATCAACTAAATTACTAAATGATATTCAAAATCGAAACAAGGAGTATTGTTTTAGCAATCCAACCTGGTAGAGAAGAGACAGATTAAACATAAAAGAAATGAATTTAAGAAGATGGTAATACCTCCACAGTGAAGCTGCTTTGAATAAATGAAATCTAAGCACTCGTTAATCTTGCTAGTCTCAAACTTCACAAAATGAAGCCTTCCGCCAAGAATAGGATAGCTTCTCCTGTTACCATTGGGAAATCCCAGTCGATTCTTCACATTTTCCATCCTCTTGTCATTAGTTGATTGGTCGTGGTGTCTTGAAAAGTACACTAACTTTATAAGAGATCCTGCCCATAAATTTTCAATAATCTTAAGTTCCAGGCATATTTCAAATGCTAACACCCTTTTCTTTGAAATTAATATGCAAGTTAAGAGTCAAACGCCATTGAGGGGAAAAACTGCTATTGGCACTGTTCAATCCTCTTTGTTATTTGTTTTACCCTCAAAAAATGATGATATAACATACGAGAAAAGATTGAAAAGAAAAACTTCTGGGTTGAAAAAGGAAGCTCCAGCATAACATTATAATTCTTTTATACATTTCATCTATTCTAGTTTCAACACCCAAAAATAATAATTAAAAAAATGGCCATAAAACATAGTTAGCCTTCGACAAACAAAATCACGCTTGAAGCCACTACCCTGCTTCCACCACCATCACTAAGAAGCAGTAAAAGCAAATAATATTAAAATAAAAGGAAAAAAAAAAGGCAGAAACATGAAATATGAAAATGAATTGATTATACCTCCAATGTCAAGAGCTAGGTGAAATAAATCATGAGATTGATTGGGCAACAAAATAGTTGGATATTTCTCCTCGACGTTTCCTTGAATTTCTGCTTTGCTGAGATCCAATTGAGGCCGTGAACTCGACCTGTGAATAGAAGTGTTAGTGGTGTGTGCCATATCCGATCTCTTTCTCTCTCTTCCCTCGAGTCTGAAAGCACGTTTGAAGTTGAACGTCAACTCCAAAAGCTATAATCTTCATGTAATTTACCAAGCCCGCCTTTAATATAAGATCCACTCATTCCACCCAGCTAGTCAACTAACTTCGTCACCCCACCAAACTACCTCTATTCCAAGTTCACGTGCTTGCTGGGTCCATCCTACACCCAATCACACCACTCACAAATACAATTTTTACCCCTCCCACTCGTTAAAAAGGAAAACAGAAAAACTATAAATTTATTTCTTGTATGAAAATTATAAAATTAGTCTAGTCATTCATTTTTATTCTTGTATGAACAAATTTTATAGTTTTATTTTTTATTTTACTTGAACAAACTTTTATAAAAAGTCATTCCTTTTATTGCCGTGACGGTGTTGTATTGAATTATTATATTTGATCGTATTTTTCGTTTTAGTAGTGACGTGAAATAAATTTACAACTCCAAGTATAAGAATATTATATTTTAATCTCTACCCTTAACAAAAATTTTCCGTTTAAGTATTTATAAAAAAAAAAACACTCTAACACTATATTTTTGCAAAGACAAAAAACAATTAAAAGTTCATACAAAAACTAAAATGTACAATTTTTATATAAAATACTAACTTAAAAAATAATATAATGTATAAAAACAAAATTTTAATTTAGTCAAAATACAAATATTTATTATTAGTTAATAAATATCAGGAAAATTTTTTTGTATTAATGGATTGTATATTTCTATGTTCAGTGACTCATAATTAGGCCGTATTGATCCAAATGCAAAATGTTTATGAATTACTCTCTGTGAGGAATTTGACATTAATTATTTGCTTGAGTACTTTATAGGTTATATAGCTTTAATTTGCAGTTCCGTGGGTGAGATTTATAACAGAAAAATATAATTTTTTTTGTATTTCTTTATGTTTATAAAAAAATAATTATTAAAAAATATTCAATCTTTTTTATTATTTTAAGACAATAAATACATGGCTTTGTAAAGTTGAAAAAAAATGAATAAAGATATAGCAAAATCATTTATAGTACCTGTTCTTCTGTAGAGAGAAATGTCACTGTATTTTAGCTACGACTAAAATTTAAAATCATATTAAAAATTAGCTTTACTAATCTCAACTCTAAAAATCAATTTAAATTTTATTTTCCTTTCTAACAGATAAATTTTCTAAAAATCGAGTTTAAGCAGAAAATAATAATAATTTTTAAAAATTAATTATAAATTTACTGTAATTAATGTTTGTTAGTAAAAGTTATTATTAATAATTATTAAATTCAGAGATTAAACTTAGGAAAAAAAGTTATTGTTTAATTAAAAGAAAAAATGAAAAATACAAGTCATTTTAAATAACTTTTATAATTTTAATACAATGAATAATAAATAAATAAATGGAAAATTTTATTATTTGATACAAACTTTTATTCATTTTCCTAGCAACGGGTAAATTACTTGATTAATACTAAAAAAAATGCTTGTAACGAGTAAGAAGATAATATTTTTAATAAGCCTGAGTACATAAGAAGTAAATACCTGTAAATTTAAAAGTGTGATACCCATAAGTATATATATTATATTTTTTTATTGATATATTATTTTCTAACATATACTATATGATATATCATATTATGTTTATATTTTTTTATCACTTTTTTGTCTTGGTTTTTCGAACTTAACATATTTATCATATAAATGTCAAATTTTCCAAAACCTTATTTCACTTAATTTGTTGTAATTATTGAAATAAAACAAGACAAGTAACTGTTAATTTTTTAAGACCATAATTTTGAAAGTTAAGTAAAATAACTTGATTTTATTAATTTGGTTTTAAAAAATGCAACTAATTGCAATCGATGTATCATTTTTTAATACTTTGGAAAAGTGGGAGTATAAGACTTGCAATAAATTTGCAACTTGATGAAATAACTTTGTTATAAGTTTGTTTTATTATCTTACTTTTGCTTTTACATAAAATATTATAATTTATAATATTTAACTTAATATTTTCATTTGAATTTTCATATGATGTTTTTAGTTGTGCTTTGTATTTTTTACATTGCATTTGAAGTATTTTAAAATAAATATTTTATAGTAAACATATTTTATTAACTAAATTATGGATAACGAAGATAGATAGTACCTGACGAGTCCAAGGATGATGATTAAAATTGTCATATGAAGATTAATATATATTTTCTTTTTAAAAACACAAAATGTTGAGATGTACTGTGCACTAGCTCCTTTAAATAGAACATTGCAATGTTAGCATTACTATTTCTGCTGATAATTTATAGTTGAGAGACATTGGTTCGCAAATGAATAATGCAAATAGTGACATAATGTTACCATGTGACTTAAACTAGTTAAATGAACCATACTTAGTCAACTTGTGTGAAAATTGAATCTGTAAAGTATGGTGATATGTTATAATTTAATTGCAGAACACGAGACATATATATATATGCATTTTATTACAATATTAATTACATTTTCAATTTCAATATTTTTTTATTACTAAGTGATGTTTAGTATAAAAATATTTTAATATTCCAAAGATATTGAACAAAAATAATTTAAAAATAATAATTGGTGAATAAATAAGAAATAAATTTTATTGTAATAATTGGTTATACAATTTTTTTAATTTTTTAGTAAAATTAATTATAAATATATGATTTTTATAAAATTTAAATAACAATTAAATATATTTTATGCAATTTCTCAAAGATATTTGTTTGAAAATATATTTCTCAGTACAAGTAATTTAATTAAAAAACAAATCCTTGTTTGAAGGAAGCGTCTATGGGCATGGGGGTGAGGGTTGTAGCAAAAATATTAAAAGCAAGTAAAAAGCAAAACCCTCCTTCTTAAACCCTAGTTGCTTCCAATCATACTGGCGGGCAAAATTCCAATGGAGTCGCTTCGATTGAAAACGAACTACCGTTGCGTCCCCGCTCTGCAGCAGTTTTACGCCGGCGGGGCCTTCGTCGTTTCATCGGACGCTTCATTCATCGCTTGCGCCTGCGCCGACTCCATCAACATCGTCGACTCTGCCAACGCCTCCATTCGCTCCACCCTTGACGGTGACTCCGAACCCGTCACCGCCTTGGCTCTTAGCCCTAACGACCGCTTTCTCTTCTCTTCCAGCCACACGCGTCAAATCAGAGTTTGGGACTTATCCACGCTCAAATGCGTGCGCTCCTGGAAGGTACCTCACCTACAAATTCAAATGCAAATTCACATTCACATTCAATTCGATGTTTGGCTGTGTGTTGTGTAACTAATGCGTGCGTTGGGTTAGGGTCACGATGGTCCGGTTATGTGTATGACGTGTCACCCTTCCGGGGGGTTGCTTGCTACTGGTGGAGCCGATAGGAAGGTTCTTGTTTGGGATGTGGATGGGGGTTACTGCACTCATTACTTTAAAGGTCACGGTGGAGTCGTTTCTTGTGTTATGTTCCATCCCGATCCTGAGAAGCAACTTGTAAGTACTTTGCTTAATGCTTTGTTTTATTGCTTTTTCATATTGTGCAGATCCGTTGCAGCATTAGTGGCCTGCTACGAGTTGATAGGTATTTTACGAGAATGAGATTTAATCTTGGACCTCTGTTATGTTAGCTAGTTGTTAAAATTACAATCTGACTCTAATTGAAGGAGGACCAGACTTGTTTTCTTGTTTATCCAATACGAAAATAGAATAACACTTGTTATGGGTGCTAGTCAACACGCGTTTGGTCTGGACTGACTATATAGTCAGTGAGCTGAACTGATCTGGGTGATTGATGATGGCGGGTGCAGAGAGACTGAGGGAGTGTGTTTGATTATTGGCGATGTAATGAGGTTTTTCCATTTGTTTATGTTTTTCTTTTTAGATTACCAGTTGTTGTTTTTGAAGTACAACTGCACAAGAAGGTGGAAGTTAACGTAATGTTAGAAAGGGGGGAGGGGAGGTTTTAGTAACACTCACCTAACGTGGCAAATGTGATTTTGTTCGTCTCCATATTCCTTGTTTCTAATTATTCTCAAGTGTCAATTTCAATTCAACATTTCTTCATATATTTTACTGATCATGGTGGGATTTATGCCCTCAGCTTTTTTCCGGCAGTGATGATGGTGGTGACCATGCAACTGTAAGGGTTTGGGATGTTTCCAAGACCAAGAGAAAGAACTGCATTGCAACACTAGATAATCATCGCTCGGCAGTGACTTCTATGGCATTATCTGAAGATGGATGGACATTGCTTAGTGCTGGAAGAGATAAGGTAGGCTCTATTATGGGTCCTTCACCTTTTGTTTTAATTTACTTGTGATACAAATTTTGCATCATGACCGTGTACTGTACCTTTGTCTCTTTTATTTATTTATTCATTCATTTTGGATTTTCAATTTGTGTCATCGTTTTCTCTTTGGGGCTAGCGGCAAAAGAAACTCCATTAAGTGCTATTATTACTATATATCATGGAAGTTTGAGTGAGATGAACCCTTAATTTACATACTGCCTGATTTCTCTAGAAAAAAATAAATAATAAGTATGCCAACTGTGATGAATTTAATCTACTAAATTGACAATTTGTGCGTGTTTTATTGACAGGTTGTAACATTGTGGGATCTTCATGATTTTAGCAACAAAAAGACCATCATTACAAATGAGGCAGTTGAAGCAGTTTGTGTAATTGGTGCTGGGAGTTCTTTTGCTTCATCTCTGGATTCATATCAGCAAACTGCAAAAAAACGTGTCGGTTCCCGAGCATTCTATTTTGTCACAGTTGGTGAACGGGGCATTGTACGCATATGGAATTCTGAAGGGTAATATATGTGGAATTTCTGAGTCACTAGTTTAAATATTTATAGTTTAATGGCATTTTGCATTATCTACACTTTATTAATTATGGAGTAAATTTTGGGAGGTATTCCAGGACTAAGATTAAAAATTGGCAACTAAATTTGTGTTCGTCACTGGAGATTTATTCTTATTGGGGATGCTTGTCAATATAGCTGGGCAAACTTAAAGTTGGGACTTGTGATGCAAATATTTTATACTGAAAAAAGTATATGAAGTCAATTTTCAAAATTGCATCAATTGAGGTGGGATCTATTCACTACCTCATTAGTTTTCTTGTATTGACAGTGCAGGTTGCATGTTTGAGCAAAGGACTTCAGATGTTACAGTCAGCATAGATGAGGATGGCTCACGAAGGGGTTTTACTTCTGCTGTTATGCTTGCCTCAGATCAAGGATTGCTTTGTGTGACTGCAGATCAGCAGTTTCTGTTTTACTCTTTGGAATGCTCTGAAGAATTGTTGCAATTAAATCTAACTAAAAGACTTGTGGGATATAATGAAGAGATTGTGGATATGAAGTTTATGGGGGATGATGAAAAATTCCTTGCTCTTGCTACAAATCTTGAACAGGTATGGAAATATGCATTTGTATCTAGAAATCAGTAAATTGTTGTGATTCAAGTATAATATGAATTTTTTAGGGATTGTTTGATTTTGGGAAATGTTTTCGATTTTTATTTTCTATTCTCATTCTATTTTCTTAAATATGTACATGAAACATCGAAAATATCTTTTTAATGTTTTCATTGTTTCCTGTACAAATGTTAGAAAACCGGAACAGAACGAAAGCAAGTTGGCAGTTTTGTAATTAAAAGTGAAAACAGGAAATATTTTTAGAAACCAAACATGCCCTTAGTAATAACATATCACTCAAAGCTGAAAAAAGGGTGGTTTTTTTTCCTGATTGCAGGATATTGTTTTTATTTAGTTGTTCGAAATTTTGTGGTGTTATTCTTGTCACTTCCTCAAATTTGGATTTAGCATGTTCTTGAAATAAACGTATGTAGTGCTGAATATGGCATTTGTCCATGATCCATGTCTCTGTTTATATGGATGGTAAATAATGCTATGCATTCAAATCAAGAATATATTATTTTTAGATTTTTTTAATATAAAGATAGTTTTGCAATGTTGTCATGGTCTTATTTATATGCTTTTGGTGAGTAGTGACTTATGAAATAGCTCAATAGTTTTTAGTTTGCCTTGTCTTTTGGATGAACACTGTATGTTTAGAGAGCAAGAAGTATGAAAAAGTTTCGTTGGTTGAACGACCATTTCTAATTTGTTGTTGTCATTATAATTTTTTCAAATATCTTGTAGTTTTGTATTTATTTGAAGTGATAAACATGCTTTTTTCTCATTCAAATATTATCTTATCATAGCATCTTTGTGAATCTAATATATATGATTTGAAAAATCATTGAAAAAGGTGATGAATAAGAATATAAATGAAAAATGAAATTTTAATCAGTAATATGTTGCATTGTATATGTTCTAATTTTTTGAACTTGTATAATTATAATTAATCAAAATTGTACAGTTATTATTTTAAAAAGGATGAAGGTAATGTAGACACCTTGTTACAAGAGTCTAGATGATTAATGAATGTAAAGAGTTCAGCATTTGATTCATCAGTCTTCAATGTGTTATTATTTTCCATTCTTTAGTCGAGTAAAGGTAATGTTTTTAGCATCTGACACTGGAGCTTTGCAGGTTCGGGTATATGACCTTGCATCTATGTCATGTTCCTATGTCTTATCTGGTCATACTGAAATTGTTCTATGCCTTGACACCTGTGTTACAAGTTCAGGGAGAACGATGATTTTAACTGGAAGTAAAGACAACACCGTAAGTGTTTACCTCTGGTCTCAATATTGTTGTAAAGATTGAGAATTTTCTTCTTTGGGAACTAGTGCACAAGGTGCACCTGTTCAATGTTAACCACCGGTGCTATATTAAGTTCATAATATGCTTGCAATGCACTGTGTACAAATCTTACACATAGGAATCAGAAATTACATGACAAATGTCCACTTGCCATATAGGTTAGGTTGTGGGAATCAGAAAGCGCAAACTGCATTGGAGTTGGTATAGGTCACATGGGAGCTGTTGGAGCCATTGCCTTTTCAAAAAGAAAACGGGATTTCTTTGTTAGTGGCAGTAGGTGAGTGTTGATGTATTTATTTCTATTTTTATTTAGCAAGGATTTATTTATTTTTTACCCTCCACAAGTTCCTGAATTCTGTATTCCTTTTTCCTGAGTGTGTGTTTGTATTGCAAAGTAATGATTATAAAATGAAAAAGAGCATTATAATTGTTCCAAGAGTCAAGAAGTGTTATGTCATGGGATTCATGTTATTCTTGAAGTGATGATGTTATAAAGTAAAAGAATAAGTAATTATACCACGGTTATTACTTCTAGTTTGATTCTCATAATAGAATTCAATTTAACACCAACAAGAAGTATTGACTTAAAAAAGTTAAAAAACAGTATTTGCAACCTTTTTGCTTTGATTGTTATCTATTTTCCTGCTCTGCAACAGTGATTTGATTTTACATGTTAAAAAATGTCATGATTGACCTTCTATGTGGTGCTGCTCTCTTTTTTAAAAATAGTGGAAATGAAAATGCGATCAAACTTCCTTTGGTTAAATGAATACTAGAAACAAGGACTCAAAGTGTTGGAGACGCTACAAAGTTGATCAAACCTTAATAAGTTGAAGAAGTTAAATGAAGAATTGAAGAGAAAACTCCTCAAAATTCAGAATTCTTTTAGAAAAATAACTCATTATTTGTTCCTCTTTTCAATACAATCAATTTTCAGATATACAGAAACTTTTGCTGATTTAGGGAATTAGCATTTATTGCTCTTATTTACCCTATGTAATTATAGAAATATTGAACTAAAGAATTACATTGATTGCACCTACAAAATAATGCTGCCTAGAGAATAAATTGCATTTATTTGTGCTTACATATGGAAAGCAAATCCTAAAATTGGTCCAAATAAAACAACTATTTAGGAAGCATTTTATTAAGCCCAAAGTACCAAGATTATGGCCAAATAAAGTCTGCCCACGTGTGGTTTATGTTCTAAATGCCTTATTTTGTAGCAATTTAACCTGAAATTCCTTCAACAGTTTCATCCTTAGCCCAAATGAGAATAAGAAAATGATTAGTGTCATATATAGGTTGAATAAATCTTTATTTGGCCCAAGTGTCTTGAACTAGTCCATTCAAATCATCCTTGAACCTTTTAACATGTACGTTTGTAGTGGGTTCAGTTGGGATTTGCAAAGGATCTCTTGAAGAGTTTGATTTAGATTGTTCCAGCCTTTGATTTGCATCAATAATTGAATTCATCTCAGCTTGTTTCAGCATTGGGATTAATCCAAGAAAATATGTTCCCTAAATTTAATCTTGTTTCTTTCTTTTTTTTTTTGCATTCTTCACTCAGTCACGCGAGACAGCTGCATTTATCTCTTCAAGATATTCTGCTAACAATGAATTGTTTCACCCAAACATCAAAAGTTGACTGCCCCATTCTTTCTGCTATATGAACTGAGTTTACTGTAGTGTTACTGAGTTGACTGTTAAATCCTTTGGTTTTAAACTTGCAAGCTGTTGAATATAGTGTTGTGCAAACTTATTTCTTATCAATCTGTCTGAATGTTTTTCAGTGATCATACACTTAAGGTGTGGAGTATGGATGGTCTCTCAGACAATATAACAGAGCCAATTAATTTAAAAGCAAAAGCTGTTGTTGCAGCTCATGATAAAGATATCAATTCTGTAGCTGTTGCTCCAAACGATAGTTTAGTATGCAGTGGTTCTCAGGTTGGTATTATATTTGACTTGCAGCTTTCTTTGGCCACTTAAAAATTAAGTAATCTACATATTTGCAGAAAAAGGTACTCCACCCTGTCCATTTCTTGTTTTATTTAGAGTGGAGAAAGAATTGTCGTTGTCTTAACACTGGCTTCCTTCCTTTACTTTTCCTTTTTATTTTAAGAATTATTGTCTTTTCACTGTTGTTATCATTATATTATTATTTTCTACTTGTCTCTTGTCAGGATCGCACAGCTTGTGTTTGGAGACTTCCAGATCTAGTATCGGTAGTTGTATTTAAAGGACATAAAAGGGGAATTTGGTCTGTAGAATTTTCTCCTGTTGATCAATGTGTGGTAACTGCATCTGGTGATAAGACAATAAGGATATGGGCTATTTCTGATGGCTCATGTTTGAAGACATTTGAAGGACACACTTCTAGTGTGTTAAGGGCATTGTTTGTTACTCGTGGAACACAAATCGTTTCCTGTGGTATGGGGCTATCTGTTGCTGATTTTGTTCTTCATATTTTGATTGCGTGTGATCAACTTAATTAATGTTTCAGGTGCTGATGGTTTAGTAAAGCTGTGGACTATAAAAACTAATGAATGTGTTACTACTTATGATAATCATGAAGACAAGGTGCCAGTTCATCCTTTGTTATGTTCCTTATGTTCTCCTGATTTTTTTAAAATTTTGATGTCATAGTATTTTTCTGTTTCTAGGGATATATGTATACCTGGAAAAAATATGGTTCAAATGTGTTGCTTGCATAATGTTCTCTGAATGAGAGTTCTTTTAATTTTAGTAATCAACTTGGTTAAGTTTGAATCTATTTAGCTCAAGGCCAGCAGAAATTATATCAACGCTGATAACCTCTATGCAGCACTGAGCGAGGTAGTCAAAATTAAGATTTTACTTAGGATCAGAAAGGTTAGAAATTTTGTATGCATAAGAGCAAAAAAAGGATGAAAAAAGGTGCCAAAATGAATGAGTTAGTCTTTAATCTAATGGGTCAACTAAAAATGGGCCAGATTTGTATGTTTTTTCCCCCCAAAAGAAACGGGTTTTAGTAGTATCTGAAAAATTGTTTGAGCCTATGATCCCACCGATCCTAGCAAAATGAATTAGAGAATGTGATCGGGATAGTCGAGGAATGGAAAAATTGTACAATCTTTATGTATAAAATTGCAATTTTCAACCACCTTGGCACTGAGCAGTCAAATTATGTTTTCCCTTATCACTTCCCATTATTTCCAAACTAGTGAAAAGTTTGAACACTTTTTTTTTAATAAATTTTTGTTAAGGGGATGTATATTATATTTAGGCAGTGGCATGTCTTTGATTTTCTTCTTCCATATAGTGTAGATTATCTTCTCTTATATTTTGGCTGGTTTGAATCTTAAGAATTAGTTAGTTTGAGTGAGTAGCCAAATAGACTCTGTGCTGTTATTTACCAAGATGCTTTCTTTTATTCATGATTTTTGTTGCAACTATATAAGGCATGTATAAGCTACTTCTTTCCATTTTTCCCACAATAAATCTTGTCAGGCATATGAATAATTCATGTTTTTTTCACTATTCTTTTGCTGAGAAAATTTTTCCTGCAGGTTTGGGCTTTGGCTGTAGGCAGGAAAACAGAAATGCTTGCAACTGGTGGCAGTGATGCTGCTGTCAATTTATGGTTTGATTCCACTGCAGCTGACAAAGAAGAAGCTTTCCGTAAAGAGGTGAGTTAAATATATTGTACATTTTTGGTTCCCTCATAGCATGGAGGCTAAAACCAGGGTCATGTTTCATGCTTGTTTGTCATATAATGATTGCTAAGTTAAGTTCTACTACTGTTTCCCCACTGTTTGTATTAGTTTAAGACAAACAATGAAGGACCAAGATCAATTACTCTACGAACTCAACTCTATGAGTGAAACATCTATGTGTTGAAGTCATTAAATCAGCCCTTTACTTGTCAAAGATTTGTGCCTTCAGCTCATTTTTTACCTGATCTCAACCTTCTTGCAAAATATGGGAACATGATATTTTTCATTGAAAATCAACTGCAACACCTCAATGGTATGTTAAATTTGATGGTTTGTTTGTACATTTTATGTTGCTGGATTGAAATCATAGACAAAGTGGTAAAAGGTGGTGTGGAGGTTGAATCATCATGTTTGTCCAACCATTCAAGAAACATGGTTCGTATGCTGGGTTTACTTTTCTGAATATAGAAGTGTTAATGGTTTTTAGTTTTCACAATAATCTCTTAGTGGCTTAGAGTTTTTAGAATCTATTGTATACGGACAGTTTCACAAGTGGAATGCTAGCAACACATTCTCCAACACACTTTTTATAACATACTCTTAGTTATTGGATAAAATGTATTGAAAACTACAAAAATCACGCAGGTCTCACTTTTTTTTGCTCTTAATTTGATGTTTCTCTTTCGTGCTTTTATAGTTTTTAATAAATTTTAATCAATAACTAGGAATGTGTTAGTGTGTTGTTAGCATTTCTCTTCAAAAGTGATATAACTTTGGCATTAAATCAATGAAGTACTATGCTGGACAACTCATGTATGCATTTGATATTCTAGATCATATTGTCAATCATAGCAGCTTTATTTTGCTTCATCATGGAGCATCGTAAAGTGCACTATTTTAGTTCATTGGAGAAGGGTCTTCCTCAAAATATGTTGCCTACAAAGTAACGTGATTGTGGAAGATTGTCCAGATATATTACCTATTTCATATATTTTTGGATATTTTCTAAAAGTAATGTGGTCTCTTATGTTGATGCAGGAAGAGGGTGTTTTGAAAGGTCAAGAGCTAGAGAATGCTGTCTCAGATGCTGACTATACTAAAGCAATCCAAATTGCATTTGAAATGCGCAGACCCCATAGGCTTTTTGAGTTATTTGCAGAACTGTGCAGGTTAGCAGTGCAGTGATTTATTTTGCTCTCTGGATATTTTTTGGCATACACTTGACTGATATTTCTGCAGGAAGAGAGGGGCTGAAGATCACATTGACAGAGCCCTTAAGAGCTTGGGCAATGAAGAGCTTCGAGTATTATTCAACTATGTTCGAGAATGGAATACAAAACCAAAGCTCTGTTATGTTTCACAGTTCGTGCTTTTCAGAGTTTTCAACATCTTTCCTCCAACAGATATTGTTCAGGTGCTTTTCTTTAACCCTTCTTTATGAGGCTTTGTACAACTGATCATGGATTTCTTGCAGATTGTGATGCTTTATGACTGAAATGCTTGGCTGATTATTGAGTATGGATTTGTCATAATTGTTGGTTTTATTCTGTTTATAACATCTGCATATGCTGCCTGATGTATTTAGTTAGACTTTGATATTGATTGTGTTACTTATTCATTTAATGCAATTGGGGATATCTTTTAGAAATATGTTATATTTGGCACCTGACAAACTCTATTGATATATGATAAACACACTAGAATTCTAGTGCTAGGATAAAGTATGTTGATATAAGTAAGATAAACAGATATAAATTGAATTCTATGTAATGAAAACTTCTAGGGTGTGTTTGGAAGGGTTTCTACCAACCTTATTTGGGCTTATATTATCATATACTTAAGATAAAAAGTGAAGGTGTTTGGTTTAAATTTATGAAAGTATCATATGAATATCTTGTAAATATTTTAAACTTGTTTAAATGCATTTCACAGTGGGGCTTACTAAAATAAGGATATTGAATCCAATTGTAGATTTTGGGAAAAGATATTTATATTAGAAGTTATTTATTGGTTTAACAAGGTTGTACACCGGTGTACGGTGTCAATGGATTTTGGCATATGGGTGTATATATTATTTAAACTTAGTAGTAGCAGTAGCATCATAATCATCATTGGTAAGATTTTTATTATTAGCAACAAGGATTTTTTGGCATATTTGTGTAAATTAAAATTCTATTATTCATGTTTGACGACATTTTTTATGGGACATTTCAGATTAAAGGGATCGGTGAACTTCTTGAAGGTCTTGTACCATATAGTCACAGGCACTTTGGGAGGATAGACAGACTTGTTAGAAGCACGTTTTTATTGGACTACATTCTATCAGGAATGTCAGTTATTGAACCAGAAACTCAACAAACAGAATCGAAGGCTGAGTTATCATTGCAGTCTGAAATTGACATTCCAGACAAAGAAAATGGCATCTTGGAGAAAGATCACCCGCATGAAAATACTGCTTCAAAGAAAAGGAAATCAAATAAATCAAGACACGGTTCCCATAAGAAAGTCAAGGATGTAGCTTACAACAAGGTCGAATCTATACAATTGCAGGGATAATATTGGTGCTTTCGTCCTCATGTATACACATGTATAATTGATCGATGGAAGAGCTGTTTTGGCTCATTAAAATTTTGAAATCTTGTCATTTGATAGTATGTAAGCCAAAATATTGCTGTCAATTCAGAAGATGAGAGCAACAAGGTCGAATCTCTTGAATTACAGGCATAGGGATTGGTGCTTTCGAGTCCTCCCATGTTTACATCTGTTGAATTCATTGACGGAGGAGCTGTTTTGGTTCATTCAGATTTTAAAATCTTGTCATTTGATAATATGTAAGCTAAAGTGTTGCTGTCAATTAAGAATATGCAAGCTTAGTCACTGTAATTGTATCAGTATTCTTTCTTTCGTATAGATTAGGTTTCTATTCCTGTCCTCAATGTGACATAGAAATGTTTCTTCAGCTGTCGATCAAAAGGCCATTGTGTTTGAAAGACCGTATAGGCGCCTAAAACTTTAGCATGAATACAACACTTAATTCTTACTACTCATTTGAGGCACCGCGGCAAATTTGACCCACAAAATTATGATGTTCAATTTCTTCCTCTGTCACAAATTTATGAAATAAGTAAAATCCTTATATTCCAAGTAGACTATATTATTTAGTTCCCCATTCTGAATTTGTTAGGCGCGTTACCAACAATATCATATTGCCAGATTTTTGTTACTTTTATGTTTGAGAACTATACATGTGCTGGTAACTTCAGTTTGTTATGGTCATGGCGTTTTTCCTGTTTCATCAGCTCCAGTATTTTAGACAGTTTTAGTGAGAGGAAAATTCAAAAACATTGGTAAACATTGTATGCAGATTCCAGTTACCGTTAAATAAACTTGTATGTTTGATAATTACGTATCTTTGAACTTTTTTAGCATTTGAAAACTTTTTAACAATTAATATTTCTTCTAGGAGACGTCAACCAAGGTCTTAAATAATTGTGCATATCTCACTTAATGAGCGCTTAATTTTGGGTATATTATCAGTATGACTTACTTTCGTTGCCGAGTTCTTCTTCGTGGCACTTGGTTTACCATGTATTGAAACCGTTGGACACGGAAGAAAAATGTGCAATGAAAATGGATTGGTACGGTCCGGAAAAAAAAAAAGTAGGAACCGAACCCGACCAAATGTTGCACACACACCAACCCGCCCGATCCACAAAGTTCAGGACTGGGCCTAAAAATGTTATAATCTTTTTTTATTCTTTGAAAAAAAAAAGAGTATTTAGTTTTTAAGTAATGCATATTTTAGTCTTGAACTTTAAAGATATCATTAATTTATCTATAAAATTATAAATAAAAAATTAGTTCCTAATGTAAAATTATTATGATTATTTTAGTTTTTAAAATTATAAATAAGTTATTTTAATTCTTAAAATTATAGATATCATTCAATTTGATTTTTAAAATTACAAATGCAGTTAAATTCGTTTTAAAATTATGCCAGAGCCTGATCACCCATACAACAAACATGTCCGAGTCCAAAGTAGTCGCAACTCAGAGGTATCGTGTTGGCTATGCTCTCCAACCCAAGAAAGTCGAAACGTTCCTTCAACCTTCTCTTCTCGATTACGCTGAACAAAACGGCATCGACCTCATACCAATCGACCCCACCACACCCTTACAACGACAAGGCCCTTTCCATTGCATCATCCACAAATTCCCCACCCAACAGTGGAACAAACACCTCCAAGAATTCTCAGCCAAACACCCTAACACTATCATCATCGATCCCCCTGAGTTAGTCGATCGCCTTTGCAATCGGATTTCCATGCTCGAGGCAGTGACCAACTTGCAAATTTCTCTTCAAAATGCCACTGTTGGGGTTCCCAAGCAAGTGTTCGTGAACGACCCGAAAACCTTCGATTTCGACAAAATCGAAGAACTGGGATTGAGATTCCCCGTGATAGCAAAACCGTTTGTGGCTGACGGCACCGCTGAGTCTCACAAACTGTGTTTGGTTTTCGACCGTGATGGGCTCAACGCGTTGAGCGTTCCCACGGTGCTGCAAGAGTTTGTGAATCACGGTGGGGTTGTTTTCAAGATTTACGTTGCTGGGCAACGCGTGAATTGCGTAAAGCGCAAATCTTTGGGTGATATATCCGAGGAGAAGCTGAGAACATTGAAAGGGTCACTACCATTTTCTCGACTATCGAACTTTAGCGTCGAAGACGAGGAAGGGGGTGGTGGCGCCGTTGAGACTGCTGAAATGCCTCCTCAGAGTTTGGTGTGTGAGTTGGCGATGGCATTGAGGGAAGCATTGGGACTTAACCTTTTCAACGTGGATTTGATAAGAGATGGTAAAGGTGAGAGAAGGTACCTTGTGATTGATATCAATTACTTTCCGGGGTATGCAAAAATGCCATCTTATGAGCCCTTTATCACCAATTTTTTGTTGGATATTTTACGCACCAAGAAGGCGTAGTTGAGTTACCAGCCTCAAGATGATGTTATTACATTACTGTCTAATCATTATCGTTATGTTTGTTTAAGTGCCTTTAAACCTTACTCTTTTTTAATGTCGTTTTTGAGAATGATCGGTGATATTTGGCACCTGTTATATTTGATTGGGGTTTTGATCATTTGAACGTCCAGGAGTCTTGACTGTATTTCCTTTCCATAAAACGTGGTATGGTATTATGATGTTAAATGCATGAATCAACACTCTAAAGCCCACTAATTTCAATTTTTTAAAAATAAATAGCTATCAAATTTTTTTAAAAATGATAACAAACATAGCAGTCCATTAAAATGCAAAAATCCCCCTCCATGGTCTTTACGAACCATTGTTATTAATCCTTAGGCATCAGAAACAGTTCTTTTTCGGAAAATATGAGCAAATTTGGAGTTCATTAATGAACGAATTAAAAATTGTGGAATATGGATGCTGCTAGTCTTCCTGGTAATGTCTCTTAGTAATACCATCAACTCGGAATTGCTTCAGAATCGGGTTCTATGCTTTGGTACCTTACGAATAAAGCTTTATTCTACTGCATATTAACAATCACCGCGATTTTTTATTCAATATAAGTAATAGAGACCTTTTGCCAACTTCACTGTTATGTATCCCTAATTTCTCTTGTCATCCTCAGGTTACCGGCCATGCTGTAGGCCAGAATATGTTCCATCTTACATTCGATGTATTAAAAAGCTAACTACAAAGTTTTGATAAAATGACTCACTTGTTTAGTGTGAAATGAAAAAAATAACTGTTACTATTTTATTTCATCAAACAACCGCACTTGTTTCGAGTTAAATTCTAGGACATTCTGGCAGTAGAAAATTTACACGTTTGTCAACACATTCATAGCGTCGTCCTCTGTTTTTCAGTTACCCCACTAAGCAAGGACACATCACATTTTCTTTTTAAGATTAAATCTAATTGCAGACAAATTCACCCAAATAAATAAATAAAATTACAACCGCATGACTCCAGGAAAAAAGTTATGAAATTATCATGCTATTAATTGTATTGTGGAACTTCACAATACTGCAATCTGCTTTATTGTATGCGTACATAGTTTAATGATTCGAGTCCTACAAACCAAGCAGAAAACATACAATCCATAGCCAGCGTCTCATATATATACCTCACATAATGTGAATAGTGAATACATTCTAGCTGACAAACTGCAACCAAAAGTCTAAAGTGAAGAAGTTCTTTGATGCAAAGCTGAATAACAGAACAAAAATAAGTCAAACAGTTGTTTTCATCATCATTCTATACATGGAAAAAATCAAGCAGTGGCAGGCTTCTCTCCAGTGGTTGCCTCTCCGCTACCATTTGCCTTAGCACGCTTAACTTCATAGTCCTTCACGGCTGCTTTAATGGCATCTTCAGCAAGCATGCTGCAGTGAAGCTTAACTGGTGGAAGTGAAAGATGCTTTGCAATTTCACTGCAGGATATCCATTATTTGTCACTTCAAGAACTCAAAACAACAGACAAGAACCATCAATCACGAAAGCATGACCAAGGTTAAATCATCATGCAGAACTAAAAACCTAGTGCCTGCAGGATTCGGATCCCCTCCCATTGTGGTAAGAACTAGACGTCCAGTTTCATTTTTATTTAAGCAAAAATGGACTCACTCAAATAAAAATAGAAAAAAATGATAAAATTTTTTTACATAAAATTAACTTAAGCAAATTTTTTTTACTTAAAGCGAATTTTGCATATTCTCTCTCAATCTTCTCCTCTCCTTCTCCCCCATACCTAACACTCCCTTCTCAACCTCTATATTCAACTCTCCTTCTCCTCTCATGCCTAGCTCTTTTCTTCCCTCCACCTTATACTCAACTCCTCTCTTCCCTCTACTCTATTCCCAACTCATCTGTTTCTTTTCTCCCTCACTTCACCTCACCCCACCCCCATACCCACCTTTCCCTCTTTTCTCTATACCCAACTCTCCTACCCTTCTCTTCTTATACTACCACCTCTATAACACCCGTTCTCCTCATCTCCACCCATCCTCAATTCCCTCTTTCTCACACCCAATTCCCCTCTTTTCAAGTGCACAAAATTCGTTTAAGATAATTTTGTATAAATTTTTTTTGTCATTTTCTCTATTTTTGCAAATCTGGATTTGTGCCAGCACATGTGATAATAAAAAGGAAAATGATATTTGTAATTCTCAAGTAATCCAAAAAAGGAACAACCAGCAGAAAAACAACATATCTTCCATCGTTGACCCATTACACCAAAGTTTTCTTTTTTTTTTTTTTTTCAATGCAAGCTGCCCTCTTGTCTTGTCCCAAAATTATCATAAGATAACAAATTTAAATGAATAAAACATTTTCTAGTCATTTTTGTATCAAAAGTATTAATTTTTATCCACATGATTGTTATACAGTGCATAATCAAATATACGATAGTATTATTTTGCACAACTCATACACATTGTCACACCAAACATTGCACAATGTTAAAACTTCATCAGGCATTACGCTACGAGCAATTACCATACCATATCAAGGCCTTATTGTAAATCAACTTACCATTGAAACACATAAAACTCAATCATATTCATTAGAATCCATTTACCTCTTCTCCAACCAACACATAAATCACATAATAGAACAATGAGGGTTAATATACTCACGTGTTTTTTATGGACAAAACCTCCTCCATTTGCTTTCCCTTCACCCACTCGGTAGCTGAACATAACATAACACAACATTGATAAGGTCATAGATTGAATGAGAAAAAACAGAGAGCAATCAAGTTTATGTGGAATTACCGACAGAGGAAGAAGCAATGGCGGAGCCACAACCGAAAGTCTTGAAGCGAGCATCGACGATCTTTCCGGTTTTTTCGTCGACCTTAATCTGAAGCTTCATCACATCGCCGCACGCAGGTGCACCAACCAAACCCGTCCCAACGCTCGGGTCATTCTTGTCGAAGGATCCTACGTTCCGAGGGTTGTTGTAATGATCCACTACCCTCTCGTGGTACCACCGCGCCGGAACCCTAACTCCAAACGACGCCGTTCCCAAAATCCTCTTCGCACACACTCTCACCACCATTTTGATTGCACACCAGACAACACGAGACCAACGCCAATAAAATTGGAAGAATAACAATACTTTTTTTTTTGTTATGCTTTAAATGTATAAATTAACTATTTGCCAAAAAAAAAAAGTATAAATTAACTGATTAAAATAAAAAATATTAATGTGGCACAATAAAAAATATTTGTTGCTTCCGATTAATTTTTTTTTATCTTTTCTAATATATGCTAAATAACTTAATTGATGATAAAGAAACAGGAATTATACATAAACGATATAATTAATCTTATAAAACAATTAACTGAATCTTAAATGATTTAATATAATTTAATGAAATGTTATTTAATGATACAACTAAGCAATAAAAATATATTATCATCAAGTAATAAAAACATACTAGTAAGCCTGCTTGCATAGAATTATGTTGATAAAAAAATTTAATATAACCTGAATTAGAGTTATACTATTCTTACAAGAAATTTTTATTTATCTTATTAAACTCTTTCTATTGTATTATTCATCTTATCATTAACTCTTTTTTTTTCTCTCTTCCTCTCTAAATTAAATTATTAAAAAAGTACAAATTTATTATATAATTATCATTCCTCCCTGAACTGTATACTTGACCAATCTAGCAGACTAACATTGGGCCTAGTCCAAACTATGTAATGGGCTGGGCTGTCCCACGTCCCTAAAGGGCTCGGTGGTTCAAAATTGATGCACAACACGAAAAGTTACAAGGGTTGCTTTTTCCAACCCCATTTTTACTTTTTAAATTTTTTCCTAAAATAGTTTATTTATTTAAAGAAAGTGTTTGTTTTTCCGAAGAGTGTCGAGTGGATGATAAAGACATACAAATACATGAAGTTTGATGTGGTGTTTTGAGAAGGAAACGCAAAGTAATCCACAGAAAGAAGAAGAAAGTAAAAAGATTTGTCGTTGTACAAAAAATAACACAACTCTAATAATCAAGGAAACTCATAAAGGAATTTTTGAAATTAACAGAGGGATGAGTGTGGATTTGCTGAATTTGCATGTTCATGAATGATATGAGGTCTTATATGCAACCGGGGTTGGGAAAGAATTAGAAAATCTTCCAATGCAAGACAGTGTAAATTGTCTTCCATTTTTATTGAGAGAAGTCACATAAAGGAAGGAAGATGATGAATTTCGAAAGTTTAACTGCGTGCCTATACTTCGGAAATATAATTCTATAACTCAAATTATAAAATTATAAAAATTTAATGTTAAAAGTTAATTTTATAGTTCTGGAATTTAAAGTTCAAAATATATTTTTGTATAAGTTTTTATATTTAAATTTCACAAAAACTCAAAAGTTTTAAAAAGGATATTTTGAGAAATAAATAAATAAATAAAACGGTGAGAAAAAAATAAAGTTGCAATTGTTAATAATGCCTCCACAACCAAAAAAAATTGTAGATGTCTTAAACAAAAAAAAAACCTTGTAAACGTCTATTGAACAAAAGAAAAAATTGTAAATATTTTGTTAAAGGGGTGACTCTGACTTCTTACATAGAACATAATGATAAGATAACGATTTTAAAAATATAATTACATATATATAAAGATTGAATTTTTGGAGAAAAATTAAGAAGGAAATGTTGACACCAACTGGAACTAATATAAGAATACACAATTAAGACTTCACATGCTAATCTACTTGCAAATATAAAATTTTAAAAAAATATTAAAGTTATAAAAATATCAAAATTTAATAAATCTTAAAAAATATTTTAATTTGATATCGTATCTCAATATTTAAAATTTAAATTAAATATAACTTGAGAATTTTAACTAACAATATTAAAAAAATACATATTGTAAATAAAACACCTTTTACAAGAAAAGTCACGTAATTTAGTAAAAAGTTAAATTATACATTTCATTCCTATATTTAACGTTCACTTACAAAATAATTTCAACACTTAAAAAGTTACATTTTGATCCTATACTTACAAAAAGTTACGAAATAGTTATTGTCATCATTTATCGTTTTCATGATTTTAGAGAAGGATAATGTGGTAGACATATCACATTTAGAACATTGACTCAATTGTAAGAGCCGTAATCTTTGTAGAAGATCCAAAATACTTTGTAGAAGAGAGAAGCATATGTGTAAGCTTATGTGTATACACAATGGCATAAATACATGTCTCTAAACAGAGAAAATATGTATAAGCTTAAACCTGCACATAGAATGTATAATAACCACAACATTAATATGATTTGCATAAACAATTCTTTTTCCCAAGATCAATTGTAAATACATATGCATAAATTTGCATTTCGTATTTTTGTCCACCAATCTAAATACATGACCATTTAGCAGACTCCATAACCTCCTTGTCTAACCTTTTCTTGGTCTTGAACATATATATTTCTTTGTTTTAAATTTCTCAACCAACTTTCTATTTTTTATAAATCTCTTCATAGTATATTTCCTTATCTACTTACATATAAAAATATCTGTTGTTCTTCTAGGCTCCTCCCATAGGGTCTAACTGCAGCTATTTATAAGGATCCTTTGAAAAATCTTGTAATTCTTGTATTATTTTTTTTCTCTCAAGTAGCATGATATGGTGATTTTGAGGTTGCTAATAGCTTGTCTCGCAATACAACTCCACCTTCATCGTGCTTCTTCTTGTTTGTATAAATATGTCTAAAGAATGTTTTTAAAAAGTTCAAGCATTTCTTGCCATGCTGGAACTAAACCCTAAAATGATGCAAGCAATTAGTCAAAAATGAAGATACAAATAAGTATTTATCCAAACAGATAAGCATATGTGTATACATTTTGCTAATAATAAATGAAAACTCACTTCCTATCATGATCAATGTCATCCAAAAGATTCTTTAAAAACTATGTTCATGAATATTTGTTCTCACTTTGGATCTCTTGCCATTGCAACTAACATTATAAGAGAGTCTCCTACTTTGCTCACGGATGTTGTCCACGCACAACCTTGCATCTCATTTTGTCATTCTTCTTAAAATTTAACCCATAAACTATGAAATGGAGGTGAATTTCATACCTAGCTTAAATTTGAATATTTTTCATCTGCAGAGTTATATTGTTAGTACCCTAAACATTCTTAACATTCACAAGTCATATATGTTATCAATTATTAATTCTTCATTTGTTAGAAACACTTCCTCGTTATCATATTTTCCATGCATAACATACACATTGACTTCTTGTGCAATGATATTTATCATAGCCTCTGCAATTTTCTTTGCTCCCTCATTATTCTATACCCTCTCTAGTTCTTTTTTCTACCTAATTCCAAACGAAAAAACACTTGAACACAACCTTTATATTCAAACTTTTTTAGTATCGCTGATATTTCTTGTAACAACCATTCATCAAGACTACAAATCACATATACTTTTCTACTTACATATTCTAACTAATTTTTAAAATTCTTGATTAGTGTTTTCAACGGATGTCCACCAATATTTAGGAAAATAGTAAAATTTGAAGGAAACAAATATGTAATTTACATATATCAATCGCAACAAATAATTATAAATAAAAATTTTATTTTTGTACAATACTTGACTGTAACTCCATAAATAAAACACCTAAATCACTGCAACAAACCACGTTAACAAAAGCAACTCTGAATATAGTAACTTCTTATGCAAGAGTATGTTAATAATAGAGGAAAAAATAATTTTTTTCTCTTTAAATAACACATGAATAAAAAAAATTACAAGTAATAGTCAAATTAATTTTAAATTTGATATGTCTCCGACGTCATCTTTCTTCAAACGTCGTAAAGATGGCAAAGGAAATATGAACTATTTTGTAACTATTTTTAATTGTAGAGACTGTTTTTGTAAGTGTATGACAAGTATAGAAACAAAATATATAATTTAATGTTTAATAAATAAAATGTTCTTATGCAAAAATTTAAATTTATATTTTCATATTTGAAGTAGATAATTCATAAAAAAAAATTAAAAAACCTTATTCATACGATAACATGCATATAGGTTTTACGCTTCGTTGAACTAGAATCCCTGTAGACCTGTATCAATGATCTAAACAGATTTTGGATCATCAATGCTCACATTAATCAGACGTTAAGATGATAATAAGCAGGATAAATGGTTGAGATTAGCTACACGGAACAAATTTGGCAACTGAATTTACAAAATGCATGGTTCTTCCATCATTATCTGCATGGAATCTAGCTCATTGCCCATCAATGAATCAAACCAAACAATGATCAATAATTTAAAATGAGAAGTGTTATAAATATGCAAATCTGTATTATTTAACACATTTTTTTACTAATAAACTGAAATTAATCACAAATTATGAATTTATGAGTAACATTTAATGAAAAGGAAACTCATTATTACACGAGTCTCAATAAACATCAATAATATTTTCTCACAACATTCACCGACTCCGCCCATATATCACCATATAATTAATCATTCTGAACCAATAAATATTTTCATCAAAAGATCTGTGAAATTTCTATTCTCACGCAGCAAAAGGAACGTAGCCTTTTCAATCAGACAAAATGGGTTACATAGTGTGTTTTAATCATATCATATATATATATAAGGTAAATTCTACGGTACTCTGAAAAATAAAAAAGTATTCTATACACTTGTATAAGTGAAATAATTATAATAATTAATTTTAATAGTGGAGTTAGTAGTGTATTTAAAAAAGATATAAATATTTTTTAATATCTTAATATAATTTAAAAAAAAGATTTAATGTTCCTTCAAATTTAGAAATATCGTATCAAAAACCTGTAAATAATATACACAAAACAAGTGGCTATGTATCTAGTGATCCATTTCTAAGATGCATGATGCATATCAGTTAAGTATTTCCTTGAGCCAAACCTGTTCGACGCAATGGTATTCCTGTTCAAGTTGGATGGCCGTAAATTTCTTCCTTCATTCACGTATTTAATAGTTATATTCATTGGATTCGAACTTTAACTCATCTTAATAGTTGATTCACATTGCTGAGCGATATTTAAAGGTTTAATTATAGTTTTTATATTTTTATTCCGTGTGACTTTAATTTTTTAGTTTAAATTATTGATATTTATTTATTTTAGCTTTTAAATTAAATGTTTTATTTTAATTTTTAATAATTAATAAATATATAATATTATTAATTTATAAAAATTATAAAATAATTAAATAATAAAAGTTTTTATTATATTATAAATAATTTATTTAGTATTTTTATTTAAATATTTTATATTTTTTAGTATACAAATTAAGAATGTGCCACACTCTATTATATTTTGTTAATAATTAGATGAGTTTTAAAATAAAATACTTAACTTGAATAATTAAAAGGTTAAAAAAAATAAAATATAGATAATTAATTCAAATTAAAGAGATTAAAATTATATATAACTTTCAAGATTCAAGAATGACCCATCCCTTGAAACTTTGAACCTAACTAAGGTTAAAATGCATAAATAAAGAATACAATTTAAGTACAATTTTTTATGTACTATTTATTGATTAAAATTTGAGTTTTATTTGAATAATTTGTGATAATATTAAATATAAATATTTTATTAAAAATTTTAATTTTAATTAGTAAACAATATAATAATAATAATCCCAATTGACACCATGAGTCAGCATTTTTTATGCGGAAACAGCATCCCCACTACCTAGTTGGGCATTCATATCTAAATTTATTCGCTGACATGTAGAAACATGCTTAAGTTTATGAAAGTACTGAAGAAGCTGTTACGTTCTGTCTTTTGTTTAAAAAATTATTTATTTTTCAATTTTAAATTCATATTTAAAAACAACTTGTATTAAAATTATTTTAATTAATACGAGAAGAAAAAAAAAACTCATATTGATGTGATATACTTTTATTTACATCCACTTATCATTCTGTTCGTGCATGCATTATATAGTATATAAATTTTCTTAATTATGTTATTTTTTCGGTGCTCCTTTCTACACTACGAGAAAAAATGAAAAAAAAAATTGATAAAAGAAAGTTGAATAAATTAATTATTATAATTATTTTGAGTGTGTGCATGTATTAGGTACTCGTGCTCATCATCACCTAACTTACATTATTTATAATGTCCTTGTGTGGTACTTGTTAAAGGGTTTTCAAGAAGCATATGTCAATAATTAAATGTCCATATATAATTAAACGATAAACTGCCATAGATTTCAATTAGAGATTACTCGAAGCTCGAATCCAGTTCCAGTTAATTAGGTATGTTTAATTTTTCTATTTCTTTAATCATAGTTGATCGAGAAATTAACATTTTATAACGAAGACTTTAGGCAAAAGAGGGGAATTGAATCCTATACCTCCAGATTTGATGGGACTGGAGAATAACGGATTCAAATATATATTCTGTTTTAATAATAATAATGATGATGATGATCAAGCTGTAGTTACTTTTTTAGTACAAGAAAAGAAAGTAAGTTGTGGTGAATGGAAGGCTTAAGAGAGATCAGCGGATTTGATTATAACACTTGAACTAGCATTTATCATTATTATTATATTAATCTAAAATATAATAGCTGTAGTCACGTGTTTTTTAATTTAAGTAATAACGGGCGTTCAAGTGAGTAACGAGTTTTAGATGCTTAGAAAGTTAAGAGACATTTTAATCCAAATTAATAGCAATACTTGTGGCGGGAGAGTTCCGTTTCACATATATGCATCGGATATTCGGATTTGGGGCATCACTTTGAAATCGTACGGCTTACCTAATTTGCCCAACTAGAATAACCCATCAGCTTTAATGTGCAGTTTGCATGCTTATGTAATTAGAAATTTCCAAAATTAAAGTATCAACACTTTTTATCGAGTTAATTGTTATTTTAGTTTCTAAACTAATAAGCATACAACTTTTAGTTTCTAAAATTAAATGTCCATATATTTTTACTGTATTATAGGATATATTGAAAACATAACTTATATATCAAACAAGATAATAAAATATTAGATAATTTTCTTTTATCTTACATATAAAATCCATGAACATAAACAAATTCGGGAGAAGAGAGCATGGAAATACGAGCTCCCTGATACTTTGTTATCATAATCAGTGATACAAATACGAGCTCTGAGACAGGGGCTGCTCCCTAGAAACCACTCTTGATCAGAATAGTTAAAGGAAGAAAAAGAAATTACTCAAATTAGAATCTTATCTTTTGTCATATCCTTCGTGAGGCAAATAACTGTACAGATTTACAAGTGATTAGATTTGAATTATGGCCTTAGTGAGATTTCTTCTCCAAATAAAAACATAGCCAGCCTGTTATATGCTCATTTTAGTGGGTTGCCTTTCCCTGGATGACTCGTGATGTAATTCTTTTGTTTTCTTTGGGTGCTTTGTCTCTTTGATTTTTCAAAGAGTTTATTTTTTATATATGTATACTGATTTGTGAACTTTTTATATTAATTATAACAGAAATTAATCATTTTTTCTTGTATAACATTTTATAATTAAATAATAATATAAAATACTTTTTTATATTACCAGCATATTTAAATTAAAATTTTTAAAAAATAAATGTAATTTTGGTTTTATTTTTTATTATATAATTTAGATATAAATAAATTTTTAATGAAAAATATAAATAATGTTAAATCTTGTATATTATTTTAATGAAAAAGGGTAAGTAATATCTTAATATAATTACAGATTTAAGAATAGATATATTTTATTGAAAAACATAAAACAAGTTTTTTAATATATTTTAATATAATTTTTAATAAAAATTATTGTTTATTAATTCTCTATTTAAATAAATCATGTTAACTCAATTAATTCTGTTTCACGTATTACTAAAGACAAAAAGTTGTTTATTGTATTAGATGATTTTAAGTAGCTTTAATTAAAATTTGAGCAAGTTTTTTTCGAAATTAATATACCACGCGTGTAAAGTGTCAGAGTAGGTCTAAAAAATGAATGCGTGAATATTAGCAACACGTTTTTTTTTTTTTTTCTGAAAAAAACAAATGGATTTAATTTAGGACGAAACAAATTTCATATGCATCTGTGTCTGCGTCACGTTTCCACTTACGGTTGTGAGTTCATCCTACTGCTACTTCCACTTCCATTTTCATTCATGAATCAGAGCTATATATGCATGACATTGGTCAATGCACATTCTCACCCGTCACACAAGAATTCACCAAAGTTCGGCGTGCGTTTCTTTGCTTGTTTGCTACTTTGTCATGCGTTGTTGTTCACTGCCTCGGAAATCGTTTCTACTTCCTTTGTTAATGTTTTTTCAGTTGCTGAATCTTATTTAGTACCAGACCCTTCTCACTTCTTTTTTAGTGCATCAATTTAATGTAACTGCAATCTTCTTCTTGTGAAAACAAAAAAATATTTTTTTATTTTTGATTAAGGTACCATTTCTCTTTTCATTTAATGTCCTTGTCACAAGTATCATAAACCATTGCCATCATTGTTTCAATCATGGGATCTCGTTAATCTTGCCAGATAAACCTATCATTGTTCATTCATGTCCTTCTTCTCAAGTGTTTCTAAACTGCAACTATTGCAGCTTGTAACTGAAGCGCTTGAGGTTTGCATATGTTGGGGTTGTAATGGTTGAACTCTAGTCTTCATTTTCAGCTTATGAAGAGTGTTCATTATTCTGGCTTGGTAACTACCAAACAAATTCTCTGATATTCTTGAGTCTCATTAGGATATGAAACCAGATCGTTTTGTAATCTTTTACTGACTCATTCTTTCATCGCTCACAACAATATATCCAAATTCCAAACATTTTTCGTTGTTATGTGATATCTGAATTCTTTAACTGGATTCATTTATTCATTTTCCTTATCAAGAGCCCAATTTGCTAACATCTAACTCATGAACATCCATTTTTCCTGCTTTCATGTTTAGGACGATTAAGATATGTAGGTTTCCTGTTTCTCTGCTCCAACTCCGAGTATAGTAGTAGGTACTTCTACTAAGCAACTTCAATCAATATTTGCCTCTAGAGTCCCATGAAGTGATTCCCCCTCTTCCAATCACATCTTCTGCGTCATTTTTCTATGAACCAAAACTTTGATCAATATTAAACCCTTTGTATTCCAAGAGCTTCATGGAAGAAACATTTGTTCCCCTACGTGGGATCAAGAATGACCTCAAAGGAAGACTTGTGTGCTACAAACAAGATTGGACCAGTGGATTCCAGGCAGGCATCAGGTTTGTGATATAAATTTGCATATTTTCTGATATTACGGTCTGACTTGCTGCTTTAAGTTTGGAGCCAAAAGTCACTCCTCCCTCCCCTCTTCCTAAAAAACACAACAATTGCATACCTAACGCAAATAGTACAAATTAAACTTTCCCTTATGAAACCAGGAGGACTATTTGTCAAAGATTTAATTTTGATGTTGTGTAATATAGGATCCTTGCCCCAACTACATATATCTTTTTTGCTTCAGCCATTCCGGTTATCTCTTTTGGGGAGCAACTAGAGAGAAATACAGGTAAGAGCATATTTTTCAGGTTCAATGTCCTTTATGGTAATTTAGTGGTCCTTTGCTAAGAAATACTTCATTGTTTATGTTTTATAGATGGAAGTCTAACTGCAGTGCAGACCCTTGCATCAACAGCACTATGTGGTATTGTCCACTCAATTTTTGGAGGGCAGCCCCTCCTCATACTAGGTGTAGCTGAGCCAACAGTTCTGATGTATACATTCCTGTACAACTTTGCAAAGGATAGAAAGGATTTGGGGCACAAACTATTCCTGCCTTGGACTGGATGGTATCTTTTAATCTCCTTGAGATTAAAAGGAAATTACTTTTGACTTGAAGTAATTTTCTCCACCTTTTGAATTTTAGGGTGTGTGTTTGGACTGCCCTGTTGCTCTTCTTGTTGGCCATTCTTGGTGCATGCTCTATAATCAACAGATTCACACGCCTTGCTGGCGAACTATTTGGCTTGCTAATTGCAATGCTCTTTATGCAGCAGGCTATAAGGGTTAGTATGCATCAACTTGAACCATTTTTCTTTGTAATCAGAAAATTGGATGTTTGGATCATATGTATAGGAGTCCTCTATTCACAACTGCTTATATTGAAACACCTGTTTAATAGTAAGGTTAATGATCTCTATCTTAAAGGGACTAGTGGAGGAGTTTGGTGTACCCCAGACCCAGAGAGAAGGTACCAATCAGATTGCACTCCAATCCTCTTGGCTGTTTGGCAATGGAATGTTTGCTTTGGTTTTGTCATTTGGCCTTCTGTTTACTGCACTAAGAAGCCGTAAGGCTAGATCCTGGCATTATGGGACAGGTATTGATTATACTTCCGAATCTTGATGTAGAGATTCAGTAGAAAATTTGATGCATTACTAGATACACTGCAAGTTTTCAGTACAACTTAGATAAACCACTTTCATTCCTCAGGTGCTAGCTCCTTCTGTTTGTTTCCATTTTTTTTACATTAATTCAAATTTTCCTTCCTCAATGCATTCAGCTAATTAGTATTTGCAATAAAAGTTGCTTGTGAAATCGGCATTATCATTCTAATAAATATGACTATGTAATAGGTTGGTTGCGGGGATTTATAGCTGATTATGGAGTCCCTCTAATGGTTCTTATGTGGACTGCTGTGTCTTATTTACCGGCCAATAAGGTTCCAAGGGGAATCCCAAGGCGACTTTTCAGTCCAAATCCATGGTCTCCTGGTGCATACTCAAATTGGACTGTAATTAAGGTGTCTGATTATTTAATGTGGATATTATCCTCACAGAAGACAATGGATAATGTTACTTCAACGAAAGCCTAATTCTAGCTTTTTGAAAAGCATGGTTCTTTGCTCATTTTTTGCTGGATTTTACAGGAAATGTTGAATGTGCCTCCCATCTATATTATTGGAGCATTTATACCTGCAACAATGATTGCTGTGCTTTATTACTTTGATCACAGTGTTGCATCACAACTTGCCCAGCAGGAGGAGTTCAATCTAAGAAAACCGTCATCTTATCATTATGACCTTCTCCTTTTGGGCTTCTTGGTAAATTATTTCTCTCAAAAATTTTGGAAATTTATTTGCAATACCAGTGAATGACAACAGATAACCTTGTGTATAGACATCTGACAGATTGTTTCCTTATTAAATCTTATTCATGTTGTTTGCCAGACAATATTGTGTGGACTTATTGGCATCCCTCCTTCCAATGGCGTGATTCCACAATCCCCAATGCATACTAAAAGCTTAGCTACTCTAAAACATCAGGTAATATAATTTTCTTACCTTCGATACTACCATAGCTCAACCGCTAATCATGAATCCTTTTTTCCAGCTAATTTCCTCATATATTTTGGTAGACGATTTTTTTAAACATTGTTACCGGAATCTAGCCATCTTTTTCATTCAGATTTGTGCTTTTATAACAGTCCTGGATTCTGTTTTTGGTCATCTGATTATGCACGCTACTAATGAAAAGTAACTTTCAGTTTCATGTTGAAATTATCCTACTCTTTCATTCTCTCCTCTCGTAATATTCTTGTCTATCATTCTTTAACCAGTTTTTCGATGTACAGACAAATTTATATAGCTCGTTTGCTAAGTTTAGCTTCTTTATAGCTAAGCTAATCGATAATAAAAAGTGTTTGTTTTGTATGGATTAGCTCTTGAGAAATAAGCTTGTATCTACTGCACGAAGAAGCATGCAGAAAAATATGAACCCGAGTCAGTTATACCAAAGTATGCAAGAAGCATATACTCAAATGCAGACTCCATTAGCCCGCCAAATACCACCAGCCTTGGTAAATGTATCGTACTATTTTCAATTGATTTAAAAAGTGTGATCTTTCTCACCTTTATTCTATATATTGTTCTTCAAGCAGGGGCTAAAGGAGATGAAGGAATCCACCATCCAACTGGCTTCAAGTCATGGATACATTGATGCACCTGTTGATGAGATTGTTTTTGATGTGGATAAGGATGTTGATGACCTTTTGCCAGTTGAAGTTAAAGAACAGCGCGTCAGCAATTTGCTGCAGGCATTGATGGTCGGAACTTGTGTTGCTGCTATGCCTCTTTTAAAGAAGATACCAACTTCAGTGCTTTGGGGTTACTTTGCTTTCATGGCAATTGAAAGCTTGCCCGGAAATCAGTTTTGGGAAAGAATATTATATCTTTTCACTGCTCCAAGTCGAAGATACAAGTATATCCATGCTCATAGTCAATTTTATCATTGCATGGTCCTAGGATTCATGAATTTAGTGCATAAGAAGCATGCATCTTTTGTCATTTTTTTGGAGTTCCACTATTAGTGTTTTTTTTTCTTATTCAAAATTTGTTGACCTGTTTGGATTGTGCTTATTCCTAGACTCTTAAACATATCCATGTTAAGATTAACGTGTTTGCATCCAAACACATGCTCATATTTAGCATTATCTTTCCAGTTTATAATTTGAAGAAGATGATGATCCTTTTTCTTTGTTTTATTTTCCCCAATTTACTAGAGTGCTGGAGAAACACCATGCGACCTTTCTGGAGACCTTGCCCTTCAAAACAGTTGCAATGTTTACCTTGTTCCAGATAGCTTATTTGCTTCTCTGCTTTGGTCTTACATGGATACCAATTGCTGGGGTCCTTTTCCCATTGTTAATCATGCTTCTTATCCCAGTACGGCAATATTTCCTTCCCAAGTTTTTTAAAGGAGCCCATCTTCAAGAGTTGGACGCTGCAGCATATGAGGAAGCACCTGCTATTAGTTTCAACTTGTCATTCGAAGTAGGTAGTTTGAACCATTGTCAAATTAGTATACAAGTCTTGGATTTGTTCATCTCAAATGGCACTGATTTGTGATTCCATAATGCCTTCCATTTATAACTGGGAATGCAGAAAACATGCTCCTATTTAATCCTTATGATTAAGTTTTATGTGAGGATTTATTTTCTTTTTCAAACATGATTATTTTTTGCCTTGCAAATAGCTTTCTTTGGGCTTTTGTTAGGTGGAGTACAAACTCAGCCAAAGCAGAACACCAAATATCCATATTCTGCCTAGCATTATATTACATATATCTGTCAAAGTTCTTGTTCACATATTAATGTTTATATCCCTCACAGGGTTCAGGTAGTGAGACAACAACAGTCAATATTAATAGTGGGGAAGTTCTTGACGAAATTAATACAAGGAATCGTGGAGAGATCCGCCTCAATCAAAGCCCAAAATCAAGGAGTTCAACTCCAACATCAGTTGGAAATATCTCAAAGGATTCACAGCATTTGAGTAACTCAATTGAGAGGGGAAACGAGCCTACGATCAATCATGAAAGTGATTAAGAAAATTTCTAGTCCATAGCCATCATTTTTTGGACAAGATTTCAAGGGTTTACCTTCAATCTAAAATGGTATCCTTAAGTCCAATGAAAATAGTACTAAATGATGCACTAGAGGACATTAGCTTGATTTATGCAACAAATCTTGTAGGCTGCTTGTCTCTCTTCTTCCTTTCAATATTTTAACAGAGTTTATTGTTTGACTGCGTTATTGCTCAACACAAAATGAGCTGGGGTATTTTCAACTTCAAGTTGATGGATAAATGGTGTTGTATCTAACTCTCTTAGGTAATTATATGTAGTTTATGTGATTTAGAAGCAACGAAGGGATTTAAAACAAAGAATCTGATGAGTATTTTAGTTTCTGTCCTGACTAAATAAAGCCTTGCACAAATGTATACTTAGTTTGGCTGTGAATCATAAACCTTGCGTTCCAGCTTATTTGTTGCCTAGTTTAATTATATCTGTTCTGCAACACATGTAAAACTATAAAACCATATTGCAGAGACCAGTGTTTCAACCAAATTGCTTATTTTCGTTTTTCCATTCATTATTTTCTGGTAAAAGAAAGCTGATGTTACGAATTTTTAGTGCAAAATTTTGAGAACGCATTTAGTTCTGAACAGCTGAAAATTGATGTCGTATGGAACATTGTACACAATTTTTTTTTATTTCTTTCTTACTTTTTACATTTTCTATATACATGCATCTCAAAAAATACATCCAAAAGCAAAAGAGACAAGTAAAAGTTGTCCCCAAAAGTTGTACAAAATATATTTTCATTGAGCTAAAGGCTTCTCTGAAGAAGTGCTGATTTCAACAGTGACAACGAAAGCATGTTTAAGACTATGACATGTTAGACACGCTTTTAGCTAGGCGTTTGCCTTTTCCTGGTTGGAAACCTAAGTGTTGACAGAATAGAGTTTCAAAATTGTAATCCAAGTGAATCTGTGGTCCTACATCTGTCCTTCGACTCATCTCAAGTTAAGCCCCTTTCCTAATAAGCACCAGGCAGTGCTTTCAAAGCTGTATAAACACTTGCATCTCGTTCTCCTTTTCAGTAATGTGTTGAGTACGTTAAATTAAGAGTTAAAGACGCACCTACTGTTGTTTTAATTTGTTGGGCCATATGGTTAGAAATATCAGTAATAATGAACAACTGTATCTGCAGTTGAGTTTATGGCTTGATGAGATTAATGAACTTGATGGCTAAAGGAGTAATGGGTTAGGACCCTCATGCGAGTGATTTTATCTCTCACTTGTCTTCCTATATTTTGATTATATTGGACCCTACACCAATTTATCATCCTCAAACTAAATACAAATTCCATAAATCAACTTTAAGATCATATTTAGTTGTATATTGTTAAGACGTTCAAATTTGGTTAAGAATAAAGTCATAGTACCCTTTATAAAACTTAAATAATTCATCTCTTTTAAGCTAGCTTTTGGGCGTGAGTTTGAGTTAGTATACTGTTTTTTTTCCTTGATATGAAATGTGAATATCTTTTAAATGTCCTCTTCAATGCTATCTTGTGTACTATGATCACTATGGTTGTCTACGTCGTAAAAGATGTGTTTTCATGGAGATACTATAAAAGATGTTTCCACGAAGGAGTTGAGGGAATCGTGGCGCTCATGGGGACACATGACATGATCCATCTAGCTAGATATGGAACATAACTTAGTGGAAATCAAATTCTCGTTGCACTGTCTCTGATAAGCACTACTCTCACCATTATCGAAGATACTGAAATTGTATAGACATCATTTCTTAGAGCAAGGAGACGTAGGAGCAAGGGGGTGAAATATACAGCAAGAACACGTGTAGTCATCCCTTTCTTATCAAGTTGAATTCACAAGGAAAATGTTTTGTGAACATTAAAAATAGACTAACAATTTTTTTTTTAAGAATGTATTTTTTAGATGATGTGTGTATAAAAAAAAATAAGTTTTAAAACAACAATAGTAATTTTTCTAATGTCAAGGTATTAACATTTTTTTAATTAAATTACTAATTCAATTATCTATAATATAAAATTAACAATTAGTATTATTTCACGTGTAAGAAAAGATATCAGCCACTCTTAATTATAAAAAGCAACCAAAATTTTATTGGATAAAAAATATGATAAAACTAAAATATAATATCGCATTCCATGTTGATTTTTTAAAATTCAATTAATGAAAATGTTTAAACGATACTATCTTTATTGGTACCAATGCAACAGTTCAGAAGGATAGGTGCAAACAAAATAGTAGTCTTTGTTGCTCCAAGTGACAGTTTGTTTCCCTTTAATTGAGACAAATCAAGTTTGAGTTTTTTTAATATATTTTCAACAACTTTGAGTCTCACTTCCTTATTGTTTTTGGTCAACCATCATCTCCTTTAAATGACTTTTTTGTCTGACCTTAAATGAGTCTATCAGCCCAACCCAGATTAATTAAGGCCCAATTAACTTCTGCATATTGTACTTTGGCCCAATAACAATAAGGAACAAAACAGTGGAAGACCAAAATAAATAAATAAAAAACAGTAGAAGAAACGTTAAATCATAACTAGGACGGAAGCTTTGCATTCAATTGCCCTCACAACAACTTTATTTTTTTAAAACTTTATATTATGTGTTTTAATTATTCTGAAAGTTTGATAATATTACTTTCGATGCAACTCAACTTTTTATTCCTAAAAATATATTTTATTTTTATTTTTATTTTAACAATCGCCTTCTAAACATTTCACTATTTTGAGTGTAATAGAATATTTTTATTTTATTTTATTCTCTTTACTCTCTTTTTTTCTGTGTATTCGAAAAAACTTGAGTTTGAATTAGTTTAATTTATAAAATTAATTTAAAAATAAATAAATTTACAATAAAGCTCAGTATAAACTTTTTTAACCAAACGTAAAAGTTATAATTTATCTTGTTTATTTAAACGTGAATTTAGAGTAAAATAAATAAATTTAAATTTACCAAAAAATTGACACAATAATAAAAGCATATTTACAACGTAATTATAAATTATAAAGGTGTTGTTTTCTCTGCTTCTATTGTGTGAGAACTACAGGTATCATCCACCTACTTAAGTTATGGAGAGTTGGTCCCAATGTACCTTACCGGCAATGTTCACGACAGTGATTGAAGTGATTCACGACCAAATTTGAAAAAAATAAAATAAAAAAGGAAGCCCTAATACCAACTTAATTAATTATAGAAAAAATCCTGTCCACTTCATGCATTAAAATCTTAGGGATTGGTTATTTACTGAAAGAATAAAATCTGTTTTTTATGTTTCCTATTTTATCGTGCCTATTAAATCAACAAATAAAAAAATAACAACCATATTAGTTTCCTATTTTTTATGTTTCTTTCATAAATTAAATTACTGGATTTTGAAGAATTTGTGGTTTAGCAAAATGAGAAAAAAGGTGGTGCGGTTGAAAGTTAAATTATCGTTGAATTCCTAGTTAGTCAAGGAAATAATTAAAATCTTTGTATTTTATTTTTCTTCTATGACAAAATTGTGCAAATTAATGGCTTAAAAATGTAATATTTAATAGTTGCGCAAAGGCTAACAGTGTAATATTTAATAATGATATGATAAAATGACATTACTCAATTTTTAAAAAATGTTAATTTGATCTTTAAACCATTTTTAAATTTGAAATATATTAATTTGGTCAATAAAATTTTATTAATAAATTAAATTGGTCCCTAAATAATCTTTCTCATTCAATTCAATTTTTATAAAAATTTTAATTAGTTAATTTAATCTCTAAACAATTAGTTAATAAATATGGTCTCCAAAAAATTTTAAAAAGGTTAATTTTATTCTTATAACCTTAAACAAATTTCTTATTTCTCGCATTTCTCTTTCTCTTCTATTTCACCGTTATTATACTAGCAAAAGTTTAACCACAGAATCTCAACTCTATCGCTATTAATCACCGTTGATTTCCTTCATTAACATCACCGCAATCATTATGCTGTGTGTCTAAGTGGCAGGTTTTAGCATTGTAATAGTGAGGTTTGAGTAAGAAATATAAAGCAACAACAATTGCATTGAGAGCAGGATAAAGAAGTTGGGTTAAAGTTATGTAAATACTAAATTGTTCGTGCAGTTAAGGTTATATAAAGACTAAATTGTCTGTTTAAGAATTTTGTTGAGACCAAATTAATTAATTAAAGATTCTTTAAAAATTAAATTGACTGGTTCATTCTTTAGGCACTAATGACCGGTTGAGAATTTTGTGGGGTTCAATTAAATTGATAAATTAAGTATATGAGGTTGTTTGCAGACTAAATTAATAGCTTTGATGAAAAATTCAAGTCATTTCACTCTTACATTTTTATTAAATGTAATGTACTGTATTTAGTTGTTACTTAATATGTTAAGTTAACTTGTTACTTAATATGTTAAGTTAACTTGTTTGTTATGAGAATTAATTTTAAATAATAATAATGATAATTAAAATAATTAATAATAATGTGTTAATAAATAATTTAAAAATAATAATAAAGTAAAAATAACATTTTTATACAAGTGGATAAATTCAAAAACACCTCATACCTTTGGATAGATATTAAAAAAAAACAGAGGTTAAAAGCCAAATTTTAATAGACAGCGCTAAAACAAACAAAAAAACTATTCCTCCTAGCAAGTGTTGTATGAATACTTAAGTTGTGTTTAAACTTACAATTTATTTAAAAGTTTATAATTTATCCTTAAAAATAAATTAATAGAACTATTTAATAAAAATATAATAAATTTATATTTTTAAACATTAATTTTTTAATTTTTTATTAAAATATATTTAATTTGTAATTATTAATAATTTTATATTTAGTTTTATTCTTTAAATAAGTTACAATTCATATCAATTTTTATGATTTGAGTGAATTTTTAGTATTCTTCATTGATAATAGGCACTGACAAGTGGGACGTTCCCGCAATGAATTTGACGGTACACGCGATTTGAGTGAATTGTACCATAAGAATGCGTCAATGGATGCTCTGAGGGGCGCATTGTGGAACATTACTTAGATTCAGAATTGCGTTGGCGCGATGATGAGGGAAAAGATAGTGTTGTTTGGAGATTCATTGACGGAGAAATCGTTCGGAGGTAATGGATGGGGTGCTTTACTCACCAATACCTATTCACGCAGGGTAACTCTTTTTTCTCCTCAGATCCATTTTCTATAATTAACAATAATAATAAATCATAATTTGAATGGTTCTTTCGCATGTTCAGGCTGATGTACTCGTTCGTGGATATGGTGGATACAACACTAGATGGGCTATGTTCTTACTGCAGCACCTCTTCCCTCTGGTATTTTATGCTAACCTAAGTCATTTTCAATTTTTCATCTAGTTTGCAGCATTCAATGTTTATGTTAATCCTACGTCACAATGTCATGTTTTGTCCCCTAGATGAAGGGCCGAATAAAATTGATTAGATATTTTTTTTAATTGTTTAGGTCTCACTCAAGTCCATCATGTATCTTCCACTTTTTATTTATGCTTTTATTTCAAGCTTTCTAAACGGGGTTCATTAGTATTGTCTTATTTTGGTAGAAGTTATACATTAAAGTTTCAGAATTTTCATGCATTGAAACTAAGTTGAGGCAAGCTCAAATTGTGGACCAAAATGCCATAAATTTTTTCTTTTAAATTAGTGTTCCTTCCCGCTAATGTGCAAAAACCTTAACGAAGTCCTATCAGACAGCGGAGGCCACGTGATGCAGTTAGGAGCTGTCAGACTTGTATCATTAGAGCCCTGTTATTATCTGGTATTTGATTCTGACTTGACATAGCAGAATTTTTCAAAGATGTAAGATAGATGAAATGTGGAAGATGGGTTTATAGCCTAGAGCTTAGATGAGCTATGATACCAAATTACAAGCTTAAATCCCATAAAGAAAGAAAATTCTGATTAATGGGAGGAGTGAATGAACAATATTGTATCGAATCAAATGAACTGTACAAAAAGATATAAAAACATGAAAACCTAAGTAACTCGCTGAGATGTCATATAATAACAGGGCTCTAATGATACAATTCTAACAGCCCCCCCTAAGTGCATCATGTGGCTTTAGCTGTGTGGCTATTGTGATGAATTAGATCAATATTTGGTGAAAGAGTAGGTTTTGTATGACTTGAAGAGATCAACATGGTTCAAATGTTTTCTACTTTTCATCTTAAATTAAACATAGTTCATAATTTTGTTTATGCCAATCAGGTAACTTATAATTTTGTTTATGCATTAAGTGTGAGGACCAAATTAGAAAATTGAGGGAACCAAATTTGATTAGACTAAAATCCTCATACTTACATTACAGTTTTGGAACAGTGAGGGGCCGGACTGCCAGAGCCTGTGTCACCTCCCTTAAAATCCTTCCTTACCTACATATAGCATCTTTGTTTAATTTTAGCAAATCACTCCATTAACCTTGCTTAAAATTTTAGCAAATTGCCCCATTAACCTTGTTTTCCAAGCATTTAGTTTTGTGAATGACTTCATTTTCAGGACTCAACTAAACCACCTCTTGCTACTACTATTTTCTTTGGTGCTAATGATGCAGCTTTGTCAGGAAGAACCAGTGAAAGGCAGCATGTACCTATTGAAGAGTACAAAGAAAACCTCAGAAAATTTGTTCTACACTTAAAGGTTAAATTTTGTTGTTTCAATGTTTTATTATTTAAACTTATGTGTTCAACATTTTAACCCCAATTTTTATGTGCATTATCTGCTAAATTCTGCCCCTTAGTTGGGCTTACCTATGATACAAGATGACATATTTTAATTGCAGTATATCCTTTCAACATTTGATTTTTCTCTTATCTACAGCTCTCATTTATTGTTTTATTTCCCAGCTAATAGCTGGTTGGACTATGATAGATTCAAACATGTATACAGTAGAAGAAAGAAGACTAGTCAGGAAATAAAAGAGTAAATAACCAATTCTGTTAATGGTGGACAGTTAGCTCTTTGCAATATAAATAAGAGCACAAAGATAGTTAGAAGTTTTTCAATTTTTTCCGTTGGAATAAAATAGACTAGTCTGGAGAGCGAGGTCTCTTGAATTATCTTAGGTTATTGGAGTCTTGTAACAATTCTTCATATTCCTAATCTGTACTACATTGGTGTAACATTGGGAATTAGGTTCAGCAATAAAGAAACATTCTTTCGTATTCAATTTAAGATTGGGTTCTGTCAATTGGTATCAAAGCACCGATCCTGGTGCTGAATGATGATCTTGGGGGAAATTGATGCATGTGAAGAACAAGAATGGAGGCAAGGGTCGAAGCCTGGGAGCGCACACTGCAGAACTAGAGCCATGGTCATGATTTTCAAGAAAACGTGCAAGACGAAAGATTGCAGAAGTTGGAGGATATGATTTCAAATCTCACAGAAGTCATAGTGGAATTATCGCGGAAGAATCAAGGTCATGGAAGAGATCACAGTCAAGAAAAAGATCGCAGTCACAGAAGAGATCGAACAGTGGGAGATTCAGATTTCGATTCAGAATGAGAGCGACCAAGTCCGATAAAAAATACGCAATGGCAAAAACTAGAAATTCCTATTTTTACAGGTGACGAGGCATATGGGTGGACAAATCGTTTAGAGAGGTGTTTTCAGTTGAGGGGAGTTCAAGAAGAAGAAAGGATGTAAGTGGTTATGGTAGCAATGGAAGGAAAGGCATTGAATTGGTTTCAATGGTGGGAATCTTGCAATCCCAATCCTACGTGGGATTCATTCAAAACAGCGGTACTAAGGCGATTTCAACTAACTATAATGAAGAACCCTTTGAAAATTTTGATTGGGCTGAAACAAACAGATTCAGTGGAAGAGTTTGTCAAATAATTTGAGAAATATGCAGGTTTCTTAAAGGGAATTAATCAAGACTATTTGGTGGTCTTAAATAGGAGATCAACAGAGGTAAAATTGCATGAACCCGACAATTTGGCAGAACTAATGATGAAAGCCCAAATGGTAGAAGAAAAAAATCAGGTTACAATGAAAGCGGCAACACAACAAGGGAACAAGATAGGTAATTCAGTCAGGTCATACACTGGGACACGAAGTTATACCAAAGAAACAGGGATGCAATCATCAAATTTCAGTAACAATAAAGGGAAGGAGGAGAGTTCTGACATGGCAAGTAGTGCTGGCAGTAACAATCCAGGAGAGAACAGAAACAGAGGTGCAACTTTTGAAAAATTGAAAGATGAGGAAATGCAAGATAAGATTAAAAAGGGATTATGCTTTCAATGTGACAAAAAATTTGGCCCAAACTATGTATGCAAAAATAAACAATTACACATGTTGCTTGTAGAGGAAGAGGAATTAGGAGGGACAAAGACAGTGATGGGGGTAGAATGAGAAGAGGAGGAAGAAAAAAGGGTTGAGAAAACACTACAGATGTCTATGTTGACGATGGCTGATTTGACGTCTAGAAATTCGTGGAAGATATGGGAAAGGATAAGGGAGGAGAAGGTGATAATCCTGATAAATTGTGGAGCTTTCCACAACTTTATATCCCTTGAGTTGATGAAAAGATGCAATCTAGTCAAAGAAGAAACTCTTCCCTATGTGGTGGAGGTAGGAGATGGACATAAGGTGAAATGTCAAGGAATGTGTAAAAGGTTTATACTGGAGTTGCAAGGATTAAAAATTGATCAAGATTTCTTCCTGTTTGAGCTTGGGGGAGCAGACTTAGTTTTGGGGCTGGAATGGTTGGCTAGTCTCGGAGAAGTTAGAGCTGATTTTGGCAAGTTAATTCTGACTATTGGGAAGAGACAGCAACAACGAATTCTATTAGGAGATCCAACCTTGTCCAGAACCAAAACCTCAACGAAGATGATGATGCAAGAATTGAAAGGAAAAGAAGAAGGGTATTTGGTGAAATTAGTAGAAACTAAACTTTTAGAGGGAACAGTGACAATCCCTACAATCATTGAGGAAGTGTTGCAGCACTACAACGAGTTATTTCAGGATCCAGAGGGCTTACCTCCTAGTAGAAACCATGATTATGCTATATATTTGAAAGAAGGAGCATATATACCAAATATTAGGCTATACCGATACCCTCATTATTAGGAAAATGAGAGAGAAGCTGCTACAGGAGATGTTGAAGGCAGGAATTATAAGGCCTAGCATTAGCCCATATTCTAGTGAAAAAGAAAGATGGAGGGTGGAGATTTTGTGTATATTATAGGGCTCTGAATATGGTCACAGTCCCCAATAAATTTCTAATCCCTGTTATAGAAGAATTATTAGATGAATTGGCAGGAGCTACATTATTTTCTAAGCTTGACTTGAAATCTGGTTATCATCAGATTCTAATGAAAAAAGATGTGGAGAAGGCTGCTTTTTGAACACATGAAGGCCACTACGAATTCTTGGTGATGTTGTTTGGTTTAACGAATACACCATCCATTTTTCAAGCTCTCATGAATGAGGTACTTCAACCCTTCCTTCAAAAGCATGTGTTGGTTTTTCTCGATGATACATTAATATACTGCCCCACTGTTGAGCTGCACTTGTCCCATTTGAAAGAGGTATTGCGGGTGTTACAAGTACACAATTTGAAGGTGAACAAGAAGAAATGTACATTTGGGCAGCAAAGTCTAGAATATCTAGGCCATATTATTTCAGAAAAAGGTGTCTTGGCAGATCCAAAAAAGGTGAAAGCAATGTGGCTTTGGCTCATTCCTAAGATCTCAAAGGTTTACAGGAATTTCTGGGTTTAACAGGTTATTACTGAATAGACTGGTCTGGAGAGTGAGGTCTCTTGAATTACCTAAGGTTATTGGAATCTTGTAACAATTCTTCCTATTCCTAATCTGTACTACATTGGTGTAACATTGGGAATTAGGTTAAGCAATAAAGAAATATTCTTTCGTATTCAGTTTAACATTGGGTTCTATCAGACTACCTATCCAAGGAAAATATTTTGGTTAATTTTGGGGCCTGCTGGTTCAAATGCACTGCAATGACCTGGTAAAAAGGAAAATATTAGGAAAAAGTATCAGGCTTGGTTCACTATCTCAGTATTTTTTGGATTCTTATGCATTGTAATGTTAGAGACATTATCTTCTTTCGTTTGATATAGTCTTGATTTTCCGGAATTTTCACATAACAAAATTTTAATCTTTTAAGCACTCAGATTCTCTAATCTTTGTTGAATGGTTCCAACAATTTTCTATTCTGTTATGGGTTCAAAGGCACATGATTTCTTCTGGCTTTGTTGTTTTGCTTTTGTGTTTAACTACTGCATTGGGTTGGGTTAAGTAGCTTACTGTTGGTTGTTTTAATACATCCTATTGGTAAAAAATTGGGCATAGCATGATTTTACCTTCATACCATTAAGTGTCGGTTATATAATCTGTAGTTGATTGGAAGTGATAATTTGGTTTCAGAAATGCTCACCAACTATGCAAATTGTGCTTATTACTCCACCACCAGTTTGTGAGGAAGGGCGTCAAGCTTACGCAATGTATGATAAATTCCTCCCCTGTGGTTAGATTCAGTATTCATAATCTGCATTTCCTTTTGGATACCATCTTACTGCATCGTAATGAACTTGGCTATTTATGACATTTTACTGATATCATCAAATGAAATTGTTCCTTCACCACAGCTATTATCTTTGCCAATATTAGAATCACTGTTGCATCCATATTTTTTTAAACCACCATTTGAGCATTTTTCTTCCGATCATATACATCTAAGTCCATGCAACACTATTGTACTATCTTGCCAACCACCAGCACTCATTGTCACCATCTAGAGTTGGGTTTGTGATTGACGGACAAATTAAGTTATTAAGAAATACCACCTAATAACCTGATATATCTATTTAGAAGCAAATACATAAAAAAAAACTTTTTCAAACACATAATATGACAAATCTTTCAAAATTAAAATAGAGTTTTCTCTGTAATTTCAACATTCCAAAAAATACAATAACCTGTTAGAATCAATACAAGATTTCTATAATATTAATACTAAAACATCTATTATATAACTAAAAGAAAATATAACTATTTAACAGTTGCAGAAAGTAAAAAATATAGCAAAAGCAAAAAGAAATGTCACTAGAACAATTTGGGCCTACTAATAGAGATTTTACTTGGATGAGCTGATATTCTTAGTAGCCTGTAACTTTATTATCTGATTATCTGAAAATAATAAATAAAAGAAGAATGAGTTACAAACTAGAAAGAGAAACAAATAATGCATGAGTGATTCATAATTATAGAACTTAAATATAATACGTCATTTTAAAAAGGAGTTCTTTTTAATTGCTCTTCTAAAAGTTTGATCATAAATAAAAAAATCCATAAATTTACACTGTTAAATATAATTATCTTTTCAATCACGGTGTGCTTTGTTACTATCAATGTCTAATTGAGAAAAAAATTTGCCACAACTAAGCCCCCATTGATGTGTGGCTATTCCTACTCTGATTAACGGCTTAAAGATGCTATATTTAAACCTGTGCTACATTACTCTTTCACATTACTGCTTTTGTATTCTCTGGTTATTTTTGGGATGTAAGACTGACTAGTCCATTATATTGTAATGGTCTGGAACTTCAAGAGAATGTTAGCTTGCATTGGCTTCTAATTATTCAGAAGTTAACTTCATGTTTGAGAAGTTTCTGTTGGGTCTTGCAGATCCTTATATGGTGAGAATGCTAGCAAATTGCCCGAAAGAACAAATGAAGTAACTGGTCAATATGCAAATGCATGTGTTGAGACAGCTAAGGAAATGGGTATTCATTATATTAATATATGGTCCAAAATGCAAGAAACAGATGGCTGGCAAAAGAAATTTTTTAGGTTTGTTACAAACTGAACTTGAGAACTATTGACTGTGATATAAGTTTGACTGTCTTGTTCAAAATTAAAGAAATATTTGAGTTTTTTTTTTATTAATGACGTGTTAAACTGCTTTCTTCTATATATGTATGAAAATTGTCACCGAAGGGATGAAAAGGGAACTGTTTTTGGTTTTTTTGGTCAACGAAGAGGGAGTTGTAAGTTTGGGATTTGTTTGAGTGGCATAATTTCCGGGATATTTAATTTACTGTATGCTTAGCATATCTGCAGTGAGATCAACACCACTGCCTTCTTGAAATTTATGGAAGATTCCATCTATTAATGGCATGTAACACTGATGTTTTACTGTTACAGTGATGGTTTGCACCTAACACCAGAGGGAAATGAAGTAGTCTACCAAGAATTGATAAAGGTATTTAATGAAGCAGGGCTTTCTACTGATAAAATGCCACTTGATTTCCCTCACCACTCAAAAATCGATTACAAAAATCCTGAGAGCGCTTTCCAGCAGAATGTTTGTCATATCACCTTGTAATAGGGTACTGGTTGGTCTGGCAGTTTAAACTATTCTAGTTGGTGACCGGTATGATTTTTGTCTTGAACTATGTTCAAATTTGTTAATGCTTTGAAAACCGCGTTCGAGTTTATGGCTATCGAATATCGATGTGTGTCGTCAAGAAGCGTGCAAACATTTATCTTCTAACTTGGTATGTTCGTATGTACATTGATGTCCTGAACATTTTTGCTAGCAAATTGATTATCATGTTACGAGTCTGGGAAGCGCTTGGTAATGTTAAGAACCTGTGTTCCTTTTCTCTTTGTTTTGGTAAAACAAACTGAAAGCTTTTAATTTTTACTTATGAAGTTAACTGAAAGTTGTAAACTTGTAACTTAATTTTTTTTTTTAAATTGGATCAATCATTCCAACTATTGAATCGGTGGAGATATAAGTTTATGGTTTATCAGTTCAATTGTTGTTAAAATGTGGTTGAATTAATAAAAGCAAAAGATAAATACTAATTCATGATCTTTATTACATTTGTTAAAAAAATTAAAAGTAAATTTTTTATTAAATAATATTATTAATACAATTTATCTTGATTTTTAATGTATACCAATATGATTGTAAATTATCTTCAATAAAATCTGTTGTGTCCTAAAAATGGGTTTTTTACCTAAATAAAATAAAAACAATTGAATACTACGTATATGCACCGAAATAAAAAGTTTTACATAAATGTCGTGATTTAAATTACATAAAAGTTGATTAAAATCGATTTCAGACACAAGTACAGAAGTTAATTATAATCGTTTTTGTAACTCAATAAAAAAGTTGATAATAATCTACTTTTGTGTCAGTTACTAACGTTAGTTAGAAATAGACCCTGCCTTAAATTATATAATTTCTTTAAATTTTTTATTCAAATTAAAGAATAATGATTAATTTTAATTAAATTTGTTAATATTTTTGTATAATAATTTTATAAATTATTAAATGATATCAATGTAAAAATAATATTTTAGAGGACATAAAATTTAAATTCTAAACTGCATAAAATTAAAATTCTATAGTACACAAAATTAAAATTCTAAAGTACATAAAATTAAAATTTCAAAGTACATAGTTCATAAAATATGTAGATCACTATGCAGCATATGTGACTATAGGCCACGCCTGTTGAGTTTGGGCCCAACAAGGTGACTCCCTGTTGCACAACGATGATATACAATATGTCGTACAGGTCTGCAAAGTACATGTTCCTCCTCATGTTGACTTTGGTCATGCATGTACTGGTCATCCGCTTCTTGCTATTGGACATTCGTATGATGCTCCTCCTCCTCCTCATCCTCCTCCTGTGAACCATTAAAGGAGGGAGTTCAGATATGTGTTGGTGATGGTTGATATAGATTATCTGGTGGTGGCATAGATCTGATTGTACCGATCGAATTTAGCTAAGACATAACCTCAACATCTGACATGAAGGATGGACTGAAAGATATATGTCGTGCAATATCATCTTAGGCTAGACCTGTGACAAAATGTTGCATAGGACTGAGAATAAGAAAAAAATCTGACATGAACTGATAACTATGGTCTGCCATAAAATGCTGGCTAGGGGTCATACATGGTTAGTAAGGGCCCCGGCATGAACTGGTGCTGAGAAGGACCAGTCGTGTACTGTTGTTAGTTAAGTCTTGACATGAAGTGCTGGTTGGGGTATGTGAGTGTCGGGTGGTATACGTAGTGTGAGGTATATTGTACAGTTGAATTTGCATCAGGTTGTACATCGTGTGACAGGAGGTCGGCTGATATATGTGCCTCATCACGCTACTAAGTCTACTAGCACGTGTATTTGTACAAAAACGATGCATGAAAGAGCGTCTATCTGGAACGTCATCAGGGTGTGTGATGTCAAGTGCTAGGGGGCATGTAGTGGTACACCATCGAGTAAGTCCCTAAGCTCTGCATCCTGTGGGACTCCATCCAATGACAAAAATCTATTAGCAACTGACAAGTACCACTGAAAGTATTCGACAGAGGGACGATCATCATCAGCTAGAAGACATGAAACTTGTCGCTCCCTACTTGCCTCCCATGCAGCATGCCATGTCACATGATAATCAGGTTACCATATATCTAGATCACCCCTCTCATTCTTAGCGTACAACCAATCAATATTTGTTGAGTTGATTGGTATATGTTGTGCTCCACCAAATTATCCAACTACGCAATCAACAAGGTGTCACTCAATCATAGTAAACTGTATAAGAATAATCACAGATACCCAAATCTCAGCCTCATCATACATGAAAGGAGATGTAATGTTCTTGACCTCATTATTGCTCCACGGCGGACGTCCACCTAAACTAAAATAATAAATAACAAATATTAGACAAAAAAAAAATATTTTTTTTTTCAAACAAAAGTTAGTAGTATACACCACGTTAAACTTATCCTAGTAATGTCAATTGAATCAATGATCCTCCCATATCGCGATAACTTATCTATATTTGATCTCGTCAATGACCTAAAATTTTTTCACTTGAAATGAGCACAATTAGTTTTTACTTACAAATTTAACATATATAAATAACAAAAATTAATATATTAATAAATAAATATACCTCAATGCTAGTAGAAAAGTGAGAGAATGATGGTGCCTAGGGACTATCTGAGGTATTCTGTATAATGCTCAAGACTGTATAAAAGACGAATAACTTGCAATTTTGGTGACATTGTATTTCACCTCACGACAAAGTTTACAATAAAAGGATACTAAAACAGCATAACCGTAACTATAATTTGAAATCTCAGTAACATCAGTTAAAAATAGTCACTCCATATGAACCCTAAATCTTGATTTATTTGGAAACAATACTCCACCAAATAGAACCATTATGTACATTCTAGTGTAATTAATAATAGTTTGTCTATAAGCATTGTAAGATAATGCTTCAAATATATCTGTGAACCATTGTAGATTTATAGAAAATCTTTTTATGTTTCTCTCATCAAGAACTGCTCAAGTAAATCTTCATACAATGCCCATATATTATGATCATAAAATTTCTCCCACGCTCCAATGTAACTACTCACAAGGACTTCATCTAAATGTAAGCCTAGTTAAAACACAACATCATCCAGAGTGATTGTACATTCTTCGTATGGAAAATGAAATGTATGACTCAAAGCTCCGACGTTCTACAAGTGCACTTATGAGTCCTATCATAATTAAATACTGGAACAATCTGTGCAACATGTCAAAAACTAGTTTGCCTAAGAAATGATTCCATTCTTGAATCTGGAGGAACTATCATATTATAACGCCTACTTTTAAAATTTGAGCTTCCTATACAATAACAAAATAATATATACAAGATTTAAATGAAATTATTATAACAAAATTATTATAATTATAAATTACCACAGTACAAAACTAAATTATCATAATAATTATAAATATATAATAGAATTTTATTTGCATTTCTCAATATAATAATTATAATAATAACAAACAATTATAATTAATTTACAAGATAATAATTATTAATATTTACACATCTTTCTAAATATATAATTATAGAATTAATAATACCTTAAATTAAATATAAAAATAACTAATTATAAATATTTAAAAATTAATTTACCTGTATTAACAGTTTACTTGTAATATGATCAACAAAATTAAGTCGATATAAATTGTTATCTATCTTTCATCATCTCTGTTATCTTCGCTGTTCTCCGATCCCTCTCTTTGACCTCCTTTCTCTCTCTAGTCTTAGTTTTCTCTCTACTCTTGCCTCTTTCTATATAGTAATCGGTTATAATTGTCTTCAAACATCAACAGAAGTCGATTTTAATCATTTTCGCTGTACTATAAAAGTCGATTATAATCGACTTCTTTGGATCCACAAACCAGTCACAAAAATCAGCTTAAATTGACTTCAATAAAGGATGAAAGTCAATTAAAGTCAACTTTTTTGAAGAATAAAGTTAATTAAAATTGACTTTTTCAAAGGCAAAACTAAATTTAAATGTAAAAAGGAAGTCAATTGTAATCGACTCCTGAGTATGAGTTTTAGGACATTTATGTAAAAAATAATTAGGACACATACGTGATTTCATATTAAAAAAGCTGTATTTCTGTAAAAATAATTCTCTAAAAATTGAGGGACATATATACATGTCAACTCTAAGTGTATTAAAAATTTATATATAAAAGTTTTCAAAAATTTTATTTACTTGTCAATTTTTAAAGATATTTTCTAATTATTATGGCTAAATAATTCTTTAATTTAATATTTAAAAGTTAATATTATATCATCCCCACTTTCCAAATTCCAAATCAGTTTTTCATTTCAAACCCTGTCTTCGCCTACTGCATTTCATCCCCACTACTATGTTAAAGGGTTTTCCTTCCTCCATTTTCTCTTCTTGCCATTATGGATGCATCAAGTGAATTTTTGATACTTTTCTATTGCTTTGTGTCATTAGATTTACGATGTTCATCTCCCAAAGTCATTGATCTTCTCCAAACACCTTTCTTCCCCTGCCAATAACAGAGCTAGCCTGCGATGCATCCACCACCAACGACAAGACATCACCCTATTGCCAATTTCAACGCTTTTTGTCTTTGTTATAATGGAAGATTTTTTAGAGGAACCTTTTTATATTAAGAAAATTTTCAAAAGATCTTTTTCAATAAAAAAAATTATAATAAAACTAATATAAAATTTAGTAAATTAATTGAATAAACCTTATTCGTCTACCTAAAGGAAACATAAGATGTCCCTCAAATGTCTCGCGCAAAAGCAAGCACCATTATTTTTTTATTGATTTCTTAAGTGATACCTTGAAATAAAATTTTATTTCAAAGGTCGGCAAATAAAAAGAAACAAAAAGAAATAACTTTGTTAAGTAAAAGAAGAAAATTGTCTTGTTAACTAGTATCCTTCGAAGAGCTTTGGTTAAAAAATTATTAAAAATCATGTTGAAAATGTATTAAAAATGCTAATATGTATTCTTGAGCACTGATAATAAATTTTTTCTCTTTTAATTTTAGCATTTTCCATAGGAAAATATCAATGAGCTATTTACTCCATTTCAGCTGTAATTAATTTTAATAGCAATCTCACTAAATTCTTAGTAAAGACAAATTAACGCAACCTTAGTTGCGTTATTCAGACATGTATGAAAAATGTACTTTCTTAAACAAACTCAAACAGAAATTTTATACTTTTATTTATTCTAAATAACAATTATACAAATATTTTTAATTCAATTTATTTTTAATATTATCTTTCCCACCCTTTTCTGGATTGTAGCCAATCTCTGCATTTCTCTTCAATTGTTGAGCACGCATAATAGTTACAGAATGAGAACTGAGTCCAAGCTCTGTCTCTGCATCATCGTTATTAAAAAAAATAAAGTCCAACACTTGAAATAAAGAAATAAATCAACATGGTGAGTGTGTATTATAAATGTAGATATGATGTAGAAGCTACGATTAGTAGCATATAAGTAAATGTAGATCCATGTTGTTCAAACGTGAATCTGAACATGTATTTATACACCGATACTTTCATTAACCTAGGTCATCATCTCTACCAAATCCAGTTCCTTCTTAACTTCAATCCCCACATTAGGTGCCATCATCTCCTGTGGCATATCTGTCTCATGATGGTCATCAACGTTAACTGCATAAACACAATGCATGCCTCCCTGATCGGATTGTTTTCCCTCCATAGTAGCAGCACATAGCATTTTTCCATCAAAATCTTTCTCATCCACAGTAGAAGCACTTTGCATATCATCTAGAAGAGAATCAATACTACACCCCTCTTCAAACAAATTATCATCCAAACAAATATCTGGGACCTCATTAAATTCATAATTTGGCACCAATCGGTTATTGGGACAAAATTGATCTGCAGTGTGAGGCTGAGATGTTGCTTTCCTTGTGCTAGTATTGTTTGTCTTGGCATTAGCATTTGCCTTAACAACAGATTTTTTTCTGTAGTCTATCGGTGGATTTTGGTCCAAGTTCAAGCTCTTGATATATTCCTGAAGAAGAGAGCCTCTAGGATACTTTGAACGACATTTTCTTTTGGAATATTGCCTTCTCTTGGTTGCATTCCAATGGTTTTTGATTGAGTTCTCAGTTCTTCCTGGCAATCTTTTTGCAATCTCAGCCCACTTATTTCCTATCTCTGCATGAGCTTGGATAAGTATCTTATCCTCTTCTTCTGTCCATATGTCCTTCTGCAAAATGGGCACAAAAGTAGTTTAATAAAAGGCATTATTAATCATATAAAAGTAGCATTCCAAAGGAAAGAATCACCTTATGTTGTGAGAGTTAAGGGGAACAAATTTCAATTATTGGATCATGCTTTTATTATTTATGTAATTTTATGTATAGACCCAGAAGTGAGAAATGTATCTGTACTAATTTATATTATATATGACATATGAATTGAAACCTTAATGTCAGGCCTTAAATGGTTATGCCATCTTTCTCTGCATTGTTTCCCTATTCTTCCAGGCAATGTCTGAGCAATATGAGACCACTTCCTCACTCCATATTGTTCCACCAGTTGAATCAACAATCTGTTAGGGGAATCAGTCAAAGCACATATATTTGTGTTTTTAAAACCAAAATATCATAAATTCCAAAATGTGAGAAAAAAAAATGATGTAACAAGATTAAATAGCCATGTAAAACCAAAGGTTTAATGGAAACTACATATTCCATGAAATTATGTACCTATCTTCATCTGCTGTCCATTGTCCCTTCACTATGTTGGACTTCTTCCGAACTTTGAATGTTCTTCTAGTGGTTGGAGTTTCCCTATTGGTTTTATTCAAGCCAACTCTCTTATAATAATTTGGTGGAGATATGTATGAGACTTCATCGGGTACAACAATATTCAAAGGCTTGGTTTCTAGAGGATTAAAGGGCACATAACTTTGGTTTCCAACCATCATATCAAGCTGATTCCTCCGAGGGAGGTTCAAACTATAACCTTCATATTGGAAATTGTCCGTAAGATGAGCATGCCCATTACAATTACTCTCAGGAAAAGGCTTGCACTCATAAACTTCAAAATCAGCAGGTGCAGATTCGCATGTTACATTATGATCAAAAGGATCAAAATTTGAAGTTTGGATGCCAAAAACTGGATTGGATGAGTAGTCATTCACATTAAACTGATCAATGCGAGGAAAGTCTTGCAGAAAACACTGTGAAGAAGGGTCTCCAAAGGGAATGTCATCTTTCATTCTGGATCTCAAGTAGTTTTCTTGCAAATGCATAGGTTGTGAGGCATAGTTTTCATTGAGGTTTGTTTCTATGTCCATGAGAGAAGGAGTAACAGAACCCAAGGGAAACATCTGCGTTTCAAGCCATCTCCATTTGCGTTCCTTAATAGGAGGAAGTGCAAATGCATTAATTACAGGACAATTGATATGAAGCATCAAATGGCCAAGATTGTTTCACATCTAGAAACTTGACCATAAGTTACAGTTCAAGAATAATATTGCGGTTACATATTTGCATGGTTAATATTGGTGTGGTCAAACATTCTTCTGTGAATAGATTTTATGCACAATTATGCCAAGGTAGTAATCCATGAATGCCACAAAGACCATACTAATATTCTTTGAGGATTTGAATAATAATTAGTGCATTTAGTTCATTTTATTTCTTTTCTGTAGTTTATGCCATTGGTTTCACTATACAGGGGTAATGTTGCAACCTGTTAATTTGACAAAGGAAAAAAAAAAGCTTTTAGAATTTACGGTAAAACAGGTTTATACATGTTTCAGATTACTAATTAATAATGTAACATATCATCTACTTCAGTCAATGAGTAACCTTCACTCAAGAATAAAGACTAATTAGGCTAAATTTGTTGACTTGCGAAAAAGGGAGCAATTTCACTACACTGCTGGCTTGATAATCTGAATTGGCTGATCAATTTGTGTATACCATGACTTTTTTCAATCTTTTGCTGACTTGATGTTTAAAAGACTAACTACTTGTTTGGATTAGATCAATATTTAGGACTGTTTTTTTATTTTAGAAAGATCTTTCAATAATATTTTAATCAGAACTTATTTTAACACAAGTTCAAACATATAATGAGCATTTTATTTGTGAAATCTTCTAATTTAGGGAAGGGGAAATAAATCTAGATTACTTGAAATGCATTTAGTTGATGAAATTTATTATAAAATTTACTAAAACAAATATGAATTTAATTTTGAATTAAGCTTGAGACATTCTCAAAAGTTGACACTGGCTTCCTCTTTTGTCTCCAATACAAAATAGTTTGACCTGAAAAATCTTGTTAAGTAACTGACAAGAGTTAGCAACCTCTATTTAATTTTCCTTAAAAGTTACAATAAAGATAATGATAAAGTATAATTCTTAATAATATTGAGCGTTAAATACAAATAAACTAAAAAATATGTCCGTACATGATACTATTTGTTTTTTTATTAAATTAATTTATTTTAAAATATAAAATATATAATTTAAATATAAAAAATATATAAATATAATAAAAAAATTATTTATTAAAATAAATTTTTATTTAAACTTATTTAAAATATGTATAATTTAATATTTCTTAGCATAAAATAAAATAGCATACAAATATCTTAATTTTAAAATGTAAAAATAAAATTTATATTATTTCATGATATCATAAATTATTTATTATTATTATTTTAAATAAATAATTATAAAGATAAATTATTAAATATAATAAATTTGTTAACATACGATATAAAATTTTTAAATAAAAGGTCTTATAATTTTTTATTTATATATTTGTTGTATTAAATTTATATGATAAACTATCTATTTATAATTATAATTTAAAATTATTAATAAAATTTTACTATATAATATTAAAACATAATATCATATTTTTAAAAAATAAGTTATAAGACTAATATATAAAAAATAAATTATTTATTTAACTAATGTATGAAATTTTAAAAATCTGTTTTCAATATCAATATACACAAAATTATATGTTAATATTTAAATATAAAGATATATTAAACTTTTTATATATAAATAAAATTACCATACAAAAATATTATAAATAAAAATTAATAATCATATAATATATGTACTGAATTTAGAAGTTTACTTTTTGATAAAAGAAAATATAGAATTGAGTTTTTTTAAAATGATTAAATTATTTTATATTTTTTTTATAACTTAATAAAATTAATATTGATTGATATTATAAATAAATAAATTTATTTAATAATCAATTAAGTATAATAAAATTATGTTATTTGGATCATAAAATTAAAATAATAAATTTATTAATTTTTCTTATATATTTATTTTTTATTTTTTGAAAATAATTAATACAGTTTGTTTATTATTTATTATTTTAATTAAGAATTAATACAAATAAATATATCTATAAACTAATTTAATAATAAAATAATATTTTAAAATTTTTATTAAAAGAACAAATATTAATTTAAATAAAATTTAAAAAATAAAGTTAAAATGCTATATAAAAGAAAACACATAAATTGAACTAAAAAAAATAAAAAATGTAAATTATTATTAGGTCTCTAATTATTTTAAAGATATATAAATATAACTTTAATATAAATACATTAAAATATTATATTGCTATTAAAAAATAAATGTGTTCTAAGTATTTTGACACAAATATAATAAATTAGATATTTAATTTTTATTTTCAGATTTTTTTTTTGTCTATTTCTCTCATATATTATTTAATTCTACAAAAAGAGGTTAATATTTAGTGACCCTGATTTATTTTTTTAATTTAAAAATATATAATTTTAAGAATATAAAATAATAAATAATTATATTAATAAAAAATATTTATACTGATTTCATATTTTTATATATAATATTTGCATTTTGATTTATATCTTGAAAACTAATCGTAAATCCATAAAATGACTAAATTTTTTTATTACCAAGCACTCTTCTTTGCGTTTGTAATTGAATGTTATCATAAAATTTTTTAAAAGTATTAGAATTTATATTCCAATCTAAAAATTTTAAATAATCATATAGTTAGAATATGAAATTCTAATAAATAAATATAATTTGATATGTTAATATAAAAAATATTTTTCTAACATTTTAAACACTAACTTCTATTTTTCTTGAATTTAAAGTCTTTTAATAGTTGTAAAGATTTAGACTTCATACTCATAAAATTTTAAAATCAATGATATATACATAAATTACATATAACATTTAAATTTAATTCAGAGTTAAAACATTATATTTTCTTTACTTATTCATTCATTATGATATAAAATTATTAAATATGAAAATAGAATAGTTAAATCATATTCATTTTAATTGTTATGATATTTAATAATTTTTAATTTATTTCAATTATTATAATTAATTAGTTTTGATTGAAGAGTTTTAAATTTATCATCATCATTATAACATTTTATAAAAAAAAACATTACAACAAAATCATTAAGTATGAATATTGTTAATTTTTTAATTTAAAAAAATTAAATTTATCATGATAATTATTATAATAAAATATTATCTATGTTAATAGGTTATACATAATTTTGATATATTAATTTATATTAAATTATTTTATAAAAAAATTAAAATAATAGAAGAGAAAAAAAGAGTAGTTAAAAATTTTCAATTAAGATTTAAGTAGAAACTAAAAGAGAAGAATTGTTGTATTTAATACAAAAATTAATTTTTATATCAATTAAATTTACAGATGTTGATATAATATAAAATTTATGAATTACATATAAGATTTGTCTAAGAATAAAGTTAATACATAATATATATAATAATAAAATAAGAGAGATATATATAATAAAATAACAAAATTATTTTATAAAAGACTTAAATATTTGGTGACATTTTACTTTTCAGACTCTACACAATATTAAAAGTATTTATACAATACTGCAATAAAAATGGTTCAATCTTCTAAATCTTCCATTGCTGTCTTTTGCTCACAATTTTTCGCTTTGTCTTCCTCAAGTTACAACCTAAAAGAAAATATTAAATATAAATTACTAATCTAAAAAATTTAAACAATACATTATAAATTTATAATTTATAAATTAATTTTTTTTCATTTTTTTGGTAAATTTGGTGTTTTCATGGTTAGAAATATAGGTGAACAACTTATTGTCAAATCATTTTCTTTTGTTTTTACATTTGTATTTATAAACCTTCTTCGTTCTCAATCTGTAAATATTAAACAATGAAAATAAAGTTATTCATCATTGTATTATAAAAATTATAAATGAAAGTAATGAAACTCTAATTTAATTTTCTATATTTCCTTCACTATCGACTTCGCAATTTTATTTGCAGTAAAACTTTGTCTTTCATGACTTTCAAATAAGTACTCATTTTTATTTAAACAATATATGAAGTGCCAATAATCTTTAAAAGTTATAGAGACAACTTTAACACTTCATCATTACCTTTAAAAAATTATCACATAAAAATAGTTATATGTTTTCATATATTTTATTTAGACGAAGTTATAAATTAACACATTTGCTTACAATTCCAGATGTTGTAATAAGATCTATTAACTTTACTTGTACTAATTGTTCAACAACTTCATCAAATAAGACGAATATAGTTGAATATATGAAATCTTTAACATCAAGTTCAAGACGAAACCTGTAATGTATATAAATTAAGATAATAATATATAATTCAATTTATTTTAATATGAAAATTTAAAAATTAGAATAGATAGTGATAAATTAATTACCTTATCATTGGATACTCTACGTCTTTGTAATATGAATCACATTTAAAATTTATATTTATGAAAGAAACTTTTTTCTTGCAATAAGGGCAAGAAATATAATACTAACTATTTTTAAGCATTATATTGTTCACAGTTATAATACAATCAATTACGATATTTTGAAAATTAATTAAAAAAATTAGTTTAAAAATTAAATAAGAAGAACAAAGTATAAAAGAGATTAAATTTATTATATCACTCTTTGATTTTGCCATTGTCAAGATTTCATATATGTTTTTGAAATTTTCTAACTTAAGAATAATAGTAGATCTTGTATTATCATTAAAATCTCTTCAACAAAGTGATAATGAATAATTGAAAATGTGGTTAAAATAAAAAGTAAAGAATTAGCAATAATTAACTTAATAGAGAGATTTTAAATAATTTTAATACTTAAATGAATCTATAAAATGAGTAACTTCTTGTGTGTCAATATTGACATAATTCTTTGTTTATCTTGATGTGAAAATATAAATATTACCTATAATACATACATTTATATTTTTTATAATTAAATATCACAGTCGTGATATTTGCACTTTTATTTTTTATTCATCTATTATTGAATTCAGATCGTTAAAAAAAATCTATTTATCTTCATTGAAACTTGTTGTTCTCCTATAACATCATAGAAAATATAAAAGTAAATAATTACTTGTAATAAATATAAGAAAATAATAAGAGATTTGATACAAATTAATTAATTAAAAATAAGATTCAATAGATTATATAATTTAAAAATAATGCTTTATGCTTATTCAAAAAAATAAATTAAAATATATAACACAATTTAGTAAAACAAAATAAAAAATATTAAACTTAAAAATATATATACTTACGTGAATCGATAATTCTTGATTGCTGACATTGTTACAACATAAACAACGGTAAGCAAGTTTTCAAAAATTGTGTAAATATGACTTGTATAAGTAGAGAAGAAGTCCTTCCTTAAGATATATGAAAAGTCAAAAAATAAAAACTTAATATAATAAAAGTTATTTTTTTATTTAAAATTTACTCTAATAATATAATATATAATATAAAACAATAATTCACATTCAAAGTATATTTTAATTTTTGAAATATATATAGAATTATATATTATATTAAACTAATTAATAAAATCATTTAAATATATAAACTTACATTTTCATTAGAAATGCAATTTAACAATATATAGTATAAATTAATAATTTTATAAATATTTTAATTTATGAGATATATATTTAACTATATATTATATTAAACTAATTACTAAAATAGTTTAAATATGTAAATTTGCCTTTCATTAAAAATTTAATTTAATAATATATAATATAAAATAATAATATTATAAGTGTAATTTTTTAATTCAATATATATAATATAACTATAAATTTTAATAAATTCTTCTTAAATGTATTTCATAATAAGTATGAAATAGATGTAATTTTAATTCACAAACTTTGAAAAATGTTGTAGTTAATTTTAATAAATTATAATTTAAGGTAATTTATAGTATAAATATTTACGTTGTCATTTGTAACATAATATAACCATCAATTCTAATAAAAAAAATTTTAAATGCAATTCATCAAATCTAATAAAGATTCTTTAAATACAATTCAAAGATAATAAGTTTGAATAAAATATAATTTCAATCAGTAAGTTTTACGTTTCAAATTTTAATATAGAGAATAATAATTAGATGTAGTTAATATGAGTGACTTTATAGGTTCTGAATTAATTTTTTAAATACAATTCATCAATTCTAATAAAAATTCTTTAAATACAATTCAAAGATAAATAAGTATGAATAAATATAATTTCAATTCATAAGTTATACGTTTTGAATTTTAATGCATAGAGTAATAAGTGAGTGCACATAAGAGTGACTTTATAAGTTCTTAATTTTAATGCATAGAGTAATAAGTGAATGAAGTTACATATATAAAAATGACTTTATACGTTCTAAAATTTAATGCATAGGATAATAAGTAAGTGTAGTCAATTTTCGTTAAACGTTGCAACAAAGACAATGGTAAAGTATAATTCTTAGCATATTGAGTGTTAAATACAAATAAATTCGTATAAAAAAAATTCAATTCAGAGTTTTTTTTTTTGTATATTTTTTTTGTCTTTTCATGTAACTGCACTTAATAACCCAATATCAGCGATTCGTCCATTACTTGAGAAGCAAGAAATGTGAGAGCTAAATCCGTCTAATAGATACCATTTTCCATATAGAAAGATAAGTATAAACTAAATATGTCTAGGTTTAATTACCCTACTTCGTCTTGCAACTTAATTTTGGTACTAGTGAAATTCACTGAGCAATGGGATAAACTACAAAAGACACCGGAGCCAGATTCAACTTGTAAAAATCCAGCATTGGCCTGACTGTATTAGCATTAGAATTTAACTTCATCATCAACTGGAATTTACAGAATTAGATTATGGCTGAACATCACTGTGCCAAATATATCAAATTTGGCTCTTTTAAGTTGTGGAATACATTTTGAAAGGTAAAGCGTGATATTATAATCATTAATTAAAAATCCATAGTTGGAATTGTCATCAAATACAGGCAACAGAAGTATAAAATACACAAGGCCACAAAAAATTTTGTGATATTTAATCAAATTTTAAACAGTGATAAAGTTTTCATAGAGCAGAACCATTAGGCACACTACTCAGACATGTATAATGAAATCCAGGACGTAACTTGAAAAAAAAAAAAGTAAGGGTCAAGAGTCCTCCTCAATCCCTATCTGACCTATAAAATGTAACTACAAGGTGTGTTATGCAACTAGCAAAATTTTACAACTGAAAATTAAGTTGTCTTTGGCTTAAGTCGCTTCACCCTGGAATATAGGAAAACACCAGCAAGAGCTATAGCAGTGCCTGCAGAGGAAAAGCACATAAAATCTCAGCATGAGGTATATGTAGTAGGAATATGGTTTGAAAAAAAAAGTTAAAACAGTTAAAATGGCAATTTTACCAAATGCGTTAATTGGTGATACAGGTGTTTGGAAGAAAATGACAGAGCTAACGATGACCACAACCCTCTTCACACAATTTCCCACAGAGTGGGTAACAGGTGATACCTTCTGCAGTATCATATAAGAAACCTGCACACGTCATTCACAGAGAATTATCCCTACAACATTAAGAAACATATAAAGCCTTTTACGCAAAAATAAATAAATAAATAATACGGCTTGAGATAAATTAAGACCTTTTTTTTTTAAGGCTCTTGCTATTTAGTAACAAAGAGGATGTTAATTTCAACTTTATTCAACAATGATCATTTATTCTTAAACAAGCTCACAGTTCTTTAACTAGCTAAAAAGTGTTTCTAGTTCCATTAAAAGGGTAGAAGCACATTCGAAAATGGACATGTTGCAGTCCTGATGTCAAATTATTTTCAACATTATTCCAACTTGAGTTATATTATTCCTAGTTATAATTTCCATAATACATTTTTATAATTTATTGTTTTTATTTCTTTTCATCATACCATCCATGGTAATTTTTTCTCTTTTGTTTCTATCTTTGTGATAGTTGTAAAAACAATTATGCAAAATATTATATAAATTGAACTTTTCTTTCAAACATTCATGTGCTCTACATAAGACTGCCAGAAAACAGAACAGGCACAAAGTTTTATTTTTTATATTAATTTTTTTTCTCGATATCTCTCTACTTGTTATATTGATCATTGGATTTTATATTTATCTCTTTTTCCTTTTTATCTTTGTTTTTATTGTACAAATATAATTTCTCGCACTCAAGTACCCTTCTCAAACAGAAATAACGTAGAATACAAGCTAATAAAAATATCTCAAAGCAAACCATGCCAATAGAAAGTTTTTACACAATGTGAAGATACCCGTGTGTTTAATCTATAATTTTATAAATCACCTAATATAAAAGAATTTATTTTGTTTTCTGGTTTTCAATAAGTTACATTTACTGATATTTAAGTCTAATAGCCACGAGATGATGTATTGAAGAAGTGGAAGTAGCAACTCTTTTGCATAAAATGGAGACAATTGTGCATAGAAGAGGAAAACTCACTTGCTGATATGCATGGAAACAGAGTGCAGCAAGAAGAGATCTCATGTACAATTCGCTAACATTTAATCCCTATCAAGAAAAAATATGTGATGACACATGACAGATTAGTACCCTCAACACCATGATATATTTCGATTGAGAGAATGCTGACAACAATCCTATCAATTTCAACCACATAATTCAAAATACTCACAGCGGATTGCAAGTAAGTAGGGGTAAATTTGACACCCTCCATGATGATAGTTATAGGTGCTGATAACAAGAAGGACATAACAGTTATTATTGAGAAGAGGGTTATGTTGTCCATAGATTCCTGCGAAGAACAAAATGTTTGTTAATTGTTATCTTCTGCTGGTTTAAAAAGATGAAATGCAATCTTAAAATGCTGCTTCTACTATGCCAAAATTATTATTGACAATAAAACAAATGCAAAATTTTGGGACGTGTTCATATATGATATTACCTCCTTCTTAACCATGAGCTTTTTGCTAAGAACATTGCGAGATTGATTTGTCAAATTAGAAGCCATTGCACTCCAAAATCCAGCCCTATTCAATATTATCCAAAAGAAAAAAACTACATATTATAATTCAAATGACTAAATATTTTCCTTTCAAATCATTCATTGTATTTCCCCAATACCTTACCAATTGAAAGAGGCCTCAGTAGCAGATGCTAGTGCCACCCCCCCAACAATAGGCACAAGCGAAGCAACCACCCATGCAGTGGGCATCTGCAAGAAAGTTAATCAAGGGATTATATTGGAGGTGATCTATATATGGAAATATTTCACATATATATCAGCACAATCATCCTGATATGCTGCCAACCTTGAACGAGATTTGATCAACAAATCACAGTCAATCAAGAGAATCATTCAACATAATCACGCTGATTCTTTTAGCATATTCATAGGAACCATTTTGGTTTATTAGCCTGTAAAATAGCTTTTTGTCTGTAATATGTACATATATATATGACTACTCCATCATCAAATAGAATCATCAAATTCTTCCATTACCAAACTTTGATATGGTATCAGAGCAAGATAACAGGGATGATGGAAAAATTGATCAACCTGTGGTGAATGATGATAAATCTGGGAACAAAGGGAAACGTGTGATCTCTCCCTATGATCTCAGTTCCAGTGATAATCTTGGAAATATCATAACTCAAGTTCAACTACGAGGAGAAAATTATAAAGAATGGGCTCATGCCATGCGGACATCCTTGCATGCTAGAAGAAAGTGGAGATTTGTCGAGGACACAGTCAAGCGACCAAAGGAAGGGACAATCGAAATAGAAGATTGGTGCACAGTCCAATCTATGCTGATCTCATGGATTTTGAATACCATAGAGCCAAAATTACGCTCTACAATCTCATATGTAGAAGATGCACGAGAATTATGGAATGATATCAAGGAAAGGTTCTCGATTGCTAATGGTCCAAGAATACATCAGCTAAAATCAAAACTGGCTGGATGCAAGCAAGAAGGGATGGCCATAGTTGCATACTATGGAAAGTTAAAGGCACTATAGGACGAGCTTGTTGACTATGAGAAGATTCCAGTTTGTACATGTGCTAACTGCACTTGCAATATGTCCACTAAACTGGAAAAACGGAGAGTAGAAGAAAAGGTGCACCAATTCCTTATGGGGTTAGATGATGCCACATACGGAACGGTGCGCTCGATGCTCACATGCGATCCATTGCCTTCTTTGAATCGAGTATACTCGATTATAATTCAAGAGGAACGTGTGCGCATGATCACACGAGTGCAAGAAGAACGTGGTGAAATTGTGAGTCTTGCAGCACAGGCTAAAGGAAGGAGTCGATGGAAAGGAAAAGACAAGTCACAAATCTGCAGTAACTGCAACAAAACAGGACATGCTGCTGATGCATGTTTTCAATTAATCGGATATCCTGAATGGTGGGGTGAGAGACCTAAAGGTGATGGGAAGCCCAAGGCACCACAGCGAGCCGCTACAGGACGAGGAAGAGGAGCAGTAGCGAAAGCCAATGCTGCTCAAACAAGTACAAATGGTGGTGCATTTGAACTTGTGATAGACGCAGACAAAGCTAGCCTAATTGGATTGACAACCGATCAATGGCGAAAGCCAATGCTGCTCAAACAAGTACAAATGGCGGTGCAAAGATTGATGGACATACTAAAGAAAGGTGAAGCTAATGAGAAAATGACAGGTACTTGCCAACTTGTGCCATGAATTATTGATACTGGAGCTTCTAATCATATGATTGGAAGTATGAAAAGAATGCATGATGTGTGTGATATCCTGCCTTGTCCAGTTGGACTACCGAATGAAGCACACACTAATGCCACGAAGGAGGGAACCATACATCTAGGAGGAGGGCTGAAACTCAGCCATGTCCTCTTTGTACCAAAATTAAAATGCAACCTCATTTCTGTATCACAGCTAGTGGATGAATCAAATTGCATTGTACAATTCACTAATAAATTGTGTGTATTGCAGGACTGCATTTCGAGGATGGTGATTGGTGCGGGTAAACGTCAAGATGGACTTTATTATTTCTGTGGTGGAAAAAGAATACAAACTCACAAGGCAGAAAGTCCAGACCGAGTAGAGCTATGGCACAAATGCTTGGGTCATCCATCATTTAGAATTACAGAGTCCATTTGTGGTGTCAATAAAAATAAATGTGAAGAATTGGTGAATAAAAATTGTGATGTATGTTTTAGAGCTAAATAAGCCAGAGAAAAATTCTCTATTAGTGAACACAGAACTAGTAATGTCTTTGAGATGATACATTGTAATTTATGGGGTCTATATAGAACTCCATCGTCATGTGGAGCTTATTACTTTATGACCATAATAGACGATTACTCTCGCAGTGTGTGCATTTACCTTCTTGTTGATAAGAGGGAAGTTTCAAAATCTCTTATGAATTTCTTTGCTTTGATCAAGAGACAATTCAATAAAAATGTCAAAATTTTCAGAAGTGATAATGGTACCGAATTCTTTAGCTTAAGAACCTATTTTTTGAAGGAAGGAATAATATTTCAGACTTCTTGTGTTAACATACCACAACAGAATGGGAGAATTGAACGAAAACACAAACATATTCTGAATGTCGCACGAGCGCTCAGATTTCAAGGTAATCTTTCAATTGATTTTTAGGGAGAATGTGTTCTTATAACTGGCTATTTGATCAACAGGATTCCCTCCGAAGTATTGGGTGGAAAAACTCCATTTGAAGTACTCTATGGGGTAGCCAATGAATACACATCTGTTGCTTTTGGGAGCAAATTTGTTTCTCGTGATATTCACTTCATTAAAAATACCTTTCCTTTCAGTCAAACATATGATGAAGTTGGTATCCACAACCTGCCCCATATTTTCAATATTCCCACCGATGTTGAAGATGATGATAGAACCCTCGACTTGAGGGGGGGCAGCGATGACGAGGCGGCCTTGTCCTCTTCCAGCAGCACACAGCCTGTGGCAGAAGATGACATGCCCACATTTCCTGCAACAAGTGACATGCAAGAAAATCCTTCGACCAGCAACACCCACGACTTGACCGCATCAGAAACTGATCAAATGGGTCGAGGAAGAAGACAAAAACAGCCATCCTCTCGGCTGCGGGATTATGTGACTCATACAATACACAAATTAAGCCCATCTCAATGTTTCCTCTCACTGTCTCCATCCTCAGGAAATCCTTATCCTCTCACACAATATGTGGATTGTAATAATTTTTCCTTGGTACATTGCACTTTTCTGGCAGCCCTTGAACAGGAGACTGAACCAGTAACTTACAAAGAAGCAATGAAAGATGTGAGGTGGCAGAAAGCAATGCAGACTGAGATTTCTGCACTTGAAAGCAATGAAACTTGGGAGTTAATGGCACTTCCTCCTGGAAAAAGGGCACTTGGATCCAAATGGGTTTACAAAATAAAAAGACAATCAGATGGAACAATAGAGCGGTTCAAGGCATGATTGGTAATTCTTGAAAACCATCAAGTTGAAGGGATCGACTACATGAAAACTTTCGCACCGGTAGCTAAAATGGTGATAGTCTTTGTTATGCTAGCGATAGCAGCTGCCAAGAACTGAAAATTACACCAGATGGACGTACATAATGCATTTTTGCATGGTGATTTACAAGAATAAGTCTTTATGAAACCACCTCCAGGATTTAATGTGTCTCAACTAGGAATTGTTTGCAAACTACAAAAGTCACTCTATGGGCTCAAGCAGGCTCCCCGTTGTTGGTTCGCTAAACTGTGTCAAGCTTTGAAAGGCTATGAGTTTGTACAATCCCTTTGTGATTATTCTTTATTTGTGCTGAACAAGTTGAAGATTAATATTGTTGTTTTAATATATGTGGATGATCTCATTGTGGCCAGAAATGATTGTGGTGCAATTGCACATTTCAAAGCTTATTTACATGCTTGTTTCCATATGAAGGACATGGGTCTACTCAAATATTTTCTTGGAATTGAAGTTGCTCGTTCTAGTACTGGTATTTATTTGTGCCAACGAAAATATGCATTGGACATCATTAGTGAAACGGGTCTCTTGGGTGCAAAACCTGTTGCTACCCCAATCGAAAAAAACACCACCTTGCCCTTGCTGATGGACCAGATTTCTCTTATTCTGATCGTTATCGGCTTCTCATTGGTCAACTGATTTATTTATGTTTTATGAGACCTGAATTATCCTATTGTGTTCATATGCTATCACAGTTTATGCAGCAACCAAAAGAAGATCATTGGAATGCAGCTTTACGTGTGGTTCGATATTTGAAAGGCAACCCGGGCCAAGGAATTCTGTTACGAAATGACAGCAACCTTCTTCTCTCTGCATGGTGCGACTCGGACTGGGCTGGCTGCCCTCTCACCCGACGGTCCCTCACAGGCTGGATCATCTTCCTTGGTAATTCGCTGGTGTCTTGGAAAACCAAGAAACAACATACGGTCTCTCGTTCGTCGGCAGAAGCTGAATATCGATCCATGGCCACTACTACTTGTGAACTTAAATGGTTGAAAAGTATCTTGAGTGACCTTGGGATATCTCACAGGCCCCCTATTCACCTCTTTTGCGACAGTCAAGCGCACTACACATCGCAAAGAACCCGGTCTTCCACGAACGCACAAAACATATAGAGGTCGATTGTCACTTTGTGCGTGATGCAGTAGTAACTACTGGTGTCATACAGCCATCCTATTTTTCAACTCACAACCAGTTAGCTGATCTGCATACAAAGGCTCTTGGATGCACACAATTTCACTCCCTAATTAGCAAGTTGGGCATTCATAGTCTTCATGCACCTACTTGAGGGAGGTATTGGAGGTGATCTATATATGGAAATATTTCACATATATATCAGCACAATCATCCTGATATGCTGCCAACCTTGGACGAGATTTGATCAACAAATCACAGCCAATCAAGGGAATCATTCAACATAATCACGCTGACTCTTTTAGTATATTCATAGGAACCATTTTGATTTATTAGCCTGTAAAATAGCTTTCTGTCTGTAATATGTACATATATATATATATATATGACTACTCCATCATCAAATAGAATCATCAAATTCTTCCATTACCAAACTTTGATAGATTAAGATAGGACAAATCAATTCACAATGTATTATTGGAAGTTGAAGCAACCATTTTGATTTATATGTATGCATAAATAACCAGACAGAGAACTAGTCTGAAAAACAAAACCATTAACCAGTATTAAACGGATTATCAAATTAAATGAATAGAAACAACTGGGACAAGAACCAGGTTGCCGTAACATATGATGCTCTAACTAACTAACCTCTCCAAGGAACATAGAGGAAAGGAGCACCGAAAAGAAAGGCTCCATTGCTTTTATTGTATGAGTAAAAGACACAGCAACCTTACCAAGACTCATGTTTGTGAAAAGGTTCCCTAACGTATGTACCAGAGCCAGTGGCAATATTGCTGCAAGCTGCAACCCAAGTAATGAAATCACACGTTAAGTCAAGAATTTTTATTTGACAACTTTATATGTGACTATTTCTGTATTATCTTTGAATCTCTTAACATTTTTTCTACGGATAATAAAAAAATATTATCATAATTATATTTTTTAAAATAAATTTTCCTGAAAACTAAATCATCAATAATGACATGATGATCACAAACTAATATAAATATTAGCTATATTAAAAAAAAATATTAATTAAACTTCATTTTATATATTTTATCATATTTGTATCTTAATTATTTTTAAACTTGTCGTATTTATAAGTACTTAATAGTCATACCTTAGTATTGACATAAATTGTACGACAGATGATAATTGTATCCATAGTGTATTGAACACGGCAAATATATGTAACAGTTACAGATCATGAATATAATACATAGGTACCTGGGTGGCACTGAGTTTAGGTCTCTTATAGAGATTAAAAGCCCAGATGAAGGATACAATGAGAGCACCCACAGCAAACTGAAGGGCCGTGACAGTTAAAGGGAAATGATAGACCTTCAAGACCTGTTTGTTGTATATATTGAAGTAGATATTGAAGATGATCCAAAGGCCAAAAAGGGCTCCCAGTTCCACCGTATTGAGCAGAGTGTTGGTGGCATTGGAGTCTCTCTCCGGCACCGGAACGGAGGTAGCTCTGACATGGAAGTGGAACAGAGCGAGTTTGAAAGAGAGAGGAGTGGAAGAAGGAAGAGAGCATGGGAAGGAAGCGACACTGAGGTGGTTGGGTTTGGAATTGGAAACAGAAGCGCGGTTTGGGTGGAAACGGGTGTGAGGTTTGAGAAGAGAGAGCGAAGGAGAGAGAGAGAAAACCGCGCTCTGCATTTTGGAGATCGCGAGTCTCACTCCAACGCAATGGTTATGGAAGAAGCAGTTTTTGTTCAAAGGTTGAGTTGCCAAACAAATAGTAATAATGATCAATGAATAATGAAACGATAGAAAATGACAACAACTACAGCGTGAATCTACATTTAAATGTCGGATATTCTATTCTGACGATGAACATTCATGCGAGCACTCGTTGGTATAATGTTGCCCTTTCTTTGTTTTCTATTGAAGCAACTCGTCCTTTGGGAGAAACGTGTCAAAGTTCGTTCCCAAAATACTCTCGTAAATAATTAGCTTTTTAGGAGATCAATTTGAATATGCCCTCAGTGCGCAACAAAAGTATGCGAATAAAATAAATATTTATTACGTTAAAATTATAAAAACATAAATATTTTATTTTTAATAAAAATCATTGATCTCGTATACTTAAAATAAAGGGAAAATAATAGCTAAAAAGGAAAATAACAAAAAAATATTTCTACATGTTAATCTGAAATTTACTTAAAATGAAACCAAGTAATATCACATTTTACCTTTTAAAATTCAAAATTAATTTGTAATTTTATACAGTTTTAAATAAATTAATTACATATACTTTTCTTGTAATTTTAAGGAGAATGATGATTTTTAATATCAAATTATCAACTGAGTTTTAAAAATATTCTGTGAAAATTGCGTGAGATACATGCAAGTTGGTGGGGAAAGTTTGCCCGATGATAGTAACTGGGAAATAAAGCATGACCCTTTTTTTGGCTAAACTTTTGATCGTTACTTTCTTTTGCAAATGGGGAAGAAGTGGCGGCTGCCATGGTAATGCTGATTTAATTCACACTAAACCTATAATTTCCACCAATAGCCGCCAGCTATATGCATATATTACGATTTATGGGGTATTAATTCAATCAATTTATGTTTAAATATAATTATTTTTTACCTAAGTATACTCATAAATTAGTATTATTTTATCTATCCAGTACAAACTCTCAATAAACAAATCTGTTTAGACACTCTTTTTGCTTAAATACATTCCATTCTTATATATTAAATAAATGTATTTTGACTTTCCGTTGTCTAATTCAAATTTTATTCTACAACTTTGTGTTTTCTTCATTTAAATGTATCTAGACGTATTTTGCTTCTACTTACATCTCATTCACTTAATTCTATAAATATTTTCGTTTGTCCATTAATTATTTATTAACTAAAATTAATCTAATTGTTATTCAATAAATTATGATTTCAAATGAATGGATTATATGTCTATCTACCAGTTAAAATATATCACAACTGGAAAATTTTCAATCAATCTTAGATGGATTAATGATAATTCAGTTTTTATTCATATTCAAAACCTGTCCCCGGAGATAAACGGAAGGGAAAGTGTAGTTGTAAAATATAAATTTCCCATCGACCTCAATTATATAAATGATCTCTTAAATATAATTTAACATTATTTCTCCATCAAGTTAGAATATAGCAAGAGAGGATCTCTTTCACATCCTTTTTAATTAAAAAATTGCTATACTAAGGAATAACAATAACTTTCATATATTTCACATTATTATATTATGCAATTTATTTTATGGTATCCATCCTTCCATTCTATAATATTAATTATATATATTTATTAAATGTTGAAGTCGAACCATCTATTTTGAGTAACTCATCCTTCCCCAATGGCCTCGAAAAAAGAACGGAACTTAATAATTTGTTAAATAGTCACTATACTCCTCAATAAATGCACTGGAACCTCCTGTTGATAATTTGGTAGCGGTCAACATTTCTCAAGAAAGAGTTTTTAGAGATAAAAAAGGGATAATATAAATTTAAAAATTTATATATTATTTATAATGATAAAATTTATATTAGTTTATGTATTCTATTTTAAAATATATTAATTTTAAATAAAAAATTTCTTTGCCCTCCCTTCCTTTGAAAACTAATCTTTATTGAGACAACCTTAGATAACCCAAGTTCCGCAAGCTTTGGAGGATTGTTTGCTTTTATTGCAACATTCGACAATGTTGGTGACACTCATCAAATCAGATGCTAGAGACCTAGCCACCTTTTACTTGCTGAGGCTATGGCTACATTTGTAGAACTTAATCTTCTTCTTTTATTCATAAGCGACCTCGACTGTGTGGATCCAAGGCAGAGATTGCGCCACGTCTGAGAATTGAGATTGGCAAACATTCACAGATCTTTATATTATTCTCCTATGGACAAAATATCTTATGCAACCTATTTGTGACACGTGTAATTTTCTTGTCCATACACAACAAAAATCGAACAGCGGTTCAGAGAGTTCAGAGTCAGAGTAAGCATAATGGATCCACTATCCATTACTCGCCACCTGGATGAATTATTTTGCAACTTTCTACATTCCCCATAATACCCTCAACACAAGGTCTAGTTTATTATGGTCGAATTAATTTCTCAAAAATATAAAATTAAATTAAAGTATATACCCCCAAAACATCAATAAATGAGAAAACTTAGTTTATTACTATAAATATACATAAAATATATAATGGTTAATTTGCAGTAGACAGTGTGATTAGTATTGAACTAATAATGAAACTGTGAACGGCATGGCATTGATTGGATTAGGATTTGGATGGATGGGTGCATGGCAGTTCAATAGAGAATAGGAAGAGGATTGGTTTGTGGGGAGAATTGGAAGCATTGGAAAATGCAATCGTTATGGTTAAGTATGAGGGTGAGTGTGGGTGTGAGTGTGAGTGTGAGGAGTGCTTCAGCGAGGGTGAGGAGGAGTGCCATCGTAGCGTCTTCTTCGGAGGGAGAAAATCGTAGCACCAGTTCCTTTCTCTCTCGGACACAAACCTACGCTCTCCTCAAACAACAATTGCAAGTAGCTGCTAAATCTGAGGTTATTGTCCTTTGTTATTCCTTTTACTTGCACAATTTGAAATTGGAAGATAAGAGGTAAACGTTATTGTGTTTTTTTCATTTTGTTTCTTCTTTAGGATTACAAGGAAGCAGCTAGAATTCGAGACTCGTTAAAGTTATTTGAGGACGAAGAACCCGTTTTGCGTCTCAGGAGATTAATGAAGGAAGCAATTGCTGATGAGAGATTTCAGGTGTATACTATTTTCGTTGCTCTCTCTTGTATTTCTCTTTGTGTATTTCTCTTAATTCAAAGCGCAAAAGCCTCTCTGTTTGAGGGGAGACATGGTAACTGTAGCTCCCCACACACGCTTGTCTTTTTAGAGGTTAAGTTCTATTATTTCAGCACCTAAAAATTTCACTGGTTTAGTTTGATGGATTGTTATGTTAGTCCTTTTTTGTTATACTATCACTAATCTTAGGTTGCCGCACCATTAACTCAGTTTGACTTATTAACTAGTTATCATCGTAGCTAAACTACTCAAGAGCTCAAACTCGTTTAGTAAAATGACAGTGACCGATTAGATGATAGTGTGAAAAAGGTTTTACAATGCGGACCAAAATTAAATGTTTCTTCCAAAGGAAAACATCATGTTTGAGAGTCGCTTTTGAATGGATGCTATTGAAGGCTTGCAAGGTCTTACGGAAGAGAGCTTGAGTGCTTATCGGCTTGGTTATACCTCTATATTTGATTTTTCAACCTTCTATGTGATCAGCACTTTTCATCTTGAATTGACAAAGCATGATTATATTGTCATGTGTATGTTCTGACTTCTGAGGTATGATTCCCGTATTAATTTTACATTTTGACAGTTAACACCCTTCCTTCCTTTTTTTTTTTTTCTTCTAGGATGCAGCTAGCTATCGCGATGAGCTAAAAAAGATTGCCCCACACTCCCTTTTAAAATGTTCCAGTGATGCTACAACATTGGTATGATAGTTACTTTCAGTAAAAATCTTTTGTCTTCTGGATAGTTCTTTCTTGATGTACGCTATCTCAATAAAAATACAATTAACCAAGAAAGCAATTTCCCTTTTTAAACAGTGTTTTAGAGTTGACAGCATTGGTAGAATAATTAGTTAAATACCATGTCTTCAGAAATGGAAATGTTGAGTATCTCTCTTGGAAAGTCAATTGGACTCTGGGTTGAGGAATTTTTCTTTAATAATTTTCTCCCAAGTTTGAGAATACCCGTTAGTAAGGTTGGTGGCTTAGATAGTTGGAAGAAATGAAGCAAGCAGCCTATAAATAGAGAGATTTATCTTGTCATTTGAAAGGAAATTGGGTATCAAGAAATATTTTCCCTATTCTTTGTAATAAAATATCAGGTTTCTATCAACCCCTCTTACAAAAATGTTCCAGTTTTCTTCTCTGTTAGAAACCATTCATCTTCTAATTTGGATTGCATTGATCTTTAATGGAACTAAACTTTTTTTCCTTTGATGTCTTCATGGAAAAAATAAATTACAAATCTGTATTTCATGAGATAAATCGCAGTTTGACCAAAAAAATAAAATCTGAACTCTTGACATTTAATTGATTTATTCAGGGAATCAGGGTTCAAGTTAGGAGTGTGTATATAGAGGGCAGAAGTCAGCCTTCAAAGGGGCTTTACTTCTTTGCATATAGAATTAGAATTACCAATAACTCAGACCACCCTGTTCAACTTCTTAGAAGACATTGGATTGTAACCGATGCTAATGGGAGAATGGAAAATGTCTGGTGAGTTTATTATTCTTACCTTTTGCTTATATTGTTAACTTATTGGTTTTTATGCTTCAAGGGTGTTTTTCTTTTTCCTTTTAAACCCATGGGGCACTAGTTAATGACAGAACAAAATGACTTTGATCCTGTCGCCAATTCTACTTAGTTAAAAGAAAACTTGTTGTTTTGAACTTCTGGGGATTCAAATTCAACATAACTTCTTTACCTTATTTCCACATGACAGGGGGATTGGGGTTGTAGGTGAACAGCCAGTAATACTTCCCAGGAATAGTTTTGAATACTCTTCAGCATGCCCATTGAGCACACCAAATGGTAGAATGGTAAGAAAGTTGTTTTTATTTTCTGTTACAATTTCCTTAGATTATCAGAATTGGTCCGAGTAAGGTGGTACCCTTACAAAATTGTTGATTATATTTGACCATTAGTGTTAAAATTACCTTTCTATCAAATATAAGCACAAGAGATTTTGACGCTTAGGTATTATGCAATCAAATAGTATTATAACCACGAAGAAAGATAAAAGCACCGGATTTCCTCCTTCCTTTTATTTGTATATTCTTTTTAGAATATTCATTAATTTGCTTCAATCAAATAAATTTTATACTTGTCTTAAGCCTTTTGCGCTTGGAGACACTTCGTTGTCTCTGTATTTCGATAAAAAATCTAACCTATAGAAACCCATAGTAAATCTCCTTTGGAATTAAACATAGGTGTCATTAAGTTTGACTGTTAGAGTGGGTGCAATGCCGCCATGATTTCAAACCAAACAGCTGTCATTATTTACATAGTCAACAGATCTTACCAGAGGAAAATGAAAGCAAAAGTAAAAGCCTTATTGAAGCCCATGTTTTATTTTTACGTGCTTCAACATGATTTGGTTGGTTCATGGTTGCTTCCTATTTTTCATTATTCCATCATTACTTTTAGTATTACTACGGAATGAGTCGGTATCATGATTTTGGCCATGCAACACTCCCAGTTTCTTCATTAGCATGGAAATTGGTGGAAAACTGTAATTAAGACCCTCTATGATTAAGACTCCTTCATAAAACCAGGCATTTGTATTGCAGGAAGGTGACTTTGAGATGATCCATGTTGATAGAGTAGGTTCACGATCATTCAATGTGGCCATTGCCCCGTTTTCCCTCTCTCTGCTTGGAGATGATGATGGTCATATTATTTGAAATTGAACCGCAGCATCACCTTTTGCAAAATGTAAAGGATTATCATTGTCACCGCCGTTACTTTATTAAGTGTAAAATATCCTCTTGTAACGAATAAACGATCAGACTACATTTGTATTTTATTGAATTCACGTGTAGGAAACTCATGAAAGAAATCAATATTGTATTAGAGAAACCAATAACAGAGAATTGAATCAACCAATAAGGTTATTGAATTACGAGCAACCATGAAAGCTGAGGTCAATGCTGCTTTGTGTAGCAGTTTCATTAGTTTTTAATAATTTTTAATTTTATCAAACTTTGTTCATCGCATTTGAAGATCCGCAGGGCTATTTAGCATTAATTGGATTACGTAATAGTGTTTGGATAAAAAGTTTGAAATGAGAAATTCATTTTTTGAGAAAATTTATAGTCTACGAGTTCGAGAATTGTTTTCACATTCACTTTTAAAGAAATTAAAATGTTAAGAATTGGATAAGAAATTTTAGTAAACTAAAACAAGAGAAATCTAAATTTCAGAAAAACAAGTAAAAATTAAATTTTTTATTAATGTCGATTCACTCAAGGCTCATGCTAACAGATATGCTTCTTAACATTACGGTTGAGCTTAGCCAATAGCTAGCTATTTTTCTTTGATCATTTGCGGTTAGTTTGTTAGTCTTGTTAATTGTGTTAGCTCTTAGCTGTGTCAGTTGTTGTTACAGCTTATTTTCTCTCAAGGTTCTAGAACCTCTTTTGAATTGTAGCGTTTCACTCTCTCCCCTCTCTCGTGTTACAGCTTAGCCAAAATCATGAATTGTTACAGCTTATTTCCTCCCTTTTGATCTTCTTTCTTCTCACTATTGGACATAGGATTTTATCTCTCTCCTCTTTTCTCATCTCTATCTCAATCTAATTTTTGTTGGTTGATCTAGCTTGTTTAGCTATATCATCTTTGGATCATGCTCTTGAGCATCTTTCTTAGGTAAATTAATATGGTCTGATTTTCTTTGCTACTTTTCATGTATGATTTAAACTGAAATATATCTCATGATTTGAACTAAGAAAACAAAATTATTGGTTATTTTTTAATTCTATCTCTGCTAAAATTTTAGTTTTATTATCAATTTTTAGCAATAAAATTAATATTTTGGTTGTAGTCTCAGAAATGTGTAGTGGATTAATTAGATTACTTATATTAATATTGAAGTGGCTCATTTGCTGTACACAATAAAGGGACCTACTTGCGTATATGTGTGTTCTGCTCTTTTCAAATATAGGTTTGCCAATTTTGTTTAGTCGAGAGGTTTAGCATTTTTGTTTTTTCAATTAAATCATATGAGATATATTCAATTTAAATGATACATGAGAAGTAGCAAAGAAAACCGGATCGTATAAATTTATCTAAGATGTTCAAGACCATGATCAAAAGATGAGATAGCTAACATAATGATGTTGAAGTGGCTAGTTTGCTTTACGCACACAATAAATGGCACGTACTTGCCTATATGCGTGTTCTGCTCTTTTCAGATTTAGTTTTTACAACTTTATTTAGCGTAAGAGGTTCAGCATTTGCCTTTGTGTAACCTTTGAAAATGGAGGTTCAGCTATAGTTTCATCCAGAAGTCTTTGATACATTGATAGGTATCGGAATCGATAGATGGGCACTAGTAATAATTGCTTCTCTAATGAATTTAGAAAAAAAAAACATTGGCATCGATACTTCACAATCTTCTATAACTTCTGTCTCTACTGCTTTTATAAAAGGAATAAAATCCAATATTAGAGATAATTTCTGCTAAAGCTATCTAGCGGCTTAATTCATGACAAAAAATAATGGCAAATGTGCTTTCTCTACTTATCAAAATTCATGTCTCCAAAGTTTTGGCAAGTAATAGGGCTATGTAAAAGTATAAGTCAGCAACGGCAAGAAACTGATTATTTTGCACAACATACTATTAACACGGATAATTAACACCTCTCCAAGGATTGAACCAGAAGGATTGGAGAACAGGAGCAACGTATACATAACACATTGTCTTGCTTCATAACTGATCAAATATCAATATTTGAAACAAGGGTTGATCTTGATTACAAGCATAATGTAACAATTTTAAATATTTTACATGCTATTGACCTCCCATTTTACACCATATTGCCATATATAATTAATAGCACCGGATCCCATCAGAAGAGAGATCATTTTGACGGGTAAAATCAGTGAATTTCAATTAAGTTCTCATGATAACATTTTAAAGCTGGGACCATCTTACGCATAGTGTATACATCAACAACAATAGTGAAAATTTGAAAGGCTACCGGTTGAATGTGGCGATGGCTAAGGGAGAGGAAGATGGATCAGCCATTATTCATCTGTTCGGTCAAATGGGTTGGGCATTATTCATTCTTTTTTGTAATTAGAAAATTTAAGTCTAAGGTGTTATCCAATTAGCAAAGGACATCGCAACGCGGAGCGTGGACTTCGTGCACTTCTCAATCCGGCCTTTGTAAAGTTAATTACTATGTTTAAACAAAAGCGCTTGCTATAATCTCCATAATTTTAAGGAGACATTATATATTTTTTTAAAACTAATGATAGCGATTTTTTTTATATTTTAAAGATTAAAATGTTTTTATATTTTTTAAATAAATCACTAATTACGTATTTAATATAAAATTAACTATAATAATTATTTTACGTATACCTAATTTATAAATTGCTGCAAAAATTACCTAAACAATACCAAGGAGTCTAAGATGAATCATGTTAACATTTAAGATGTATAAGTATATTGTAATATTTTAATCGTTCAATGTTTTTAAAATTTGCTATTATTCTGTCTAAATATCAATCTTTGAAAATGACAGTGATATAAATAATTACATTAGTATATTATTAAATTTTTTCCACAAATATTATTAAATTAATTTTTTAAATAATTAATTAAAAATTGTATTATACTGTTATTTTAAATTCAATAAAATTAAAAATGATATATTATAATTATTAATAATAAATATTTTACCATATATCAAAATGTGAAATTTTGAAATTTACATATCAAAATGTACTAAAAATTATTATTTTTTAAATATATACTATTAATATTTTTCTTGAGGAATTATTTATTAAAAATCATACTTTATATAAAAGTTTAAAACTTTGCGGGAGTTATGAGTTATATGTGATTCAAACATTGTTGATTACCTAAGCCTTAAATTCACGTCAAATTTTAAGTGAGATATTAAAATAATGAAAACGTTGCATAATATATTTGAAAAAATCGTAGCTTATTATAGAATAAATAATGCTTAATATTACGAAATTTTTTAGTATGGAAGTAATAAAAATTATTTTTAACCACGATTCTATAATATTTTTTCAATAAATCTTATTTCTAAATTTTAATATATAACTAATAAAACAATATCCATTCATACCAATATTATATATTATCTTTCGTACCAAATATCACCAGTTCACCACTCTTTAGAATTGAAAAGATATAAACTATCTCTTGTATTGCATAGTGCATACAATATAAACTAAAATATTTGTTGTACCATACGAACAGGGTATTTTAAGAGTTTTCTTTATATTTTGAGTTCACTTTTAGCCTGTACGTATATATATATATAGAAGATAACAATATGCCAGTCATGGATTATACACTATAATGATAAATTTATTTATTTATAAATAAATATAAAGTATTAAAATACAATATAAGAATCTTATCTACAATAAAACAAATCATAATTCTTTTTACCATTGATTATCTTGCAATGAGTGGATATCATCTTTTAACATAACAAATTATGATATAATTTATAAACTTTTGTTATAAAAAAAGTTTAAGTAATTTTTATTTTTGTCATAAAAGTGCTATTAACAAATTTATATCTTATTCATCATATGTAAAGGCTAAGATTAGTTTTCTTTTTTGATCTCACTGCATTATCTTTTATATTGTATTACTCATATAAATTTCAATTTAAACAGTAATTGTATTTCGCAAATTATTTTATTTGTTTATACTTTTAATTAACATGTTATGAATAATTATCTTCAAATATTGATAGTTAAATAAATATAAAAATTGATGAATATACAATTTAAATAAATTTTAATTTTCATGTTTTAAATTTTTTATTTCTCATATATATATATATATATGTTTAATAAAATAACTCAACCTCATTTTAAAGACCTTATAAACGTTGTACTACAATAAACAAATTTATATAAATTGGAGTATCAAACAAGTTTTTCTTTACAAAAAAAGTCAGAAATATTTATATAAAATTAATTCACAAAATGATTTTTTAAAGCTTAAAAAAATTGAATAATAAGCCGTAAGTTATTTCCCCTTTATTTAATTTTAAAATGCATTATTTTCCTCTCTACTTTTGTTTTGATGGTATTTTAAGTTTTAAAATTAAGTATAGATTGTTCTAAAACAATAATAAAATAATATTAAAATGGAATACAGTAGAACATATTAAAATGCATTTTTTTTTTCTTTTACAACGCACACGAGACGAAACTATTTTTCAATGATATTTTTATTTTTATTTTGAATTCGATAGGAGAAGTGTGTTTGGCACTTGAAAACAAAACGTTGAATTACCAAAATACCATCCTCCAGCTGTCACATGGGATTATGGCCACCGCGGCCAAGTACAAGTGAAGGTGGTCCCAGTGGTGGGGCCCATTAAGTGTCTGTGCTTTAACTGTTAACCATCCCACGATGGCTGCTCTCTCTACTTGCATAACAACCTTGTTCATTCCCCAAATAACCCCTCATCGTTGCATTGTTTTGTATCATTCGTAACAAACCTTGATGATTGCAAATATGTCCCTAATAATATATCAACAATCTCCTTAATACACATTCTCCATTTGATCTAATCATGTTGTAATAAAAAGCGATCCTCTACAATTTTCTAGGAAATGAACATAATTTTTATAATTGAAAGTTTTAGATAAAAATATCTCATAAAAATAAATTAGACCTAATCAAAACCTTATTTCATAAAAATTTTAAATAAAAAAAATAAAATAAGTTTGTTTAATTAAGGTGGATTATTTTATTCTAAAACTTTTAAAATACTCAAGATATCCAACATATCATACAGACCTAGACCCTACCTATGTTCCATACCCTTCAAATGCACCGTCTCCTTAAGCATCAATTTTCCTTTTATCCGTCTTTTTATTTTTTGGCCCTGTCATCCCCTTCTCTGGTAGTTAGCACTTTATTTCTTTTTCAGCAAGTCATATGACTATTGCGAGGCAAAACCATTCTTGGAATGCATGAAGCATCTTCACTCCAAGCATTCCAATACAAAATCCAAATACAATTGTGCCCTGTTCCTGGTCCCTTTTCCCTGTCTTTTTCTCTGTCATTAAAAAAATAAATATAATAAGATTGTTAACCCAAGAAAGGTTCACAGAAACATGCAACTCCTTTGGGTAGGGACTTAATTAAAAATTTGCATGGGAATATGAAGATCAAGGCTGCAACCAGATTTTCGTTGGATAACAATAAAAGCGAGAGAAGAAGCTTGTGCTCAAAGCTTACCATCCTTTTCTTTCCATTCTCACACACACTCTCTCTCTATCTCTAGTCTACAACCTTTAATATTTTTCTATATACAAAAGCAAAGAAGCAAAGCATCTCTTATTCTCGCAACTCCACATTGTTTTGCTTTCCCTTGCAAGTTTCAATTCAACCTTTTCTTTACTTACAGTACTTAGCTGCCTCTTTTTTCTTTATAGACCGATTAACATACAATTAAATTTGTCGGTTTTATCTTTCTGTGCAAGAATTCACCCAGAGTTTGGAATCTCTACGCTATCTGATAATTAAACTATTAACTAACGTGGTCAAAATGGGTCAAGAATTCAACTTTTTGGTCCTCCCTGGCCCAAAATTTTTGCAACTGTTCCTATTTTGAAATGCATGAGAAACCCATGTGTACTTTCTCATTGATCACATAGAAATAGAATGGTTCTCCCCCATTCCGGGGCTTCACTTCTATATTGTTTAGTCTAGAGCTTCTCTTGAGTATAAAATAGTGAATTCGATTAGACCCACTCCAAAGTTTCAACCTTTTCTTCTGGGGTCTGGACTTCTAAGGAAGAACATTAAGAAACATTGTATTTTTCCATTCTTCAAAAGCATTTGCTTGCTTACATTTTCCTCATTCTTTTGTTATCTTCCAAGTTATAAAATTGGGAGGGGGAAACATAACACCATTTCCACGCACATTATTATTTCACAGTGAGAAAATCTGAAAAATAATCTGAAGTAACATCATGAGATTTGTAACAGGCTCTTCCAGAGGCACTTGGCAGCCCATAATGACTGCGGATACAACCACACATAGTTACTGGCTAAACTGGAGGGTTGTGCTTTGTGTTATTTGGGTCCTTGTTTCAGCTTTCTTTTCTTCATTGCTTATATGGAAGTATGAAGATTCATGGAAGCAAGCAAGAAATGATAACAAGGGAAGCCAGAAAGAAACATCACCAACTTTGTATGAGGATGAAACTTGGAGGCCTTGCTTGAAAGGAATTCACCCTATATGGCTTCTGGGGTTTAGAGTTTTTGCATTTATTGTTCTTTTGGTGCTTCTCATAGTCACGGCTAATGCGGATGGGGGAAGCATTTTCTACTTTTACACTCAGTAAGTTTTTTCATTTTCAATTTCTTCATATCAAAATTGGATGCTGTTGATATAGATAAATGCACATTTTATTAGATTATGTGTGCTTATAATTCTGTTATAATCATGCTGCATTGATGGTATGCAACATGAGAACAGACGTCTGAGTGCAGCAACATAAATTTTAAAGCATATTAAACTTCAAATAGAATTAATTAATCCCAAATTAAGGCTGATACCATTTATAGCAAGAAGCCCATTTCACCTCTTTAGTAGTGTTGATTTATGTTCTCATCATTTGAGTATTGATTTTTTCCCTTTTGCTTTATTGTTTTGAAACAGGTGGACCTTTACTTCAATCACCATTTATTTTGGGGTAAGTACTGCTAAAGGGCCTAATATATAATTTTTTGTTAGTTACATTACTCATATATCTATAATCGAGTGAGTAATATCTGCTACACACTTGACATTGTGTGCTTGATTGTGTAGCTGGGATCCTTGCTCTCCATGCATGGATGTTACCAACATCATAAAAAGGCCAGTGGTGATAAGGTTGAGAATGTGGATGGAGATGCAGAGCAGGGAATTGATGATAGTCCTACACTCCCCCAGAGTGCTAATCCATCATCCAGCCATGAGAAAAGCTTGGGAGCTCCACAAGTACGTCAACCTGCAGGCACTTGGGGTTATATCTTTCAAATCATATTTCAGGTAACTTGGGATAGATCACTGGTTGAACTACAAGGATGATTTCTTTCTCTATATTCTTCAAATATAAGTTAAATCAGTGTGAGCTCAACTTTTGGTATATCATCATCTTTTTCACCCTACATCAACATTTTCAACCTAACGTCATGATAATGACAAATGAGATGGCATTCTTCTGTTCCTATGTATCGTAAAAAAATAATAAATAATAATTTAATTATTTTCCCTAATCTTGGTTCTATGATTCTAAAAAGTTGCGGGTAGCTAAGTCTTGCCATTGGCCACATCATTGATTTTTGTTTCTTCACTTGTAAACAGATGAATGCAGGTTCTGTAATGCTCACAGATTGTGTGTTTTGGTTCATAATTGTTCCATTTCTAACCATCAAAGATTACAACATAAATTTGGTAAGTCTCATTTATGACTCAATAGATTTGTTAACTTTCTTTTATAACCTAAGCATAGATAGTTGTCTACATTAGTTCATGCTTTTTCCAAGGAAAAGGGAGATTTCAGAACTAAATAATAGATCAAATTGTTATATATCGCAGCTTATCATCAGTATGCATACCATCAATGCTGTTTTCCTGCTAGGCGACACAGCTTTAAATTGCCTGGTGAGTTTCTAGATTCGATTCCATTTTATAGTCCATTTCCATTGCATGTGCATAATTCCATATTGGAATTCTTACCCTTTTTCTTATCCTCTTCAGAGATTCCCTTGGTTTCGAATAGGATACTTCTGCATGTGGACAGTCATATACGTGATTTTCCAGTGGATTGTTCATGCCATAGTTAAACTCTGGTTATAATTCTCATTTGGTTATTTCACTGAAACACTATGAAAACATATTATGCATATATCATTGACTAATATATGCTTCTTGTATTGGAAAAACAGGTGGCCATATCCATTTCTTGATTTGTCATCCCAGTATGCTCCACTATGGTATAAGTTATTTTTCTTTTCTATGCCATTATTTTCTCTTAGGTTTTTTATTTTTTTCTTCCAACCCAAATAATAATTATTCCTTCTCATTTTATTCATTTTTCTAAGAGAATCTGATTCAGATAAACATTTGATAGGATTAGGACATTTTGCTGACAATTTTTGTCTGCTTTGTATTGATTTTCAGTTACTTTTCGATGGCATTACTGCATATTCCGTGCTATGGCATATTCGCTTTGATAATGAAGCTGAAACACACCGTGTTATCCACACGGTATCCTGACTCGTACCAAAGTCTCAGATGACTTCGGCTGAGAACTAAACGAGCATCGATTTTCTCGTAGAAAAAGGGAAGGGAAGAGGAGGAAGAAAATAGTAATATATATATTGACAAGTTTGATTTCATATATTGAGGTGACTTGGTGAGCAAATATATAGCTATGTGTATAACTTTTTTATTTTCGTTTTTGGGAAAATTAATGGTTGAACGAGCTAAGAGAATTTTGGCCGTTACTTTGTGTTGGCACCTCTCAAAAGATGACATGTAATTGACTGTGAATTCTAAGAAGTAAGAACTAATCTGAGTCAGAGTGCATTGGTTCACTGATTCTTGGAGTATGGTCTTGTATTAATTAGGATATATGCACATGTATTTCTATTTAGCCATTATTTTGATAAGGTTAGAGAAAGGCTACTATTGGAAATGATGTCCCCAAGGACTACAGATGAAAACAAAAGAAACATCTTTTCATGTTTATAGCTTTCTGTTGATGCTTGCAATTGCTGATTCTAGGATCATCCATTGTCGTAAAAAATATGCATAATTATTTCTAATGGGCGATTATTTTGAATTTTAATAAGGTTACCTCACGACATGTAGAAGGGAGGAAGAAAAAAGTACTTTATCAGATTTATTTAATTTTGTAATTTAATATGATATATCTCTTAATATGTACAAAATGTGACTTGTGGACAATTTTTAGTCACATTGTTACTTTCAATTGGTTCAAATAATAATTAGTCTTCTAATTTGAGTAATCTTTGTTCAAAATGTGAAGTTTACAACTTGTGAACGCTCTAAATTTCTTAGGCTTGATTTACTTTTTTAACTGACACGTTACATACATTTTTGACATACATACTGTTTTATATATAAAACAACTTTTGAAATCATTAATATATAAAGTGATTATCGAAATTCTAAAAAATTGAAATAAATATTGATATACGTATAAAAATTTATGATAATAAAAGACAAAACAAGTTTTTCTTTCAATAGTAGTATTTTATGTGTTTAGTCGCTGCCATAAAAATAGTCTAACTTTACTTTATCAACCACGCGAATGTTCATACATAAAAATGCATTTTTTAAAATTTAAATAATGATATTAGAATTTTAATTTGCAATCTATTTATTTCAGTATATTTTTGTTGTTTTATTAAACAAATAATTACTTCATAGGTAAATAATTTAAACATTATTATTTTTTTTAAAAAAACTAACATGTATTACCGAAAATTTATATTTAATTTGTTGTCGTATACACATAAATTTTTGACACTCTCTGTGCTAATATTGTTATTTTAAATAAAATAAAAATATATCATCACCACAGTATAAAAAGAAAATATTAATGAAATATTTTTCATTATAACTTTAAAAATAGATTAAAATAATACAACTTATCATGATAATAAATATTCATTATATACTTTTTTTACTTAAGATCAACATATGTAAAAAATTTATTTTTTACATAATTTATTAAAAAATGATATGCTTTTAAATGTTGGTTTTTATATAAAAAAGAATTTGAAAAGTAATTATAAAAAAATAAAATCCAAAGGTTAAAAATTTAAAAATGAGAAAAATGATAATAGACAATAAAAATATAAAGAATAATTTTACAAAATAGACGAAAAATACCATGCAATAATAAGAGCGAAACAACTTTTATTTTAGATAAATATAAACATGGATTCTACTTAATTGCATAGTTTAAGTGAAAAATAATTATACAAAGTTTATTTTTTTATTTTTAGGCACATGGTCTTAGTCCTCGCTAAATTTTCTCTGGACTAAAACCCTAAACCCATTCATCCCTGAAAGGACAGTCATAGAGCACCCAGCCATGGCGAAAGCGAGCGACGCAGGCGTCGAAGCCCTACGGCGCCTGAAAGCCACGGATCCACCGTCATGGCTCGCCCCGAACCCGTCGCTGTCTGAAACTGCTCGCATTGCATCGCAGTACTTGTTCTCTTCCCTCAGACCCTTCGCCCCCAAATCGCCGTTGGACCAACTCCTCGTCGAAGGCTTCGACGCCGAGCAGATATGGCAGCAAATCGACCTCCAATCGCAGCCACTGTTATCAACCCTTCGCCGCCGGTTGAAGAAGCTAGCAAAAAATCCCGAAGCGATTTCTCAGCTGAAGGTTCCTTCGGAGGTTGGGAACAAGGAAGATGAAAAGAATCGAGCCGAGTGGGACGATGAGAGCGACGGTTTTGATGAGGAGTTGGATGAAGTAGACGAAGATGAAGATGAAGAAAGGGTAGAAAAAGAGGACAAAGGAGAAGGAGACGAAGAAGATGATGAAAAGATGGAGGATGAAGATGAGGAGAGTGAAGAGAGAGAGGAGGAGAATGATGAAGGTGCTGGCATCGAGGATAAATTCTTGAAAATAGATGAATTGGCTAAGTACTTGGAGAAGGAGGAAGAGAATTTGGAGAATGAAGAGGCAGGTAAGGAGGAAGATGACGATGATGAAGACACTGACAATGATGACGAGGAAAGTGATGAGGTGAGGGTGCTCTTTGCTTACTTTGGTTTTGATTGCCCTTTTTGGTATTGTGGCAACGCATTCCTATTGTAATGGCAACCATAGGATTAGAATATCTTACACTGCAGCTAAAGCTCAACTAGCATTACATATTGTAGGGTTAAATTGGGCTTTGTTTGTGTTACTTTATTTATTTATCTAGATACTTGTAGCCTTTTTCGATGTTTCTTATTCCTTCTGATTGTGTCAAAATCTGTGTTGATAAGGTTCATTGCTTCTCAGTTGTTGTTTGGTTCATTTGATTGTTAATTATTAATTAATTGGTTTCTGAGTCTCTGACTCGTTCTAATTATATTTATCTAGGCTGGTGGTTTTGGGATTGGTGACAATGATGATGAAGATGAAGAAGCAGATGTCATCGGAAATGCAAGGTGTTTATTCTTTCCCTCCCACAAGAGAACCGAAAAAAAAAAATCATCATTTTAAGCTTGCAACTTAAGTTATTGTTCATATCACTAATCTATAGTTTCAATTTAGGTCAATGACATGAACAAATAACAGCTTTAAATTGCTTCACTTCAGTTTAATGATCTATGTTTCTCAAATCTCTAGATATCATGCGTATGTCTTATTCTTGGTCTTAGATAACACTTTATGTGGTGATGTGTGAATAGCAATATCACTGCATTACAACCAGAAGGTTTTGGCATATGGTGGTGCATATAGAATTGTGATTTTAAGGTTTAACATTGATGCTTGTCACATGGCAACATGATATGCAGTCTCTTATTTCTCTTTTCCTTTTGATATTATTTTCAAGGATGGGAGGGGAAGGAGAGGGGTTGCCACCTACAAAATTTGTGAACAATCTCCGCTCATTTGGTCTTCAGTTGACTATAAAAAAATATACATTAAGCGAGTTTAGGTTTTATTTGTGATGGAAAGGTGTTATCAAGATAAAATTTGACTGCATAGTCATAAGACCAGCTATGCTTTATGGTATTAAATGCTGGATTGTAAAGTGTCACACAAGCATGACATGAGGTAAGTTTGTGTGAACGACAGACTAGGAAATATCTGTAGTGGGAGCAAGATGACTGAGATAATGCTGACCCAAGTAAATATTTGTAAAATGTTACTTTAAAAATGCCATACTATAAGGGAGAAAGTTTAATTTGGATTCATGATTAATGTAATCTAATGTTTTTATCATTAAATCATATGTTACTGCAACATCAAAAAAATTTGACCTTTATCATAATTATATTAAGCAAGAAGTTGGGAAAAACAAAATAAATGTGGGAGTGGGATATATAAGAATAATATATAACATTTTAAAAAAGTTGTGTGAGTGAGGGGACATATGCCTCTAGGGCCTACAATGTATGTCTGTCCTTAGTTGCAGCTGCTGAGATAAAAATGTTGGAATAGACATACTAGACTAGATAACATAATTATATACTAGAGAGAATGTAGGAGCAGCAACTGTTGGGGAAAAAGGTGGTAGAATCATGCCTAATTTGGCCATGTGAGAAGAAGACAAAGAGAAGCCCCATTAGGAAGAGTTAATCAGATGGATAATAGCGTAAGAGTTTTGAAAAATAAATTAAGAGCAATGAAAACTCAGTGAGAAACCATTTGCTGCTTGAAGAAACTGAAGGAAAAACCTAATTTTATGCCATTTGCATTTAAATTTTCTAGCTGCTAAAGAGTTTTTTAGTTCTTTTGTTCTATTATTATTATTCCTTTAGTTTGGATTCTCTATAATTTCATCTCGCCTATTGTATTTGGCTGAGTGGACTCTTTCCTTCTTTCCTTAGGCTTTACAGTATTTTTAGTTCTATTTTATTATATATAATATTATTTATTCCATGGTTTGTTTGTTGTGGTGTATTTGCTTATATATCCTTCCTTTAATCGTTCTCAGTTCTCACCAGTCACATGCTATGCAATTGGCTGGGTATTGCTTTTTAGTTATATTACCCTTTGTAATTTCATACTAAGTTAGATGTTTTTCTTTACATTTGTATGCTGTTCATTTTCTCACTGTTGCTGTCAGGTATGAAGACTTCTTTGGAGGTAAAAAGGGAAAAGGCTCAAAAAGAAAAGCTCAGTTACTTCAGGAATCTGAAGATTCTGGTGATGATGACATGGAATTTGACAAACAGGTCTCTCTCTCTTTCTGTCTGTCTGTCTGTCTCTCTCTCTATATATAAAGATTTATTTTAAAATTAAAAATTTCTTATTTGACTTTTTTACACATGTATGTAGGAGAAAGGGAGTGCTTCTGCCTATGAAAAGCAACTAGAAAAAATTCAATCCAAGATAGAGCAGATGGAGAAAGCTAACATAGAGCCAAAAACTTGGACTATGCAGGGTGAGGTAATTCAACAGTCCCATATTTTTCTTATCCTGGTTTATTCTGTGGGTTTCATTTGTAGGCCCTTTTTGCTAATCTGTTCTTAGATTATTGATTGTTGATTTTATAACAGGTAACTGCTGCAAAGAGACCGAAGAATAGTGCATTGGAGGTTGATCTGGACTTTGAGCATAATGTAAGGCCTGCTCCTGTAATCACTGAGGAGGTTACAGCTTCAATTGAGGATGTAATCAAGAAAAGGATTATTGAGGTAAATTAATATGCTGAACTAACTTCTACTATAATTCAGCATTTTATTTACACAAGGGTGGAAGCTGATATATAGATGGCAGCATGTACAACTTCTGTAAAATGTTGTGTTAAGTTGATTAGTAAGTTCCTACTAAGTAATACATGAGACTTGCATGCATGTACACACAAATACTATATGTTGTTTCTAATTTGCATTTATGTTTATTATAGGGGCATTTTAATGATGTTCAAAGGATTCCTAAATTACCATCTAAAGTACCTCGAGAAGTTAAAGAGTTGGTAAGTCTTGTTTTACTGATAAATAGATTTTTATGTTCAACTTCTTGTCTAGCTATATTTGTATGTAACTAACTTGTACAAAATCATTTCCATGATAAATACAGGATGAGAATAAAAGCAAGCAGGGTCTTGCAGAAATTTATGAGGTCCGTATTTTTTTCCTAATGTACTGCAGCAGTGGAAATCCTATTACTAATTCTCAAGGTGTTGTATATTTTGTCCTTTACTTGTGATTTGCCTCAAAGATTGTATTTTAATTGTTTACAGCAAGAATATGTTCAGAAGATAGACCCCAGTTCTGCACCAATGTCATTCAAAGATGAACAAAAGAATGAGGTGCAAATTTTGATTGCTTTACTTTGTTTCTGTTTATATTACTATGTAATCTCTTTATTATTTGTTATGATCTTAATTTTCTCAGGTATGATGCAACACTGGCTCAGTGTCTCTTGATCAGGCTGTGTAACCATCTTTTTATATATTTCATTATACATTGAATCTCGTGTCTTGTACTTGTGATCAGGCAAGCATGCTGTTTAAGAGACTCTGTCTGAAGCTAGATGCCCTTTCTCATTTTAACTTTGCTCCAAAACCTGTATGACATCAACGCTCTTGATATCTCTTGATAGACACTATGCATGACACCTGAAATTTGTGTCTGATTATTGGCCTTGAATTGAACTCGACAGGTTATAGAAGACATGTCTATTCAAACTAATGTACCTGCTCTGGCAATGGAAGAAGTAAAGAGCTATTATCTTATCAAATTTTTGTTTTTGCCTCTTGCCTCTTCCATTTATTTGTTACTTACTATGTACTATGTCTTCCATGGGTAGATTGCACCGGTGGCTATTTCAGATGCTGCTATGCTGGCTCCAGAGGAGGTATTTGATGGCAAGGGTGATATTAAGGAAGAAGTAGAGCTTACTAAGGCAGAAAGGAAAAGAAGGAGAGCTAATAAGAAAAGAAACTTTAAAGGTATCATTGGTTATGCTATAAAAGTATCTTGCTGGTAACTCGCATATAACAACATAAAGATAATGGGGTTTAATATTTCCATACCTGTCTTTTCGCAAAGTTGCATACCATATGTATATGACTGTTCTAGGAGGAAAGCTTTCCAGCATTTTCTTTTGTACCAGACATGAGAATGCTTTTCATTATTAATTAACAAACTCTTATGGTTACAGCTGAGGCAGTAAAAAGGACAGAAAAGAAGGCACGAGAAGGGGCATTTCATAGCCAAGTTAATGGTAATTTGACTAATTATTTATATATCTTTTCTTACTAGGTATAACAAATGTTACATTAACCTGGCTTATATTTTTGAATGTGCAACAAAAGTAAATTTTTTGTTAGTAACCACATTGTGGAAAGAAAATAAAACTGTAACTATTGCAATGGCTGTTCTGTTATGAATTCTGAAATGTTACCCTGCTATCTCAGGAGTTAGCTATATTTAGATATTTACCTTTTTTTTTTTGCTTCCCTGCCTTTATAAAGTGTTGGTAGGAGTAGGATACACATCTCTTATGAATGAAGTTTTTTTTGCTCTCTCCATCATAGCTTCCAACAAATCCTGCATAATATTGAAATTTTAGGTAGACATAGTGCCCTTTAGATGAGTAGATTCAACCGGTTGTTGATTGCAGTCTCAGTCACTTCCAAAATTAAGCCCGGCTGAGAAAAATGTTTTAGCGAGACAGTTGTCCCTGGATATAGACTCTACCGTTGTCTGGGTACATTACCTTGTATCTTAGTCTTTAGATATGATGACCACACATTGTGGTGAGGTGGCTGCTAACTGTGGATTGAGGCTAGCCAGATTTAGTTTGGAGATTTTTTCCAAAAGATGACAGGGTAGCTTCTCACCTTGAATCTCGCTGGATCTTTGCAGGCTAAAGACAATGCAATATTTCATAGGATTAATACAGAAGCTGCAAAACTAACACCATTAAGGTCAAGGGGAACCCGTGGCAAAACGTAAAGTAGACATGGAGGAAAATATTTTGGAGTCAACCATGATAAATGAGCGATGGTATTCATACGTGTAGCAGTGGCAGATGAGAGTAACTTGAATGCTCTTTATAGTTGGCTATCGTCATTGTTCCTCGAATTCTTGGTTAATATCAAAACGTTGGTCGGAAGTTTACTGTTTTGTTGCTTTTACTGCTATTTATTTTACTAGTTTATAGCTGTGGTATTTATTTTGTGCTATATTTTGTATTATTTAATTTTATTCATAGCTATGTTGTATTGGTCTGTATATCGCTAATGACTGATGGTTGAACCTTTGAGAAAATAAGGAAAATTTTGGAAAATTTTGCTTTGATGCTTCCACTTGTAAAACTTTATGAAGCTGGTAAATCTGATTCTCTCAATAGTCTTATGTTATGGCACTGCTGTATAAGTTGATTTGTGTGAGTTTGCTCCTTTTTTTAACAGTTGATCTGTTGTATTAGTTTGCAGTCTGTACATAACTGATGATAGATGGTTGTTGCATTTTAGAATCTCCAAATGAATGTGAAATAAGAAACTCGTTGTAAAATTTTACTTTTTTGATATTTTCACTCGCAAGAATTTTTTAAGCCAGTAAATCCTGGTTTATTGATTCCTGATATGCAAGATACTGTTCTGGTTGGGTTTGACCTGTTTTTTCTTATTAAATTAATGCGTAAGTTCTATTAAAGAATTTTAAATAAGTTTTTATACCTTGCAAGTTTGTAAGCTCTTGAAAATTTTAATTACTTTTTAATAGTTCATTGTTTATATTGTAAAGGTAAGTTAATACATTTAAGTTCGGTTAGTGTTTTTTGGTGACCTCCTTGCCAACATAAGCTCATATTAAATACGTTGTTGACAAAAAATGATTATATTGCTTTTAAAAAAAAAAAAAAAACTTCAATTTGTTTGTAGCGCAAATAACCGCCTCAACAATATGTGATTACAAAAAATTGCAAAATGGATTTAAAATACTTGCCTTCAAATTACTAAATGAGGATTCAGATGTAACTACTAGACCTTATAGGACTTAATAAATCACAAAATATATTGTAGTAACAGATTTTCAATTTTCTGTAATTATTGGCAAATGTGTGCGAAAAAGAAATGAACAAAACAAAATCCACTTAAATTTGTTACCCCTAGGTTTACTACAGGAGCACCAGTAAAGAGGCATTCGAATTTAGGAGCGAATGATTACATTTCCAAAACTGGAATACAATTCTAAGGTGATAAACATGTATAAGTGATGTCTTACAGAGCAATAAGCCTAGCATGGATCTGAAGCATGCAACTTTCACCTAGGCAGCCATCTAAAGAACAGGATGCAGCATCACTCTGCAACGTTCTCCATTTCCTTTCATTCCTATGAAGTGCATAGCAGGTAAAGTGGGCAGGTAGCCCAATCTGGCCTTCCATTTATTTCAGATTTCCCACCATTCCTGGCTTAGAAACTGTCTCCTCAAGTTCAATCATACTGCCGCCACTAAAATATTTTTGTTTTTATTATTTTGGCTCTGCGAGCTGCTAGAATAAATGAAATCCAAAGACATAAGCACTTCAAGAATATGCATACTACTTTTTAACGACCTAGACTGATGAAAGCATCAACAGACAGCCCAATAATCTCACATGAAAAACCTGAGTAACATGGTCAACTAAATTATTGAATTAGCACTTTTTCCAATAAAGAGGGCACGAATGCCATTCGAGTGCTTGCCCTGTTCTCCAATGCAGGATTACCCACTTCTATGAGAAAATAAAAATGACGAGGCATGCTGGCCGTGAGAGGTATAACACCTAACAATAGCTTTCATTTTCTTAAATTTTCTTCAAGCCTCTGAATTGCAGCACCAACACCACTCTTTACCTCTCTCTGATCTGAATGCTGATGTGCAGCTGGGTTCTCTTCATTAGCCATTTCTACTAGCTTCAAATGGATCCAACCTGCAAACAATTAAGGGAAACAAAATTTCAGTATACAACCATATGTCCATAATGCAGATATGCAAGGTAAATTATTCAAACAATTGAATGGTGCATTTGAATCCTCTCCTTTTACTCACTAGCAGGAATACTCAAGAAATAATAACGTTACCAAGAGGAAAGCAAAATGCTGCTCCCAGAACTGACCCCAGCGCCATATTCCTTGCTCGCCAAAGGAGAGATCCCGGCACTAATATAAGAGGGAAAACAGTATATCAGCACAATAGTCAACTGTTTTCATCAATCCAGCCCAGGGAACAATAGAGAGTGTACTGTCAATATATGATTTCTTACTGATTAAACCAAAAGCTGAAGCAGTGGCTGATCCAGCTCCAACAACATTATAAACATCAACAACACCCCGCTTCTCTGCAAGAAGATTTTGTATGCCATAAAATGCAGCAGTGAACATTCCAAGGCGTACCCCTCCAACTATTGAGCCCCGTGTAACTCGAATGAATCGTTTCTCCATTGCATCTCTCATCAATCGATATTGCTCACGTTTATCTTCTGTGCTCCCAAGTTTCAACATTACTTCTGCATCCTTGCTCTACAAAAAATGTGATATTCCGTATGATTGCATAGTTATTTGGGAAAATATAGACAACCAATGCATATGGTAACATGGTTGGCAAGAAAAAGGATGTTATAATCAGCAAAAGGAAAAAAAAAATTACAAACAAATGTTTGTGTCGGCGTGAGATAGATTTTTATTGCACTTGTGTAAAATTCAACATATTTTGATATCATTAACAGACTTCAGGATTTCTATCATTTAAGAGAGTCTGAATAATTCGTATTTGTTCAGTCTGTTCCAGAAAGATATTTCAAAATAATGATAGTGTCTGAGTTGCATCCATTATAACTCTCCTCAGCTAAACAGCAATACAGAGTAAAGCATCACAAGTCAAAGGTGAAGTTCACACATGCAGCATAAAAAATTAAAACTTACACACTAGATTACATGAATAATTAGAATTTAGAAGTTCTACGACATATGACAGGAGAGAGAATTTTTTAAAAATGTGCTGAGTGCTGACTTTGTTACCCCTTTCTAAGAAAAAGAGTTGCTTCAAACCTTGGGGGAGGAGGGGGTATCAGAAAAAGGACAATACAGTAAAAGCAATAACCATATACAATGTAAGGGTTTGTGATTTACTGGTTTTTCAACATGCAAAATCAACAATTTTTGTTTTCTTTAATTTAGGGTTTTAAATTCCTACACAAGGATTTAGAACAAAATCATTGAAGATGGAATAGGGCAATTTGATATCCTCATGGTGTTCACCTAATGGGTATGTTACTATTCTAGAAAATTCTCATCAAAGAATAAGCATTAAGCAAAAAGTTTCTGTTACTTATCTTTGTTTCTATTATAGGATAGAAGATATAAAATATTATGTTTCAGTATAATTTAACTTTAATGGTTTCTCATTCATTCTGTAATGGGTAGGTCACGAATCTTCCGCTTAAATGTACATTCTTCTTCTACCCAGGACCCAAGAACTTTAACAAGGAATACTAATCCTTGGAAACCACAAAATTAACAGTACATTTAAGTAAACATCTTAATTAAGTGCTTGTTTAATAAGCTTTTATCACATAAGAGCTTATACAATAAATTTGATAAAGAAATTTATAAGTTTAAGCTTTAAAGGGCTTATTTTGACAAGCTTTACTAAGAATTGACATTTAACTTTGTTTTCAACTCTCATGTACTTTAATTTCCCCCTTCATTTATGAAAAGATAAGGAGTTGACCCAAGTCAAGATTTCTCCTTAATTACTTAACTATTATGTGGAATAAGGCTCTTTTCTTATTGACTTCTTAATCCAATTGGTATTCCTTTCATTTAAGGCTATACTTTGGCTAAGATTTGCTTGATTTTGGACGTGTAAAGGTGTCCTAATTTGGCTTTATTCCTTAGCTCAATTTTTCATTAACTTAGGCATGTAGGTGACAGGAATTTGTAGCCTTGTTCACGTCACTTTGTCCTGAAAATTTAAGGGTCTTTGATCACAGTTTTGGGCCACTTCTCTTGGTCTTTTTCTATGTTTAATGGGTTCTATTATTGGCCTGGCTTGCCATGGCTTTTGGGTTCCCAATTCACCTATTATTTGGTTGCACATAAGCCTTAATTTAATTGATTTTTACCTAAGGTTACATGTCATTTTTTGGGCTGCACCTAAATCCCATTGAATTGAACTTTTCTAAGTATTTTATGGTCATTATGGCTGCACCAATTCTCCCTTGGTTTGGTTTGAAAATTGTCTCCTAAAATAAGTTTAATTGATTCTTAAACTATGGTGTCATTGCCTAAGCTTATACCTCAATTCAACTAAATTTTGCTTTGTTGAAGTTGCTTGATTGTAATTAGGATCCCTTTTCAAATAAGCTTCTTACCTTATCTTAAACCTTTCTTCATGTCACCTAAATCTCATCTGTGACTAAGCAATTTCCTAAGTTGCTTAATTGGTCATAACTTGTACCACAATAAGCAATAGTGGGCATGATAACAGAGGAGCAGAGTGGCTCCCTTAGGCGATTTTGGGGCCATTGGGTTGCAGTTTAGTGTAGCAACTGTTGCGCCACAATTCGTGGCCATGAAAGGGAAAAAAATCACGGTCATCACGGCAGCTATGTCAAATAGGGAAAAAGGGTCCCCCTCCCCCTCCTTTTATATTGCAATGCTCTATACTTCTCTATCTTCATAAGTCAAAATCAAACCCTACCTCCATCTGTTATTCTCTTGCTTTTTGTCCTTCATCTCTCATTCTCTTGCTTTGTCCTCTACCTTTGGCGTCACTTTCTGGTGCAAGTCACCATTTCCGGCCAAGTTCTAGTCATATTCTTCATCTTCAATGAAATCCAACTTATTTCTAATGTGAGTAGAGACATTTTCTAATTGTCTTTTTTCATTTCCGGTAAAACTCAAGTTATTTCCGATGAAATGTAAATGTTTTCCGAAGACAGTGAGACATTTTCTGGCAAGAACATTTGCATTGAAGCTTTTTCCGGTGACTGACCACTCTTTGATCTATTTTCTTTGTTTTGATTGTGTTCAAAATAGTGATCATCCAGCTATCCACTATCCCGTTATAGCATTTTTGAGATCAGCCACTCCATGCCGCTACTGGAGATTGACTACTATGCCTTGTACAAGCTTCCCTAATTTAGGTCTTATTGTCTTAATTGGTTTGAGTCTAATTCCTATTTTATATAAAGTTTATGACTATTAACTTTCAATTTTCTTAGGATTCTTATTGCATATTCAGTATTCCTAATATTCTCTTTAACTTGGATTTTAAAATTGCCACTTAGAGTTCTTAATAATTCCTTTCAAGTTAGCAATAAGTCCTAACATACCATAACCTCTAATTAAGGAAATTGGGATGTTACACCTTTACTCTTTGCTTTACTTTTAATGACCTTTTCAGTGTTGAATATAATACACTTTGAGATTGATATGCAGAGCTACGGGGCATCTTTTCAATCATAAACTTACAACAGAAGCAGCTGCCTCCTTGCTACCACCATATAACATGCCTGCAAATACTGCAATGACAGTTGCTGTGCCCCAGTTAACAGTTCCAGCTGGTCTTGGAGAATCCTGATTAATGAAAGTATGAGAACAGAAATGAAGTTAAAGAATTCTGCACGGTGAGGTCCAGCACACATTTGATAGCAACCATTTCAGAAATCCAGAAGGAAAACGGACTTTGAAGGAAGGCAGAAAAAGTTTTCTCATTAGAATCTTAGATAAATTCAAGGTTGATCAGATGAACATTCAACGTGTTATGAATTATGAAATGTACAGATTTCTGTTAATACACTGACAAACTCTTTTATTTAAAACTCAATATGTAGATACAGTTAGATAACCAGCATTCCATAATTTATATTTTCAAACAGTTTGAGAATTGAGAATCTTTTGCATCAAACCTACAGAATTATAAAAGTGATGTGATATATTTTGAACCTCGGTCGAGAAACTCATGACTCACCTCCTGAAATATGTATATCTCTTTGGCATCAATCCATATTCATAAATCATAACAGAAACCTAATTTTTTTCTTTTTTTGAATGAGTCTTATAATACACCACAACACATCTAAGGACTAATGTGAGACCTAGAAAACGGAAATGCAGAAGATAACAATTGTGTTGTTTTTTTTTTTTCTTTACATATTTTCTTTAGTTCTATTGGCTGATAATGGCATGCTATCAAATAAGGTATTCTAACATTTATCGCTATTTTATTGATTATAACCGTAATAAGTAAACAAACAGGCTAGATCATCATTTTATACAAATACTTCGATAAAAACTCTGTTCTTGTCAACCACTATTTGAGTGCTAAATGAAACAAGTCATTGCAGCTATCAAATTAATAAGTTGCACTACCAGATAGATAAACAAACAATTCTAGGGTTCACTCTTCAAATCCCTAACATATTGCTATCCATTCACCAAACAATTGAAACCAGCTTCTTAGGTAAAACAAAAATAAAGAGCTGAAGCAATAAATGAGGGATTTTTTACATTTGGAACGGTGGTTTCAGAGTTGTCAGGGACTTCCATGGTTGGAGGAGCAGCAGAATCCACGGAATGGAAACGAATTCGTATAAGCTGTTTGGTTGCCGAGAAGATATTCGACGAAAGAAAATCGATCTCCAACTAAACTGATTCAGTGCGTAAAGCGGTGGAAAAGAACGATTGCACCGCCGGGGAATCTACTTTAGCACTTCTGAGACTGAGAGTTAGTTGCCGAGACTGAGACTGTGTTGGTGTAATGATGTTGCACTAATTTTTTTTCTCCTTTCTCAAACAATATTTTGATTTTAGCTTTTCATAAAAAAAATATTTACACTCTTTTATGTTTAAAATTAATTAATTTTATGTTACCAAAGAAATATATAAAGGTATTAGCATTTGAAATTCTCCTTTTCCAAAAATTATTTGCGATGCAAACTTAACAAAAATTCGACAAATTAAAAGTGTCTCGAAACAAATTTATGTATTTTTTTTTAGTTTATCTACTCGTATAAATACTTATAATTTTTTTAATTCATTTCAATTTGTTAACATTTATTAAAATTTTCATTTAAAAGTGTCATAAATATATGTAACAAATATTACAGACTTAATTGATTGTAATAATTTTTTATTTATTTATTTATATTATTAAATATTATTTAAATTCTAAAATATTTGTCTAATATATAAAAAAAATGTTAATATATTTAAAATTTTATTTAAATTTACTCCCTTTCTGACCATTAAAAGAAGAAAAATACTTGAAAAAATCTACTGCAGTTGAGTATATTAGGATAATAATAATATTAACTAAGAAAAACCTTGCAATTAATTAAAATTTAGTTACAATAATTAACAATGTAATTAGCTTAATATATTTTACATAAATGCATCATGTTTATATAAATATTTCTATAAAAAATTGTGACATTGAAATTTGGAAAAGGGTGAATTAACTATTTTTAAGTCGACAAAATAAAATAAAATCTTGTTAGTTTATTTATGAAGCAAATAAAAAAATAAATTTAGTAGGTAGTCATGCCTACACTCAATCAAAATACACTCCAGCAAATTTAATGCAAAAAGTAGTTAGATAGATATAAATGTTTTCAAAAAAGATTTTTATAATTATCAACAAAAAAAAAATATAAAGTGCCATCAATTTTTATTTGAAAGGACACTCTTCATTACATAAAAAAATATAAGTGTAATAATCATAGTTCATAATATTTTTATTTTCAATTGCTTAAAAATAATAAAGTCATAAAAAAAGATAAGTCACCGAACCCAAATCTTCAATTTCAAGTCTAAAAAGATAGGTAATTGAATTTATACTTTGCTATTTGCCTGCACCCCAAACCCAACGTAAATATTGGGTGAAACGATGGAATCCTTGAAGGCAAGTGAACACGTAAGTGGAAGTGAGTTTCCTACTTTCCTTCAGTCATTAGTGTGACAAAACGAAGTTGGAAGTCAATTAGTAGATGCATGGCTCGGCATAGTCGTCAATCCCGCACAATCTGTGTATAATGCTCTATTTGATATTCAAGACTCGAGAGCTTAAACATTCATGAATTCTAATCTATTTATACATATTCCATTTTAAAGCAACCTATTCACCAACCCAAAAAAGCAAACCAAAGCCAAACAGAATTTCAAAAGCTATAAAAATGCCCATTAAAATAAAAACAACAATACATAATCCCGGCCCCGCCATAAAGTGAACGAAAACCCACACACAATTCATCTAGATTCCTCAACAACACCACATGTAAATAAAGATTAAAGCCATCCCCATAATCATCAACTCACCAAGCAAAGTATCATTGCACTCTCTCCCACTTCCTTCACAACAATGCCCCCATTGTTCCCCACACTGTATCTTATTCTCTCAACATATTTCATCCCGTTGAGTTGGAGCCACCCCAACACATGCCGTTCATATTGCGGTAACATAACTATAGATTACCCATTTGCTCTCCAATACGGGTGCGGACACCCTGGCTTTCGTGACCTCTTGTTTTGCATGAACGACGTTCTCATGTTCCACATAAGCTCAGGATCCTACAGGGTTCTAGAAATAGACTATGCTTATCAAGCTCTCACTCTTCACGAGCCTCACATGTCAACATGTGACAAGCTCGTCCTCGGAACCAAAGGCAACGGCTTCGCTGTGGAACCGTGGAGAGCACCTTACATGAACCCAGCAACGGACAACGTTTTCATGCTCATAGCATGTTCTCCTCGTTCACCTTTGTTCCAAGGTTTCCCCGGGAAGCACTTGCCCTGTCGGAACGTTTCGGGCATGGGCTGCGAGGAGTATTATGGGTGCCCGGCCTGGGAAATGATGGGCCACAAACGATTGGGCTCATCGTTTTTTGGGTCGGGCCCACCGGAGTGTTGTGCTGTGCCTTATGAGGCTATTAAGGGCATTAATCTCACTAAGCTTGAGTGTGAAGGGTATAGTAGTGCTTACAATGTGGCTCCATTGAAGGTTGATGGGCCTGGTGGATGGTCCTATGGGATCCGTGTGAGGTATTCGGTGCAAGGGAATGATGAGTTTTGTGGAGCGTGTGAGGCAACTGGTGGGTCGTGTGGGTATGGTTCTGATGGGATTAGACAAGTGTGTATGTGTGGGGACTTCAATTCAACCTCCAATTGTGATTCAGGTTTGTGAGTTTATAAAAGCTTTGGGCTAATTAATTAATTCCATGGTGTCACCAAAAAAAAATTGTGTTATTGGCTTTGATATTTGTATGTCAATGTTATAAGTGATTCTTTCTACAAATTTTACAGTTGGAGTCTCGTCAGGAGCAAGGCCTATGAATTCGAGGGTGAAAATATTTGCAGGTACTTGGCTATTTTATTGTTTGGTTATTTCAGCTAGAGTTATGCCAAAGATTCTCTACTTTGACATTTGTTTTTTTTTTTATAAATAATTATAAAATTTTTGGTTTTTTTTTTCAAAAAATAATTATATTAGAAATTTGTTTTTTGGTATTAGAAGAGACTCGTGGTAGGATTTATAAGGGAGAGGGAACAATGGATAAGAGAATGAAAAGGGATGGAATACACTTCCAAAGAACGAACATGAACAAATACAATTTAATTATGTATTGCAGCTTAATCAACTAAACTATTTTGAAAGAACAAGAAAGTTTCTTTTTTAATATTTGTATGAAAATAATAAAAATATATGTTATTTTACTATTTTCTATACAAACATTTAACTAAAGGAAAAAATAGATTTCACAAGTTCCTTGGTAGTTTTAAACTCTCCTTACCTTGTCTTTACTTTTTCATCTTAGCAAATCATTTGATGATTGAGTAATTTTTATCTTTTTGTACAGGATTATTGACGTGTGTATTTTTAGCATGGATGACAACCAACTAGATTTTTAAGTATGGTATAAAATTAATGTGAGACTATCTTTACGAACTAAGTCATGTATTCCATATTGTAAATGCCATTTTTTGCTAGAGAACGTGTTTATGCAGTGAAGGTGTGAGCGAGTGAGTATTGATTTGTATTCCCTATTTTCCATTGAAAGACCTTGAAAACCTTGCTCAAATATTATTCAAGAGTGTGCTACAACCAGGGGTACGATAACTATGAATTATCTAGCTATATTGTTTATTTACATAATTATCTTCGTTCTCATATTTCTTTGTTTATAACCAGTGATCGTTAAGTAGAAAACCAAATTATATTCAATTTTTAGATAGGGACTATAGTTCCACCACTAGACCAAAGCAATTTTCAGAAAGCTTATTATAATTGTAATTTGTGTAGTCTAACTTTACTAAAAAGATAGATCTCATAAGTTTATGAAAATGGAAAAACTATTTCTACCGTTCTTCCTATTTCTCCATCTCTACAATTCTCATTTCTCAAGCTCTGTCCATCTCGTACAAGCTTTCTTAGTTAACTTTCATGGAGGAAACAACTTCATTTGATTCTTCTGGTGAAGTCTTTTAATACCAGTAAATCCTATTACAATGGATCCGTTATAGAATCCATCAAGCCCCTATTACTTTCTTGTGGGTGAGAACCTCGGTACTAATCGGATCGAATTACACATTTTGGAGCATAGCAATGAAACGTGCCTAAAAAAAGTTAAAATTTGTTAATGATTATATATTGTGATTCCTCCTGAAGCTAGTACACTCTATAATACATGAGTAGGATGTTACATGACCTGGTCATGTATTATATTTTAACGTAAGAAGCTTCTTTTCTACAACTATAATCCTGATACAGTACAATTGTGATGTTAGAGGCAAAAGCTCACAATCATTACCATTCAATTGATTCTCCTTCACTCACAATCATTAATAAAGTAGTCACTTAAGTACGAAAAAAAATGAGATGTTAAAACATTTTTTTATATGGATCCAGCATCCATGTATCACTTATTTAAAAATACATAAATTACTAATATAATTTTCAATTGTTATGCCATGAAAGTTTTTAAATAGTAACGTATCTGACACTTCTGCATATATGTCCTTCAACATACAAGAATGAATGATACATAGTTGGCAAATAAAGGATGCTTGGGCCTCTCCAAATTTACTATTTTTCCAAGCATATAGATCTCAATAAAGAAATATTTATCTCGGTAAGCACATCCTTGTTGCAAGCAACGAAACTACACAACTGAGAAAAGTATAAAACAGAACACTTCATTCATTTGAAATCTGAGTCCAAATATTAAAATGTTTGCCAAACAACATTCCAACTATCAAAATACATAACTACCTTTGTTCATAAGGGGTGAAGGAATACAAAATCTAAGACTTATGTTAACCATCTCCCCAATAGAGAGAGCTTTCTTGATGCTATCCCCCAAGGATTTGCTAATAAGGGCAGAAGGAATACTAATGTCTTGCAAATAATCATCATCTGGAGATCCATACGCTTGGTCAGGAGTGTACATAGAGATCAATGGTTCTTTAATGTCATCTGCAATAAGTATAGCTGCTGCTCCACCTTTTTGTGCACGCCATGCCTTTATAGCGAAGAAACACGCTGGCAAAATGACAAGGAAAAAAGAAATAACCTTTAGTCCTTTTGTGTGTTATTTTCACCTAGTTTGCATCAATGGTTCCTTAATAGTTTTGTTCTCTCACCTTAATTAAACATGCTCTCAAAGATTATAAATTTACATAAACTCAGGCAACAAAAATGTGCATTCTAGTCCTAAGTTGAAAAAAAAATAGAGTACAACAATATTTTAAAGCAAGCTCCAATAATCTAGTTAAATCATATCGGGAAGACTTACAATGTTTCTGGTATCAATTAAGATAAAATCAGATAATTCTAGCATCAAAATATAAAGATTGTGATTTAAGAATGAGTTATATCATTTAAACAACATTTTTCTCTCAATTTTTCTATATCACCACTTATTTTATCATATGCTTTTCTTGTTGAGCTCAAATGCGGAATAACTTGGACGTGTAAATTAAAATTCTGACGTAAACTGGCGAGCAATAATTCAGACCTAATAAATAGATCTAGCAGCGCAGCGGTGTAACTTGTAAAGTGTGCACTGAAATACTTCCCAGGAAAGAGAGGTGGATCACAACGGATCACTTAAATACCAGGTCTTTCCTTAGCCAGAATCTTTCCAGTTACAACACTAATACAAATACACACTTCTCCAGCAATCCAACAATCAGCCACGGAAGGATAACAAAAATAATTCTTTTCTGATGTGGAAGATCAGACTAAACTGCAACCACAGAGCATACTAAGAATTATTTTTAACTGAATAAAATAAGCAGATAAAGAACACCACTATTTAACGTGGAAAAACCTCCAATGTGGAGGAAAAACCACGGGACAAACTCCGAAAAATATTCCACTATATCTCAGGATATTTACAATATCCTTTCAACACTCTATCACACAAGAGGTGTAAAATATAGTGTACACAGTGAGACCCACTCCTATTCAAATATTACAAATTTTGTAATACCAAGAAGAAATAGAGATGATACCCACCCCAGTGTATTTTTCTCACACTCTTAGGATTTACTCAATACTCTATTTTTTTTTCTCTCACAAACACTCACAATGCTTGATGAAATCTTGTGTGTGTTGCTGCTTGTGCTTCCTTCAATTTCATTTCACGGCTATTTATAGCCAAATAAAGTTACTATTCATTTAATAAAATATTATTAATTGTTTATGAAGTCAAAAAAGGGGGCACCGAAATTGAAAATGTGCTGGACCTCACAATTCTCCCCCTCCAGCACAAAGGTGCACTCTTGGAATCTTCACATGCGATCTATGCCAATCAGCTTGGCACACTGTTGATGTTTTTCTCGTGCAACAACTTTCGTCATCATATCAGCAGGATTTTTATCCGTATGAATCTTATCTAGCTTGAATTCTTGTTCTTCCACTGCCTGACGCAGCCAATGATATCTGATATCAATGTGCTTCGTACGAGAGTGATACATCGCATTCTTACTTAAATCCAATGCGCTTTGACTATCACAATGGATAACGTACCTTTTCTGCTCAATTCCCAGTTGTTGAAGAAACCTCTTCAACCAAAGCATTTCCTTTCCTGCTTCAGTCATGGCAACATACTCAGCTTCAGTAGTTGACAAGGCCACACATTTCTGCAATTTGGATTGCCAAGATATAACTCCCCCTGCAAAGGTAAACACAAGTCCTGAAGTAGATTTTCTACTATCCAGGTCACCTGCCATATCTGCATCTGTGTATCCTTCAAGAACTGGGTTAGGTATTCCAAAGCTCAAGCACATATTAGAACTACCTTTCAGATATCTCAAGATCCACTTCACTGCTTCCCAATGCTCTTTTCCAGGATTGGAAAGATACCTGCTAACAACTCCGACCGCATGAGCTATATCCGGCCTCGTACAAACCATGGCATACATCAAACTCCCGACTACTGAGGAGTATGGAATACCCGCCATAGCTTCTTTTTCTTCTTGACTTGTGGGACAACTTCTTTTGCTGAGTTTGAAGTGATTTGCCAACGGTGTACTAACTGGTTTAGCCGTCTTCATGTTGAATCTGTCCAGAATCCGATTCACATACCGTTCCTGCGATAACCACAACCTTCTGGATTTTCGGTCTCGCATGATCTGCATGCCCAAAATTTGTTTTGCAGGGCCCAGATCTTTCATATCAAAAAACTTTGACAATTCTTTCTTCAAATCACCAATCAGCTTCACATCTTGTCCCACTATCAACATATCATCTACATACAACAGAAGGATAATGAATTTATCACCTGGACATGTCTTGACAAATACACAATGATCTGCATCAGTCTTGGCATATCCATGACTCGTCATGAACGAGTCAAATTTCTTATACCACTGTCTTGGAGCCTGTTTCAATCCATACAAGCTCTTCTTCAATCTGCAAACCATGTGTTTCTTTCCAGTTTCCTCAAAACCTTCTGGTTGCTCCATGTAGATTTCTTCATCAAGGTCTCCATGAAGAAACGCAGTCTTCACATCTAGTTGTTCAAGCTCCAGATCCAAGCTAGCCACCAATCCGAGTATAACTCGAATAGAGCTCATCTTCACAACTGGAGAGAAAATTTCATCAAAATCTATTCCTCGCTTTTGTCCAAAACCTTTTACAACTAAGCGAGCCTTGTACTTCAACAGCTTGTCACCATCTTTCTTAAGCTTGAACACCCACTTATTTTTCAAGGCTTTTCTGCCTTTAGGGAGCTTGACTAACTCATAAGTATCATTCTTCACCAGAGAATCCATTTCTTCTTGCATGGCTTTCATCCACTGGGATTTATCCTTATGAGTCTGAACTTCTTCAAAGTTTTCTGGCTCCCCCTCTTCAGTGATGGTAATATACGTCGAACTAGGGTACTTTGTAGATGGCTGGTGTGGTCTTCTTGATTTCCGAGGCTGAGGTGGAGCTTCTGGGTTTTCTTGCTCAACACCTTCATCATCACCATCTTCTATTGCTGGCTCATTATCAACCCTAAGTTCTTCATCACACTCTCCCCCTACTGTGGCATTTTTAGGAGGAACAACTGGTGTAAGATCAACCTTACCACCTGGTTCTCTGATTTTTGGTGAAGCAGAATCCGACATAGTTTCTTGCTCATGGAACACTACATCTCTGCTTCTAATAACTTTCCTATTTTCTGGATCCCATAACCTGTAGCCAAATTCCTCATCTCCATAGCCCAGAAATATGCAAGGAATGGCTCTATCATCAAGCTTTTGTCTCTGTTCCTTATTCACATGAGCAAAAGCTTTGCATCCAAACACTTTCAAATGAGAGTATTTAACATCATGTCCGGACCATACTCTCTCAGGGATATCAAAGCCCAAAGGAACAGATGGAGATCGATTAATCAGGTAGCTTGCCGTTAG